TCAGGCATTAATAGAACATTTCATTATTTTTGAAAAAATGCAAATAAACAATTAAAAACCCTTTATTAAAATACAAGTAGTATGTTAAGTTTTAATAGTTTTAATTGTTCGCAGAAATTTTAAATTTTAAAAAATTCTGCAATATGTTTATGTTTTTTCACGCCACCAGTGTAGGTGCATTTTAGTTTTTAATAATTCATTGGAGAAATGTTTTATTTGCACATTCAATGATTTACTTAACCAATTAGCATTCAATTAAAAAGCGCTATAACTTTTATTTTCCGTTTTATTTAACATGTGACTGCTCTCATTAATTATTTATTTGTGCTGTCAATTGCATTTGTTAAACATGTTGACAAATTATATGACATGGTCTTTGAAGGGTTTGTTTGCCTCTGGGCATGTGGTGATTTGCAATTGGCCACTCGTCATGGCATTTTTGTAATTAACGAACTTGAAATGTGTGGTGCGGTGGTGCTGTGGTGCTGCATAATTCATAGATAAACACAGCAGTCCCTGTCGATGCTCTGATGCCAGACATGCCCACACTAAAAATCAATTGACACAGTTTCTGTAGCAAGATAACCTCCTTTTGCCTTTCGAAATTTGTATGGTATGTGTATCTAGATACATGGTTCGTTTGCTACCATGACGATTGCCCGCCGCCAAAGAAAACGGCACCAAAACTGAAGAGAGAGATGAAAAAAACAATAAAAATCAATTCGAGTAATAAATTTTTAATTGAGCGCGCCCTGCTGTTGATCAGACCATAAACCGAAGAAGTTCTGTGATGTCTCTTTTGATTTAGTGCCATGGGCGTCGCTCGTTTTATAATCAACATTTTTGAAAAATTATCGAATATGCTAAACTTTGACACGGTGCAGCAGCCACCCCAGAACGTACAATTTCGAGTTTAAGAGCAGCTCAAGCACATTCTCAAGTACTAAGTATATACGAGTATGCAGTTTTCGATGGTCTGCTTTATAGTATGGAATTCTCATATGCGGGTCTTCTGACTATTCGTAATTGAGATGATAAACAGAAGAGAACGAGTGAACCGTTTGAGAGCCCGCAGCACTGTTTAGACAAATTGTCTCGATACCTGCACAATGTGAATTGAATGGAAATGTTGCTATAGTTGTTGTTGTTGTTGTAGCTGTCAAACATTGCAATGAAAGTGACGGCAGCTCGTCTTGATGTGAATGTACAGCCAATGAAAATGATACGAACTCACTCACCTATAAATGAACAAATGTCAATCAAATGTGTAATGTAGAAATTACAGCTGCCGCTGCCTTTGTCTCTATCTCTGCCTCTGCCTCTGTCTGTCAGAGACACAATGGAGATAAAGCTGCAGATCAAAATAAGTAGTATACCCAAGTCGTATCGGTAATGATGGCAATTGTGAGTTTGTGTCCAATACCCGTGTGTCAATTGTTGGCTGACAGCCAGGTGTAGTGTTGCAACATTTAAAGATACTAAAGAATTTCTACATAATTAATTACACTTTCCACAAGTGCAACGCAACTAGAAAGACGGAAACGTGGCGCTTATTTTAATGCCACATAGCCCAAAAGGCGACTATAAAAAATACATTCCACCGACAAACATAAAACGCAAAAGGGCCAAGTTTATATACGAGTTTGTATATATACATGCGTGTGTGGCCAAATATAAAGAGGAACGAGCTTATGAAAAACTATCCAACGCAATAAACATAAAAACTTCACGGCCATATCCACCCGACATTAAACATGAGTGGCCACAAATTGAAAAAGTCAATCGAGTCCAGCAAAAGTGATTATAGAAAAGTATAGCTGCTTTCTCCAAGCACTTTTCTACCCATGTATAGTATATACGATTGAAAGTTGACGAAGCCTAATCTACAGAAATCAGGAATAAGTAAAGTCTTGTATATATTCTCATACTATTCTAGTGAATATGTATGTGAATAAGTAATCTACATATATATATCAATTACAAAATTTACAAATATTGCTTAGAACCAGTTGACATTTCGCTCGTTTTTTTACACACCATATTCGATGGTCGGTTAACAAGATTAAATCCCACAATACGAGTTCCTTTCTGAGTATATGACTCGGATTGAATCACGGCGTCTACCATCATCGCATAAATCATGATTTCAAAGTTACTCGCAGTTTAAAAATTTGGAAGAGTGGTCCATTATCTAAAAAATCTCAAACTGTCATGTTATGGCATAATCTGAGAGAATTTGTTTCACTAACAACTTTTCTTAGAATTAACCGATTTGGATGAAATTCATAACAAAAGTAGATATTTGTGAATAGATTACATGTGCAAATTTTCCGTAGGTTTAAAAATGAGTAAAGTATTTGCGATATTCTGCAGCGGAGAGAGCGGAGGGAAAATCAAAAAAATAAACTCGTGTAGCCTAGGGACTAGCAGCGTCTGCTAACCAAGTTTGGTTAATGTACGCTCAACCGTTTCCGAAATCCAGGCGTTCATACAGACGGACGGACGGACGAACATGTCTACATCGATTTCTCTCGTCATGCTGATCAAGAATATATATAAAACAAGAGAGTACGCTACAGTCCAGCAAGCCCGACAGTGTAATACCCTGTACCCAGGTAAACTTCCGTCACTGAGTTATATGCGCCCAAAGCAGCAGCAAAAAGAGGAAGAAGAAGAGCGAACTTCTTGCTGCAGTTTGGGAGGGTTGTACTGGGGAGAATTTGTTTTGCTAATAACTTTTCTTAGAATTGACTGAATTGAATAACATTTTGAACAACAGTAGACAATTATATATAAATTATGTGTGCATTATGTTTGGTTTAGGTAGCATTTGAAATGTGGACGCTATTGACGAAATTCTGTAGCGGGGGAAGGGGGGGAAAATTAAAAAAAATAAAATAAACTCGTCTTTACTCGGAGGAGAATCTGGATGCTAACTTTGGTTATTCTAGCTTTTATAGTTTCTGAGATCCTTGCGTTCATCCAGACGGACGGACGGACGGACATGGGTAGATCGATTTCTCTCGTCATGCTGATTCAGAATATATATACTTTATGAGGTCGGAGATGCTTCCTTCTGCATGTTACATACTTTGCACAAACCTAATATACCCTTTTTACCCTACGGGTACAGGGTATAAAAACACATTTTTCGTAATGTTTTTCATTTTGATCAAATTAGACGTAACCCAAAAACCTTCTGTTTGTGTATCATAGATTGTTAAGAAAGGATACAGCTAATACAATAGTCTTTATACAATACATTACTTGTATATTCTTAATTCGCATTAAGATCAAGAATATTCGAAAGTCGCTTGGCAACACAAAGTAAGTTTTAAGCTGGAATAATGCATATTTTTAATGCAAATATTATTGATTTTATTTAAATAGCAGTTACAAATTTAAATAAACTTGTCGAACTCGACAAATTAGTGTGAAAATTATTCGCCTGTCTGGCCATAGCATGAAAGTTAGCTTAAACTGAATAAGAATTTCAACATTTCGGGCGCTTTAGCAACAAAGGGGAATAATAGAGAGGGCGGCCGAGGCAGTTAATTTGTGTTTCTTGCTGTTGTTGTTCATTACTTGCCTCTGCACACATTACTTAACGCATAACATAAGAGCACATGCTGCCTGCTTCCGACTCGGGCTCCGGTTGGGTGCATGAGGCAGCACGCCTCAAATAACTTGGTAAACTTTTGTAGAATGCAGAAAAAGGAGAAATATACATAAGTAGTATAAAACCAAGGCGGAAGAAGAACAAAGTGCATAATTGCCGGCATATTTATAAAGTGCGCTCTCAAAGGTTAAGCATTGGCATGCAAAATGCACCATGGATGGCATCTGGGAGAACGCGGTGAGTTCAGGTGCGGTCAGTGAACATGCCACATGGCTGGGTGGCGACAACACCCGCCCACAAAGAGTATTAAAAATGAATTTGGGCTAAAGCCGAACCACACCGCATTGCTACAGATCTCGCTTAAAAATGCAACTGCATTAAAATTAAATTTGTAATTCATTGCGCCATTTGCACAGCTGAATAAATTTTGTAAATGAGAGGAAGTAGGTGAGGTGGAAGTGGACGCAGCTAGGCAGCTGTCCGGGTTGTCAGGCACACAGGGAAGCAGGCAGTCCTTAGTCCGAGCTGGCAGGGGCTGTTGCCAACTCACGTTTCTCCCTGCTCGATGACTAATTAAAGCTGTTCAAATAGCTAATTTTTATAGCAGACACGAAGGCGCATAGCAGCAGACCCGCCATAGCGAAATATTTGCTGGATACGAGGGGGGGGGGGGGGGGGGGGAGGACTTAAAGCAGCGAGCCGTTAAGTCGGCTCTGCTGCCATCAGCGACTACCCTTACCGTGGTTCATGAAATAACGCTGTTTATGGAAAGCATGGAAAGCACCTCCAACCGACACCACCCATTTACTTAATGCCTGAACAGGTCCTGTGCAGACACCTGCCACCCATGACTACTTCGCCTGCGTTTGCTTTGGCATCCGCCTTTGAGCTTACAAGTATACATTCGATTTTTTCTTTGCTTGCCATAAGCCGTTCGTTGTGTAAGGCATGTTAGCTATTCATTGGATGTGTCTTGAAGTCGAGTCAAAGTTGAAATGCAAATATTTGCATGCCCAAAGGGGGACGCTGGGCGCATGCCAAAAGCCAATGGCAAAGGCTTTTGTTGCCTCAATTATTCAGTCATGTTTACAAGTTGACAGATTGCAGCTGCTGCTCGCCTTGGCTTGGTAAAAGTTTCAAGTGGACACGCGTGCCGGCATATGTGTATTGGTCTGTCCAATATTGCCAAGGATGGGGACCACCAATTGCACATTTGGGGGTGACCTTTTTCGTTGAGCAAATCAAAAAGAAGAAAAATCATTTCAAATTCAAGGTGGTTAAAATCTACGGGCTTACATTTCTATTAATCCCTTTTTTGTTGATTATTCATCGCCTAAGTAGTTCCAAAAATAACGTGTACTTTCTATCGTTTTTCTTTCAGCATTATCATTCACATTCGAACCACAAGATGCGATTGTGCCCGAGGGTCATTCGGTGTTGCTACAATGCGAAGGAAATGCACAGGCGAGTAAGGCTTCGAAATCCTTGCCAGCCCACATACGTTGGCGGGGACCTGATGGTCAGGATCTGGGGATTGTTGGAGACACTTTTCGTACGCAGCTGAAGAATGGATCGCTTTACATCAGTTCCGTGGAGGAAAATCGCGGCTTGACAGGTGCCTATCAGTGCCTCCTTAGTGTCAATGGCATTGGCACTGTGGTTAGCCGTCCAGCCTTGGTGGCTATTGCACAGCTGCCCGACCTGAATCAGGATTTCATCGAAACGTATTTGCTGCCTGGCCAGACGGCCTATTTTCGCTGCATGATTGGCGACTCAGGACAACCGGGTCTAAAGCATAGCGTGCAATGGTACAAGGATGATATGCCATTGCCGCTGGACAATTTGCGCATGGTGGTTCTGCCAAACGGAGCGCTAGAAATCGATGAGGTTGGCCCCTCCGATCGCGGAGTCTATCAGTGCAATGTGACTTCGGGCAGCATTTCGCGGATGAGCAGTAAAACGAATTTGAACATTAAAAAAGCAAACGAAGCGGGAGCAGATAATCCAAGCGCCCCCTCGTTTCTGGTTGGTCCTTCGCCGAAGACGGTGAGGGAGGGCGACACCGTTACCTTGGACTGCGTAGCTAATGGAGTGCCAAAGCCACAAATTAAATGGCTGCGTAATGGCGAGGAGTTGGACCTTAACGATCTCGACTCCCGCTTCTCCATTGTGGGCACGGGCTCCCTGCAAATCTCAAGCGCCGAAGACATTGACTCGGGCAACTATCAATGCCGTGCCAGCAATACTGTTGACTCATTAGATGCACAAGCAACCGTGCAGGTGCAGGTGCCACCGAAATTCATACAAAGTCCCAAGGACAAGACAGCCCACGAAAAGGAGGAGCTCGAGCTGGAGTGCGCTATACGCGGCAAACCGAAACCGGCCATCAAGTGGCTTAAGAACGGCGATGTGATAACGCCCAACGACTATATGCAGTTGGTGGCGGGCCACAATCTGCGAATTCTCGGACTGCTGCAGTCCGATGCTGGCATGTTTCAATGTGTGGGCACGAATCCAGCAGGCAGCGTGCAGGCGGCGGCTCGTCTGCGCATCGTAGCACCAGGAGGTAAGTGTCATAACTCTGTAATATTATATGTAATGCCGACGAGTTCAGGACCTTACATTATTTGTTAATAATAATTGTGCTTTGCGGCTGAACTCGCCAGCAATGTATGTGTCTATTGTTAAATGCTGTACTGCCGAGTTCCCATGTATCGTTGTTACCCAATGGCTTTCAAAATTGGTGCCCAAGTTAGGACTGTAAAAACACGTAGAAAAATTGTGCCTCACCTCCCATTTCCCCATAAAATCGACATTCCTCTGTAAAAATACTTAGTATGTATAATGCTTTTGTAAAATAATTTTCTGTGTGCGTCTATTACCTTTTCTTTGTGTACATATTTTAATTAAGTTGTATCATTTACGTATTATCATACATAAACAATATTAATTTATTTATATTTCCATTCATTAATTTACATATTCTTTTTCCTTTTTTCTTATCCATTAACTCCTTATTTACGAACATCAATTCCTTCGAATCCCATCCCAAAGTCAAAATCAAGCAACGCAAGTTCCAAGGACATTCTACAAAGTCCCTACAGACCTCGGACATGTTATCGCCCAATAAACGCCGTAAAGGTTTCAACTCGGGCGAGCTACGCACCAAAGCTGGTGGCAGTCTTGATGCCGACGATGAAAACGACAGCGACGACTCGCAAGAAATGAAACGATTACATTCCAAGACAATATTTGATAGTTTACACTCCCACAAGCCTATGCCCGATAAACCGCTTAATGACCGAAACTTTGATGAACTGACCTTTAAAAAACCCAACAACGACAAACTTAAGCTTGATTTAGATGAAGACGAGGACGACTATGACGATGCAAACGATAGCACACAACAGCTAATTGCTGCCTATAAACAGGGCGATGATCCAAACAAAATACTGGCCACCTGGCAGAACAAGAACAAAAAACAGAATTCACCCCAACAGCCAGAACAACAAATTCCACCCTCAAATTTTGCTTCTTCAGATTTAGCCGAAGGTGATGGTCCAGCAGCCGCTGCACAGGGCGGGTCAAGTGGTACCAAATTGCTGGGAAGTGGTCTGATAGCACGCCTTCCAGGACCACCGCGAGATCTGGTAGCCCAAATTGTGAAGCCACGCTTTGTCACACTCAGCTGGTCGGAGCCGCTCCAGAACTCCGTCGAGGTTGTTTCCTATACCGTATTCTACAAGATGAGCAACAGTGAACGGTAAGTTGGTGAAAATCGTATCTCTTGTTATGCCAAATTAAACCTTAGAACCTAAGGATCTTTATTTAATACAACCATAATCGAAATTAACAAAATAAATTCATGCCTAATAACACGTTTTAGCTTTGCTTAAAACACATAACAGTGGTCTGTTTAGTTGCCACAAAATATAAAGAATAGAAGCTGAAGGTGATACCCATACCCTATTTCACAATAATGTTGTTCCGAATTTAATACATTTAATACATAAATAGCTTAAACTGATTAACTGGTGAGAAAATTAAATGTCATCTTCTTCACATAACATATACCGTAAATTACAGATGTACGCACCAAAACAATTTAAGCCTGAAAATCGATAATTAAGTCAATTAAATCAGATGAATATTTTATTTAATCTTTTAATCAGTCGCTAAGCCTTTAACCGCGAATACTCAAGGCAAACTACATGTTCAAATGAACGAATATCAAGCAACCATTGACGAAATTTCATACAAATATTGAACCCTTAAATCATGCTCTAAGACATTTCATAGATTTGCTAAAAACCGGTTGGCAAAGTCGTATAATCGAAGTTAAAGATTATCTTTATTTAATACAACCATAATCGAAATTAACAAAACAAATTCATGCCCAATAACACCTTTTAGTTTTGCTTAAAAAACATAACAGTGGTCCGTTGAGTTGCCACAAAATATAAAGAGTAGAAGCTGAAGGCGATACCCATACCATATTTCACAATAATGTTGTTCCGAATTGAATACATTTAATACATAAATAGCTTAAACTGATTAACTGGTGAGAAAATTAAATGTCATCTTCTTCACATAACATATACCGTAAATTACAGATGTACGCACCAAAACAATTTAAGCCTGAAAATCGATAATTAAGTCAATTAAATCAGATGAATATTTTATTTAATCTTTTAATCAGTCGCTAAGCCTTTAACCGCGAATACTCAAGGCAAACTACATGTTCAAATGAACGAATATCAAGCAACCATTGACGAAATTTCATACAAATATTGAACCCTTAAATCATGCTCTAAGACATTTCATAGATTTTCTAAAAACCGGTTGGCAAAGTCGTATAATCGAAGTTAAAGATTATCTTTATTTAATACAACCATAATCGAAATTAACAAAACAAATTCATGCCCAATAACACCTTTTAGTTTTGCTTAAAAAACATAACAGTGGTCCGTTGAGTTGCCACAAAATATAAAGAGTAGAAGCTGAAGGCGATACCCATACCATAATTCACAATAATGTTGTTCCGAATTTAATACATTTAATACATAAATATCTTAAACTGATTAACTGGTGAGAAAATTAAATGTCATCTTCTTCACATAACATATACCCTAAATTACAGATATACGCACCAAAACAATTTAAGCCTGAAAATCGATAATTCAGCCAATTAAATCAGATGAATATTTTATTTAATCTTTTAATCAGTCGCTAAGCCTTTAACCGTGAATACTCAAGGCAAACTACATGTTCAAATGAACGAATATCAAGCAACCATTGACGAAATTCCATACAAATATTGAATCCTTAAATCATGTCCTAAGACATTTCATAGATTTGCTAAAAACCGGTTGGCAAAGTCGTATAATCGAAATTAAAGATTATTTCACAACATAAACGTTGTTGAGACTCAAACACATACATACATTTGTTGATATAATGCAGATTATAAAATTCTTTACAACTAGCAAAATTCATAGCCGACGTGTCCCCATCGTTTATTTAGTGGGGTGAGAAATTTTGTCTAGACCTTTTCCCCGCTTTTCTCTACAAATTACTTCCCGTTTCCACTTTCACTGACAAAATGGACAGACGCTAAAGCTATTGCCGTCGGGCATCTGTCTGGCGTGGCGCAACCATTGACATCATCGTAGGCCGGTATCCGGCTATATTGATTTTTGGCTGTCTGCCATACATTGGCCATTTCCTTTTCCGTAAAAGTGAAATCGTGCGTGCGCAATAAGATGAAATTGAAATGAAAGTAGCCCGATAATCAGGATGTCAAGTGCATAATGACGCAAAGAAAATTGAACATATTATATCTGACTTACCCTGCCACACTTTTGCATTTGCAGCGAGCAAAAGATAGTAACCAAATCGCACGATGATCAACAAGTCAACATACAGTCAGTGCTGCCAGGCAGGACGTATCTGTTTCGAGTGGTCGCCAACACCAATTTCGGCCAGGGCGAGTCCTCGAAAGTCCTAGAGGTGAGCACACAACCCGAGGTAAACATAGCTGGACCGCCGCGCAACTTTGAGGGCTATGCGCGTAGTCACAAGGAGATTTACGTGCGATGGGATCAACCGACAGTTACCAATGGCGAGATACTCAAGTATCGCATCTACTACTCTGAGGTAGGTACAAAATCTATCTTATATGGTAAAAAACTACATCACTTTTTATTTGCAGGGTGAAAGCGGAGCGGATTTGCATTACGACAGCACCGCCCTGGAGGCTGTGCTTGGTGATCTGCGCCCCTACACGGACTACATAATAAGCGTGGTGCCGTTTAATCGTAATGGCATGGGTGATCCCTCTTCAGAGATCAAGGTGAAGACATTCTCCTCAACGCCATCTGAGCCGCCGAACAATGTTACGCTGGAAGTTACGGGCTCAAGTGTAAGTTCACTTCAAATCCGGGGAAGGACATTTTCACTCTAATTATTATCCGTATTTGCAGTCCATCACAGTACACTGGGAGCCTCCAGCTGAAGAGGATCGCAATGGCCAAATAACAGGCTATAAAATCCGCTTTCGCAAATTCAAAGACGCACCCCAGGTGAAGAGCACGCCCGCGAACATACGCTACTTTGAGCTAAACGGACTGGATCGCAATGCTGAGTATCAGGTGAAAATAGCAGCAATGACTGTGAATGGTTCGGGTCCCTTTACGGAATGGAATCGCATAAATACGCTCGAAAACGACCTGGATGAAACACAGGTGCCGGGGAAACCTATCTGGATTGCCATACAACCAGGAGCGAACAATATTGGGCTTCACTGGGGTCCGCCACTACAGCCGGAGATAAAGATACGCAACTATGTCCTGGGCTGGGGCCGCGGCATACCCGATGAGAATACCATCGAGCTAAAAGAAACCGAACGTTACCATGTCCTCAAGAATCTGGAATCAAACACCGAGTACGTTGTCTCGCTGCGCGCGCGCAATGTCAAAGGTGATGGACAACCCATTTATGACAACATAAAGACCCGCGATGATGAGCCAGTGGATGTGCCCGTACCGCTCGAGGTTCCTGTTGGCCTGCGCGCTATAACAATGTCCAGTTCGTCCATTGTTGTCTACTGGATTGACACCATGCTTAACAAGAATCAGCATGTGACGGACAATCGGCATTATACTGTGAGCTATAGTATTACCGGATCCGGTCGATATCGCTATCACAACACCACCGATCTGAACTGCATGATAAACGAGCTGAGACCGAACACCCAGTACGAGTTTGCTGTCAAGGTAGTCAAAGGTCGACGCGAGTCGGCATGGTCCATGTCGGTGCTAAACAGCACGTATCAGAATGTACCCGTGACACCACCACGCGAGCTGACAGTGCGCCTCGATGAGCAGAATCCGCATAATGTTATAATCCAGTGGTTGCCACCGAAACACACTGTGGGCCAAATAACAGGCTACAACATCTACTACACCACAGATACTACAAAGCGTGATCGGGACTGGTCCATCGAGGCATTTTCGGGCGAAGAGACGATGCTGATGCTCCCAAATCTGAAGCCATACACCACCTACTATTTCAAGGTGCAGGCGCGAACCACTAAAGGCAGCAACAATGCACCATTCTCTGCACTAGTGGCTTACACAACAAGTGCTGCGGTCATCATGCAGGAGGCCGATACCATAGCCAAAGGCGTCGACAATGAGAAGCTGTTGATCATTATTATTTGTGCCACAGTACTGGTAATGGTTTTCCTGCTCATTGGCCTATTATTGCTGTGCCGTCGTAAGCCGCAATCCTCGCCGGAGCATACCAAGAAGAGGTACATCCAAAACCAAAAAGAAATCAAAAAGACCACACATCAGCGTTATGTTCTTTCCTCTGACAGCTACCAGAAGAACAATGCGGGTGTACCGAAACCACCGGACCTATGGATACATCACGACCAAATGGAGCTGAAAAACATTGACAAGTCTATCCACAATGCCACTCCCGTCTGCAGCGATGGCGCCTCCAGCAGCGGAGCACTCACACTGCCCCGTTCCGTGGTTCACAGTGAATACGAAGTTGAGACGCCGGTGCCAGCGCATGTAACCAACTCATTGGATAAACGATCATACGTACCGGGCTATATGAGTAAGGAAACAACGGATAGCAACACCATTTCTACAGCCAGTAAACATAAATGTGTCTTTCCACAGCAACATCTATGAACTCGACCATGGAGCGACCGCAATATCCGCGAACCCAGTATAACCATCAGAATCGCTCCCACATGACCATGGATACGGGTCTGTCGCAACAGAGTCTGACACAACCACAGAACAACTCGTTGGCCCAAACGCCCGAGCATCCCTATGGCGGCTATGACGCCAATTTCTGGTAAGCTTCTAAAATCGAATTTATTATTTTGAAATCTGCCCAAAATCATCATTGTTATTCTCATTTTTATTTTATGGTCAATACAGGCAAATAATTTGCGCAAAAATTTTGCAAGTTTGCAAAAAAACAATTCTTTACTAAGAGAAATCTGTTCTGAATTTTCTAATCCAATAATTACAGCTCCATTTTCCAACAAGAAAAATGTACAAAGATACAAAAATATGTGCAAAAATTATGCTTTCCCAGAAAGCATCGCTCTAAAAAAAAGGAATCTCCTGTTGATTAAATGTCGTTATTTATTTATTACATTGTCTGTCGACATAGGGGAAAATATATAAAAATTATAAAAAGCCTAAGAAGGAGAGATCTAATCAAATTACAATAATATCTAATTAACGCCTCCGACCCGGTGTGGGAATATTATTTGCATTCGGCTAGCTGTGGTCAGAGGCGTCAATAGATCTACCGGTATAAAAAACAGACTGAGTTACAGAAAAGACATTTAAATATTTACTGAATCGTATTTGAGAACAAAATATGTACTAAGTACTACCGAGACTACGATTATTTTCTCTGCACTTCGAACTCTCGAATTTTGAAAACTGTAAAATGTTTTCTAGCGGAAAACACACAGCATTGAGAATAACTGATAGCAATTTATTTTGGTGAAATGCTTATAAACAAATATTATAAATACGAAACGAAAATATATGTATCACACCACTGGGTATAATTCTGGAAAGTACTAGAATTCAGAAAAATAAATATTTGAAAAATTCTAGCATGTAATCCTGCATTTAATTAAAGGCTAGTTTGTGGGGCGCATTTTTGACCCCCAATTGAGGATTATTTGTTTCCTAGTACTATAAATAAAGCCTACTACTCAAGAAACCACAAATAATTGTGTCCTATTTATGGGACTATATAGCAGCCGTTGCTTTAAGTTTTTTAGTAATTATCGAAAATCAGAGACTAGTTGTAAGGCAAAATTCCAAAAATAAAGGCAATATACTATACCTTTTGGCTTGGATCGAAGAAAAAAATTACCGCTCTAAAAAATGTCGACAAGAACGCGTTGGGGACGAGTCGATCCCACTGTCCAAATCAATTTAATCCACGGTCGTTCCAGCAAAGTGGTCCAACTGAACAATAAGACGCTGCCACGACGTGTGGAGCAGCAATTGCTGTTGATGGCCTCGCCGTCGCCGTTTCTAAACTTCATGAACAAGTTCCGCCTCGATGAGATATTGATCAATCATCACTATAAGGGCGTCTATAGCATGCGCACTGCTGCCACAATTACGGAACTGGCCACATATACGTGGAATGTAATGTCCATTGGCGATCGTCAGCCGTACATTAAGCTGGCCAAGAAGGCGCAACAAATACAACGAGCCCGTCGTCTTGACTTCCAAAAGCAGGAGGCAAAGCGTGGCACGAAGTCGTCGCTGAAGAAAGCCATGACAACAGTGTCTCGGAAAAAGGCAGTCTAATGGCACTAATGGCATTAAATTGTGGACGTTCAATTTATTATTAACTAGTATTTAGTATAGGTTTTGGCTCTGTTTATGAAATGAATGCACTTTTGATTGACCCTACACCGTTGATGTTTTACTTAATATTTCTACTCCTTCCACTTCCAGTAATGCGGGCTATGCGGGTGGTAGCAATGTGGGCGGCAGTGGTGCGCCCAACAACGGCTGTGTGTCCACCATAGAGAGCGCCAAGCGTGGCCATCCACTAAAGAGTTTCAGCGTACCAGGTCCACCGCCCACAGGCGGAGCAACGCCCATCAATAAGCACAGTAAGGACTTTGAAAACAAACGATTACCCCAGAAAGTAGCTGACATTTTTTTCTTTAGCAGCTCCTGCCGTTACAATACGTCCACAAAATCAATCGCCCTACAAGAAACCCTCGTTCTCGGCCGCCACGCCCAATCGCTTGCAAGGCGGCGGCTCAGTTGCGCATTCCACCGACGAGATTCAAAGACTGGCGCCCAGCACATCCACCGAGGAGCTAAATCAAGAAATGGCCAATCTCGAAGGACTGATGAAGGATTTGAGCGCAATAACAGCGAACGAATTCGAGTGTTAACACCAATAACCTAAAGACAAGAACATAGTTAAAAGTATTATGCAGAATCCGTTTTTTATGTTATTTGTTTTTTAATTTCTGTTGCGATTTTATCTCGAATTTGTAACTCGAATTGGCCATTTTTTGTACATTATCATTTGTGTAGTATTCGATTAGCTTTTATGTTTATAGTTTATAATATAGTTTATACATATTTTGGACCGATGATAACTGTAAATATTAATGAAGCCATATATACATATAAATAACGTTTTATCATAGGTATTTTTAAACGAAAATGTAAAAAAAAAAACAAGTGAGAAAAAGAAATATGAGAAATGTACGTTTGTTGGGATGCTGCCCCTGGCATTTATTTATATTTATTGATCCTAGCTTAAATACCATGTGTTTCATTTAAATGTAAGGTATGGTCAGACATCCATATAATTTCCTCACAAATATATCAAATGTCAAAGTTATGTCAAAAACATAATATTACTTCAAATAAAACCAATCAAAATTCCTTACTAAAGTATAGTCTCGTACTTGTAGAGTAAGACAAATTGCTGAGCAAATCATTTGCCATGTCTGACCGTAGCTTTACATTCGGCTGCAAGCATGCGACATAAATACACACATATATATAGAAATATATCTTTATAATTTAAACATAAAGTCACTCAAGGCACATTCTTACAAGATCTACGCAGCCCTATACACTAAGTCTCATATTGGTAAATCATTTAAACCATAATATTTATGCTACATATTTCAACTTAAGAATCAAAACGTGCTTGGTAATTTGCGAAAAATATCAATTCAATATGTGTTTGTCTACATTATGTAAGAGCCGACGTTTAGTTTTCCAAGAAGCCTCCTAAGTTTGGAACGTGCCATTTTGATTTAATAAAAGACTATTTACTTAAGCCCTTAAGTCAAAAACTAGACTAGACTATATTCTAAGACGGCATTTATTACCTAAACTCTACCAGTTATACGCTATATTCATACATACAAGTATATGTACTATATACATATTTATTCGTAATGAAATTTGTGTGTAAGCCACCCTTTGTGCATTTTGATGTGTTCAAAATTTTATACCTACTAAAGAGTCGCTTATGTCAGAATTAAATTATTTTCCATTTCGAAAATCCACTAAGATGCCTGCAGTAAAAATAATTTTCAATGGCCATGTGCTGCGGATTGAAAAGTAATTACCTACAAAAAAATATAAATGCACAAACTTTGCAACAACATAACTAATAAGTATGTTAACCTTTTTGACAAAACCATTTTCACATGACCGGTTCAAGAATAAGCATAACGTTAAAGAAATATATGGAAATGGAACTTTAGATTTTTTCAGCTTATCGGGAAGTTTTGAACTTTTAAATTGTTTAAATGTTACTTGTTGTTGAACCGTGAATACGAAATACAAAAAAGATAGAAAGCCCACGTCAACAATTTGGAAAAAACTATAATTTTAACAAAACTCTGTAACCATAAATGAAAAATAAAAAAATATATACCGACATTTTTGTGAAATCGACATTGCTTTGAGTTTATTTAAACGGAATTTTAGATTATATCTCATCCTTGAATAGAAACACATCTACTTCCGCTTTCAAGTCCAATTTTGAGAAGAATTTAATTTCAAACTTAAAATCACCCTGTGGCAAGGGTAAGTTTTGTAAATATTCTTCCAAAAACACGTATTTATCTATTATTATGTCGTGCTGTATGAAATACGAGAGTATAAGGACATGTTTTGTTAGCTTTATATTCGGATTTACTCACGTTAATGGGACATGTGTGATTCAAGTTCGAGTTTTTCATGACAGACCCCATTACAAGGGCCTAAAAATGAAAACTTTCTCTTTTGCGCCAAGAGATCACATATATCCATGGTTTCGTTATAAATAAAGGGACGGTATCCACTTACTCGCCGCCAGGCACTCACATTCATCTGAAATGTTCGATGGGCGTGAATATTATTCTAGTACATTCGAAACAAAGTCACACGAACTAACCTTTATCTTAGGTAGCGGAAGTTGAAGCACTTTGGCAAATATACTCGCACCCACTACTCCTCGGTTTATTACCTTTAGTTCACATTTTGTAAATTCCCCGAACGATTTGTCGAAACAGGTACATTTAATGTTCGTTAATCTGGATCGGAGCTTTCGACTTTGGCAAATCCCAATTAGAACAATGAGAAGGAAAACACGTCTGGTTAGCGCGGACATTTTTGTTCACTGATGCGGTATAGCGAAAGTATTGAAAAGTATTAATAGAGAAATCGGTAATCTGTACACTGAACTCTTATTACACTTGCACCGCAACTGAAAGTTTATATTTAAATGTCTTTTTATAATCCGAACAAATATTTATTTTACTTAATTTAGTAATTCCACCGGAAAGATTCGATTTGTTATGATCAAAAATATTTTAGTAAAAGACAAAACTTGGTCAATGGATCACAAAAAGTTAATGCATTGCCATCAAAACCGAAATATTGGAACATTTTCAGACAGACAACATATAAGAGTATTTCCAGAAGCGCAGACTAAAAGACTATCATATTTAAAAAATCATTAGCAATTCAAAACTGCGCAATATACACAATTTATTTATAGTCTACTGCGTTCATGCGACTTTTTTTATATCACAATAAAATGGGAACCAATTTATTGAACCCAATGCTTTTAAATAACAGGGCGTCACCTCATAGGGGAGGGGAACTGGCTTTAGAAATCGTCTCTCGGTCACACTCGGCTGGATGATATGCAAATAAGAAAAACTAAAATAAATATGTAGTGTTCCCTAATCAAAAAGCTAAGGTAGAATATCATCTGTAAATAATGTTGAGGTATGCAAGGAATCAGTAGTAAGGTTTGTGTATCAGGATTTATTTCGGATGGAAGTTGGTTCATTAAAACCGATGTCTGGTTTTGAGTAGGGCCGGGCAGTCAGTCAAGATATGAGTCACCGTCCTCATCGCGGCAGCTCCTACAGAAATCGTTGTGGGGGAAGCCGAAGATTGGAGGCTTATATGACCCATACGAAGTAGACAGACAAATATGCTGCCATCCCGTGAAGAGGTGTGCACCTGTTCTGCACTAATATCGGATATGACGAAATAAAATTGATGGATTCTATAGCCCCTTGACCATCCGAGTGCATGCAAATATTTCTTATATCTGTTGCAAACACTTTGCATAGCATAATAATTAGCAGACTGCTTTGGCCTCCCACTAATTCAAAAGCAAACTGCACAGTTTCATCTCGATGAATAAAGTGCCTTTTATCTAAGTATAATGCGACTAATGGATGCGCATATGGAACATGTTTACCATAGCACAAGGGAGCATTCTTACATTTCGCATGTAATTCAAAATAATTCATTTACTATATGCTACTTAAATCTAGACTTCAAACAAATACTTAATAACTCCTAAGTGATGGCAAATAGAAATTCAAGTTGTGAAATCTCTTATAAATAAAACTTAAAAAGAAATTGTAAAATTTCTAATAAATTAAATTAACAAAAAAAATATTGTGACCGCCCTACTCTGCGATTCTCATACTAAGTAGTTAAGTGACGGCAAATCAAGAATTAAATTGTGAAATTTCTGATAAATTCATTAAACAAAAATATTGTGTCTGCCCTCCTCTGCGATTCTCATACCCAGTACCTAAATGTTGGCAAACGTGAATTAAATTGTGAAATTTCTGATAAATTAAATTAAATAAAAATAAATAGTGAAATTTCTGATAAATTAAATTAAATAAAAATAAATAGTGAAATTTCTGATAAATTAAATTACATTTTAAAATTGTGTCTGTCTTCCTCTGCGATTCTCATACCAAGTACCTAAGTGATGGCAAATCGAGATTTAAGTTGTGAAATTTCTGATAAATTTAATTAAATAAAAATAAATTGTGAGTGCTCTCATAAATTAAATTAAATACAAAAATCTTGTAGCCGCCCTCCTCTGATATTCTCATACCGAGTACTTAAGTGATGGTAAAAGAGAATTAAATTGGAATTTTTCTGATAAATTAACTAAAAATATTGTGGAAATAAATTGTGAAATTTCTGATAAATTAAATTAAATAACAACTTGTAGCCGCCTTCCTCTGCTTTTCTCATACCAAGTACTTGAGTGATGAGAAATGAGAATTAAATTTTGAAATTTCTGATAAATTATATAAAAATATTGTGGAATTAAGTAGTGAAATTTCTGATAAATTACACCTAATTCTTTTTTATATGGTTTCGATTTAACACGGTTTTAATTAATTTTCATTTTTTACTCTATGGAATAGAACAGAGTTCGATATTAGTTCGATTTAAAATAACACAACACAAATGAATAAAAACATACACAGCTTACAAACAACTAGAAACCGTTCTTGTATGGGTAGATGCCGAACGGGCAAGAGAGAGTTCAGTTCAAAATTAAATTTCATTCTGTATTTATGAAAAATGTTAAATTTTAATTTTTTTTATCTTATAAATTGAACATTCTCTTTGTTAACAACAAAGCTGTTTTACATACATACATACATAATTGTTTTTAGTTCCTAAACTTGTCATACAATTTAATTTACATTACATACTTTTAAGCTTAGAGTGCATATCTTTTTTTTTGTGTATATCAAAATAAACATAAATGGTTGTTCTTAAAAATTCCTTCTTTTTCACCAATTTTAATAGGTTTTAGAGATAAGGGTGTGATTGTCACCTATTTTTGCATATGATCAATGTCTTTTTTACACGGTTTTTACTGGAATCAATCTACCGTGTAAAAATAGAATTTGGTGAGATAATTAAAATAAAAATACTTTTAAATATTTCTGAATAATCTTTATTTAGGTATTTAAAAGTTGGGTTTGCTCAACTCGAACATTACCGATAGTACAGATACCAATATTTGAGTGTTTTTTTCCCCTTGACATGCTTTTTGGCAAAAACTGCTTTAAAATTGAATACTGAGCTTAGCAGAAAGTTAACATCACATCATTTTACAACAATAATTAGAACCGAAGAGCATTGCGCTCTTCATAGATCATAAAGAGTAATGTCTGTGTTGGGAGTAAGAGAGAAAGCAGTTGATCAGCTCGTCCGCCAATATGCAGAAAACTCGGGAGGCCACAACGTTGGGCCCAAGCGGCAACCAGTTTACGTTTGGTAGCGGTGGCGCTTAGTTGAGGCAAACGAGGCGGAATTTTGTTCGTGCAATTCAAATGTGCGACTTTTAAGCTATAAAGCATTCATGTGCTGGAGTATCCGTATCTGTCAACGCTAAAGAAAACATAAGCCAATTCGAAATCAAGACAGAAGACGAGTGAAATCTGATTTGAATTTTAATCAGCCTGTGTACAAAAAATAAATAAAAGCTTTTGACGTGTCGAATTTCGTAACGAAAATGAACAAACTGCCGCATTGCGTTTGGCGAGCCACAACTGGCCAACAGACCAGATGTATGTCAAAGTTTAGTGCCAAAAAGGCAGCTGCAAGTGCAACCACTTTGTTGCAAAATGAACAGCAAATACCGCTCAGTTTACAGCAATCGCGTGAAAATTCCGCAACCACAGCAGAAACTGCGACCTGTCCCCACTTGAGTGCACCATTGGAGGAAGCCGCCGGATCGCGCATTCACACCACCGCTGAGTGGCAGAATGCACTGCCCTATAATGAGATACCTGGACCCAAGCCCATACCAATACTCGGCAACACTTGGCGGTAGTTAAAGAGAAAAAACAATTTCCATTGCAATCGCGTCAGCAACAAACCAAAAGACTTAGGCGACAAACTTGCTTGCTTTCACTTTACATTGCACTGCACTTTTTGTTTCATCCATTCACTCCATCCGCTATAATTTGTAATTAATGCACCTCTTCATTTATGTACATACACACATACAAATATATTTTTTACACTCCGTAAGCTCGGCTTTGAGGCACAGCTAATTGCGCATTCTTACATCTCTCAACTTTTGAAAAAATTCATACTTTCGGTTTTACGCCACACGCTTCTCTTGACCCAAATATCTGCATTGTGTGCTGCCCATAAAGATCATGAACATGAACAAGATGTTACTGATGAAGACGACGATGTTGATGTTGATGCTGATGCTGATGATGATGACGATGCTGATCACAGCTTAACTGCTGTTGATTTTTCGCTTTGACATTAAGATGCACAGCCCAACGCCGTACAGTGGGTATTTGCGTAGCAAATATCATAAATTTACAATGGAAAAATTATTTGGAAATGCTTTCAAAATTGTTGTAAATTACTTAATTGTTCATAGTTAAAACTTGAGTCGTAGAATGTGCAACAACTTCAAAAACTAAAAGAATGCAGCAATGTCTCCTAAAAGCAAAAAAAAAACCTAATTTGGGAGCTCTTTGAAATTATGTATACAGGTCAGAAGTTTTCAAATTTAAGAAAGGATTAAAAAAGTAATTTCTTTTTTATGAGTACTTACAAGTACATCTAACTACACTTCAGAAAAGTATAAATTGAAATATGCCAAAAACGTCTTTATTTAAATGCGCATTACTTTAATTTTTAATTTGGCGACAAATCAAATAATTTTTACACAAATCATTTTATTAAATTTGTAGCTAAAACGATATTCAACCATTTAAGGCACATAAATTCTCCTACAATCAACTAGCTACAACCAAAGATTGTTACTTAATACTTAATACAACAACGAATGCAACAAAAAAGTTATAAATTTAGCGAAAAATACTTCATCACTAATTCTCGACTTCATTGGACATTAAAGTAATGGCATCACACAAGCTAATTTAATCCAAAACTCAAACCTTTCCATTTGCCACAAGCCATTTTAAATATTTTGATTTCTGCCAAAGAAATGAGGGGAACTTGCCACTGTGCGTCATGGTTGTAGTAGGCATGCAAAACATTTTACTGACCACATCCAAACGGGTTTCTTATCCATGGGCGTGCCAATACACGTTACGAGTTTTATATTAGTTTACAAATATTTAGCAACCTCTTGAAGATCATTAAAAGCGGAAAACAAAAAATGTCTGCGTTTGATTCTTGTTAAATGTGCGTAAGGTTTTTGTTATTATAATTGGCACCTCTAACTAGACATTTCCTACACAAAACTATCCAACAACTATTAACATACATATACATATGTATCTATTTGTGGCTAGTGCCCAAAATTTGTTTAGCGTCCACTTTGTGGAATATCCACAGACGCCCCGTCATCATCCAATTAGCGTTCAATTAGCGCACTTTTCGATTTCAAGGTCAGCGCAACGTGTGATGTTTTGGTGCAAGCCAGATGGTACACTAAACCATTAATAAATATTTGCGTATGCATATTAAACCCACAAATACAAGTACTAGCAATTTATTTTTCGCATATTGCATTTGCTTCTCATTGTTCACCAAAATTGTCAATGTCATGCGAATCCCAATGAGCATTTACTTAAGGGGTTCATACAATGGGTGAAGGCCAACTTCATTGATTTTACACCTTGCAGCCTAATGCCAATTATTGGACAGTACACTATATCGGATGTGGCCAAAATTTCGTCATTATTACACGAACGCTATGGAAGGATTGTGCGTTTTGGCGGCCTGATTGGTAGGCCGGATTTGCTCTTCATCTACGACGCCGACGAAATCGAAAAGGTATGTTCCTTATTCTGAATTCAATGTCGACTGTGTGACGAAAAACAATAAAAGACATGTTTAAATCCAACTTTGCGAATAATTTGTTATGGAAGACTGAACACTGCCACTGGCAGCGAAGCACGTCGGCATTACAACAATTTGCAGCGTTCTATGGCGACTTTTTTAGCCACGACTGTAATAGCAAATTACTCAAAAAATTGCTCAAAGCCTTTACAAATTTTCAGTTTCTTAAACTCAATGAAGTTATTTCTGTTTGCAGTGCTACCGAAGCGAAGGGCCAACGCCATTCCGGCCCTCGATGCCTAGTCTGGTAAAGTACAAAAGCGTTGTGCGCAAAGATTTCTTTGGTGAACTGGGAGGCGTAGTAGGCGTGTAAGTATATATAAAAGACTATATACATATCAACTAGACATTGGAAAAGCTATATGATATTTAAAATGCTCTGGCTAGCTGGTAATATTAATCAAAGTGAAGTTTGAGAGCGTTGGAGGGCTTGAATGAGAGGATAGCCTTCGTGAGGGCTAGGTGTAATATCTCCTAGGGGTTACTTCAAAAATCGATTAATAGTAAAAGTATCAAGCATTCATAATAATTAGGTTTTCTTAAATTTCCATGCTTCTTTTCTAAGTAGTTCTAGATACTTACTATCAATTACCATTGGCATTACAATTGGCAAAATGTATATATTTATGTGTACATATATCCATGGTTAAATAAAATTTACATGTTCAATTCAGTTCAGTTATCTACCGTATATTAAGAATAAATCTACGTTTTTAGAGCTTTTAGACAAACTGTCAAAAATTTAAATTGATTAATTGAATAATTGTATTATTATTTTATTTAATGTGTATCAAATTTTCTTCTACACCATCAATTTAAGGCACGGAGAACCTTGGCGTCAGTTTCGGTCACGGGTTCAAAAGCCTGTTCTGCAACTATCCACAATAAGGCGGTATTTGCAGCCCCTAGAGGTCATCACACAGGATTTTCTGGTACGCTGTGAACAGCTGCTAGATGAAAATGAGGAACTGCCCGCAGATTTTGATAATGAAATACACAAATGGTCTTTGGAATGTATGTAGCGAAATATATAGTATATAAAAAAACGCTCTGAGATAATAATAATTTATCCTGCAGGCATAGGACGTGTGGCGCTGGACACACGGTTGGGTTGCCTGGAGCCAAATCTATCGCCCGACTCGGAGCCACAGCAAATTATTGATGCGGCAAAGTATGCGTTGCGCAACGTGGCAACCCTGGAGTTAAAAGCACCCTATTGGCGGTATTTTCCCACGCCTCTATGGACCCGCTACGTCAAGAATATGAACTTTTTTGTGGAGTAATATATTTGTATCTTATTTGAAACTTTTACCATTAATATAATTTTTTACAGTGTCTGCATGAAATACATACAGAGTGCAACCGAACGTCTCAAGACCCAAGGGCCCAGTCAACATGCAGGCGAGCCCTCTTTGCTCGAGAAAGTGATTTTGTCACAGAAGAGTGACAAAATAGCTACCATAATGGCATTGGATTTGATTCTAGTGGGCATAGATACGGTAATTACTATTTTTAAATTATAAATGGACTTTACGAACAAAATGGTATAAGGGGCCCTAGGTGATTATTTTATCTATATAATTCTATCCGATATTACACTAGTATAAAGTTACATTTTATGACATAGTGTTATCTGCCAGTTAAAATTTCACATTATAGCATTTATAGGTCTTTTAATTTCTGGTGATATTTTATTTTAAAATATTAAGTCTTTAACCCGTTGGAGGAAATATAGTTTAGTTATTTTCACAAATGACTTCAGTAATTTGGTAAAGTATCTAATATATGAATAAGTTTGATATCCAATTTCATTTAGAACGATTTGAACTCAACAATATTTAAAGGTAGTTGTTAGATTTTCGGCCTCTGTTTTGATTTACATATTTTCTGTGTTTACATAATTGAAATATATTTCAAAAAAATTTATAATTTATATTGACCTCAAAACAACGAAATAGACAAAGAAGAAACCTCTGTAGGATAAAAATAAGGTACAATTGGCTAACGATTTAAAAAAAAAAAAAACATAAAAATTTGAGTGATTTTGATCCAAACGTTTTGTTTAAATAAAAACACCATTTAGTTTGAAATAACTATGTTGAAAAACTTAAAAACAACTTGTTTCTTGCCCATACCTACGCCCCAAGCAAAATTCCGAATTGATTTAAAATTAATCATTCCTTCAAAATAGATTTCTATGGCTGTATGTTCAATGCTCTATCAACTGGCAACGCGACCTTTGGAGCAAGAGAAGCTGCATGAGGAACTGAAGCGACTGTTGCCTGATCCGAACACGCCTCTGACGATACCATTACTGGACCAAATGCATCAGCTGAAGGCATTCATTAAGGAGGTCTTTCGCATGTACAGCACAGTGATTGGCAATGGGCGAACCTTGATGGAGGACAGCGTTATATGTGGATATCAAGTTCCCAAAGGCGTTCAGGCAGTATTCCCCACCATAGTTACTGGCAACATGGAGGAATATGTAACTGATGCGGCGACATTTAGGCCTGAACGTTGGCTAAAGACCCAACAGGGCGGATTCGAAGGCAAGCTCCATCCTTTCGCTTCGCTTCCTTATGGCTATGGGGCTCGAATGTGCCTGGGCCGACGTTTTGCCGACTTGGAGATGCAAATCCTGCTCGCCAAGCTGTTGCGCAACTACAAGCTTGAGTACAATCATGCGCCTTTAGAATACGCCGTGACCTTCATGTATGCGCCGGAGGGCCCGCTACGATTCAAAATGACACGCATATAGTTCTTAGGACTTTAAAAAATTATTATTCATGTTATCTATAAACAAATGTATATTAAATGAAATTTATACTGCCTCCTAATTCAATTTCAGATGCGCTGCATTAGGTAGAAAAATAGATATAATAGTGGAAGCTGAAAATAATAAGGAAATACATAAAGATATACATATGTACATACATATGTATGGACTATAGAAGTATTGAGGTTTTTCTACTTAATTTACCTAGGGAGAATATGAATATCCAAAGTATAACCGGAATGCAGCCAATCGTCATTAATTTAGGCATTACCACATGCCCAACGGTTGTAGAGAGCCGCCCCAGTGTAACCGATGTAAACATAAATGTCGCACTATAAAATCAAATACAAAATTAAATTTTCGTATTATCTTTGGTTTTAATAAATTAATTATTGCTTACCGAACTGAGGTCGGAAACATGTGGACAGCTAAACTGATCAGTGATATGGTGCCCACATGGGAGACTCCCAGATAAAATGCCGGTACAGCAAGTACCAAATAATTGGAAACAAAGTAAAGAACGGCTGCCAATATGGTAGTGAGTGTAAATGCGCTAACTGAAACCAATACAATTTTAATATATTATCTTAAGCAAATGAATACCACTTACTAAGCACGATCTTTGGCCCGAAAAAGTTTAGAAAGAAAAATGCTGCAAAAATACATACAAAGTCAATGGCACTGAAAACCAAGTTATTCGAGTAATAGGTCCAGTTTAGACGCCAACCACTTGGTTTCACTTCCGTCATTGTTTCATTTCTATTAGCTTCCTGTTGTACAGCTAATTCTGTGGCCGAAACCACATTCTCGATGAGACAACAGAAGTCGATGTCGGTTACACCCTTTAAAGATTCTGCGGCTGCAATCAACGTTGGCTGCCAAAGGCGTGTTGTGTTCTGTCTGCAAACAAAACCTGAAATAAGCCTTTAGAAGCTTTTCATATTTCTTACACATACATCATGAATACACAGAAATCGGTTGAGAAGAGCAGCAATCCATATACAGCGTACTCCTTACGAAAAACCATTCGAAATTTACCAAGTTCTTGGAGCAAATTCAACTTGCGATACGTGTCTGCATCGGTTGGAGGCTGTAATGTAATAGGCAAAGAGTAAGTCTGATACGGCAAAAGGAACTCTGGATTTAACCTACTGGTAATGGAAACGAATCAGCCGGTTTGCAAGTGTTTATATGATAAATGGTTCGAAATGTGCGATGCGCCTTCGAGGATTTACCAGCATTGATGTCAAATCTCGGGCTCTCGGGTAGAAAAATAAAAGATATCCCCATAATTAGGCTTGGTATTGTTGTTACAGTCATATAGAATTGCCAGGATGTATCTAACAATAGGTAAGAATTGAGACAGTGCTCGATTGCTATCAGTAGAGGTACTTACAACGCAAGCCCAAAGGATCGATTCTCCAATAGTTAGGCAAAATAGGCATGGCCAAAATCGGTAAGACAGCGCTTGCAGATGTCAACATAAGCCCGATCACGAACAACATGCGAATGCGTTTTTTCTGTTCATGCACCTCGGACATATAGATGATGAAAGTCGTATAGCCGCCACATATGCTGTAAAATTTATAAGATAGCAATTGGCAGAAAAATTAATTTGTCACTTTGCCTTTCGGTCGCTTACCAGAATCCAGCGCAAAATTTAAATAAAAGTATAAACGTAATGGTCTGTGACAAAGCAGCACAATTACAGAAAATAACATCCAGCAGATGAGTTATAATGAGCACTGTTCTGCGTCCTTTGCAGTCGGCTAGAAGTGCCCAAATCAAGGCGCCAAATATCATTCCCCAATATGGGGAGGCGTTCAGTAAACCCTTTTGGGTTATCGACAGAGTTATGTCGGTTTGCATAGCCGTCAATATATACGATCCCACACTAGTGGCAAATATAATGGCGAATGACATCATTCCTGCTAAGAATATAACAATATAGTTGAACAGTCCAAACCCCGTTTGTGAGATTCCTGACTCAAAGGCCTCAACTTGGGCTGCCTGGACCTCAGCCTGTTTCTCCTTATCCATGCCGGCTATATAAATTTATTACTTGATAAAAGTAAATTTTAATGTATGCATATATAGATGTTATAAATTAAATGATTAAAAAGTTCTCGGCTACTTGTTTCACATTCTCATTACATCGTACATATATATGTATTTGTATGTATGTATGTATGTATGTACTCAGATATTTTATTTTCGTTTCCACATGCTGTACCAATTTTTAACGATTTTCAGACTTTTATCGGCATCAGCTTTTGTTTCGCCGTAAAGTTCGTATACAATATCTGCCTTATAGGAGTCGCGCGCTTCTTCCAGAATTGTTCCAAAAATCTCACACTGAATATTGGACTCAAGCTTCTTTGCATTGTACCCACGGCCTTTCAATCTATCGTAGAGCGTTTTATTGGGGCAGGTCACAACGAAAACGGCCTGAAACCAGCGCTCGGGAAAGAAATCACAACCGTGATATTCCACAATGTTTCCGCCTTCGGCCATCAGCGGTTCCAGATGGTCCATAAGCTTTAATATAATCAGGCTTGAGTTAACACAATACAACTTACGATTGCATCCTATTTACCTTTTCCTCATCAAGAATGGGGCACTCATATTCCGCATCAAATTCTTCAATAAAATTGTGATCCTTTGCTATTTTGGAGCAATCCAGCCAATTAAATTTTAAATGCGTAGATAATCGCTCGCACAAATATGATTTACCAGCACCAGGTGTGCCTATGCGTGACATTGTAAGGGGGTTTTCAATTATAATATGCCTATATGCTACATACCGGTAATTAAAATATTTGGCTTGGACTCAAGACTCCGCTCCGACATTGCTACGGTTTAAATGTAAAAAGGAAAACGTGCGCCAGCTGTTCTGCCCGACGAGGGCTACGCACATCGATAGCACGATAACACAAAATGAAATTATCAAATTTCATCCGCGGCATGCTTTGAAAATTTTTTTATGAACAACTAAATTAAAAAACAGTTGCAGAAATGTTTATGTTTATTTATGTTAAGATATGTACAAATTTTTCAATAAAAGATATTTTATATCTGTTTAGCAGTATTTTTGGGGTATTTGCCTGCTTCCCATCACTGACAAGTTCGTACGCTAAAACACCGTTGCTTTTTGTATTCTTCATTCTTCACATATTTACGTTGCTTTTCAACAGTAGTTTGTACTTATTCTTATAGATTCGTATGCGTGTGTGTGTATTCATACGAGTACATATGTATGTATGTATCTCCATGTAAGTTCCTTTTTCTTTAACTCTTCCATCAATCGCAACGAAGCGACTGAAAGAAGCAGTTTGTGTGTGAAATTTTTGCAGCGTGCACTTGCAATGACAAATAAAATAAAAGCACTGCAAAATAAAGTTAATGAAGCCAAACTTGAACTAGACGAAACAACAATCCAGCATATACCCTATATATTGAATGGTGAACTGTTTCGTATCGAAAGTCAAATTGGGGATAATGTAACCGTAAAATGTTGCCATTGTCCTCCGGAACGGATTTATCGCGGCAGTGTACGTTCCACGGGCAATTTTCATATGCATATTAAGGTATGCTAGTATATATATGTACATACATACATACATAAATATGTAAACGTAACGTAATTATGTACATAATGAAACTAAATATGTACATATGTATTTCATAGCGCCGTCATGCATCCTTACTGGGAAAGTTACATGAAATGAAAGTCGCAGCGCTAGTGGAACGTCGCGATCGCATTATTAAAAATCGTGCTTTGGGGGTTCAAAACCGTAAGAAATCATCGACGGCGTCAGGTACGGCTGTCGATGAACCTGCGGCTATCAAGGTTGAAAACAATCACGAGCTAAAGATCAAAACGGTATTTCAACGTCACCAACAAGAATACCAGCAGGAGGAGGCGGCAGCTATGCGCAGTGTAAGACAAATTTTGAATTCTTTTATTTAAAAATCCTCAGAATCAGCGCTGTAGAATAAATAAGAGAGCCTGCGTTTACCGTTATAATTGTTCAACTGAGAGAGCTCGCTCTTTGCATGGCTGGTATGTATCTACTGCACCTCGGTGACGTTGAATGAATCTATGTATGCTTATCATTTTGTATACATACATACATACATACATACATATTCGCTTCACATAAACGGTATTCCTGGTTACAGTTTAAGATTCGCTTTTGATTAAAGTAAATAGAAACTTCAACAAAACGGCATTACACTTCTGCCTGATATTTAATATTTTTTGGTGAACTGCTGTTCACTCGTGGTTAATTTAAATGCTGTAATATATATGTATATATATATATATAAAATCACGAGTGAATATTAAATGCAAAATATTTAAAAGGTAAATTCAAGCAATTGGGAATGCATTTAAACTAACATCGCACAATACGTTTACACTAACTGTAATAAAAAGAATCAACTCCAGGAATGATTAAAATTTGATTATTGGGTCATTTTTTGTTTCCTGGACCAAATAGTTTGCCAACCTATCTTATTAGATACAAAACGAAATTGTCATCCAGTCTATTAAGTTTTTACTTTTAGCGCTTTCTTTTTGAATTAAATTAAAATAGTCGCTGCGTCAACTGATTAAGATTTGTAATAGATAAATCTATTACAAATTAAAATCAGTTGCGGGAATACCCTTATTATCTTTTCCTTAGGGCACTACTGCCTGCGATTCGCTGTTGGAAAAAACCAACCAAACGAATAAAACGGACACTAACAACAATATTAAGCATTTGCTTCAGGATGTACGAAATGTGAGTTATTATTAACAATAATTGTTTTGTATTATACATTTAGCAAACTTGTGCAATCTTCAGCTACCGAATCTCAATCCAGCATTGGTCAGTGCTTTGATTACAAATCAAAATGGATCCGTAACCATGCCCACCACCTACAATCCATCTACCTCCGTCGGTCATGCTATAGGGAATGTACCACGCTATTTGCCTTTCAATGTGATCAAACCAGAGCAAAACGCCCCATTGCACCAAGATTCAGAGGCTATTGATCTAAGCACTGGATCGATGTCAGGCGATGACAAAGAACGAAGTGCTAATACTTTGCAGGAGCCTCAATCCACTCTTCCTCCTCAGTTATCGCCCTATGTCAGTGGAATGCCACGCGATATCTTGCTCTTTATTGACAAGAGGTTAAACGGAATTAGACAGGAGCTGCAAATGCGCAACCAAATCGAACAGAAACGTTTACTTTTGGAGGCTGCCAAATTCAAGTTCCTACATCCCGAATTTCATTTTGAAACATTTCAATGAACTGAATGGCACAATTCAGTTTCAGATCCATTGATGCATTTTTACTATACTTAATTTGTAGTTCCTTGAAACATGTAGCATATTTTCAAATGCATATACTCGTTACTTAAATAAATACCACTTACGAAAGTTAACGCTACCTTTCTCCCATATATGTATGTATGTTGGGGTCGAAAATTGCATCTCAGTTATCGAGTATGTTATCGGTGAAAGTATCGCGAGTCACTGGAAGCCATTGTAGTCTGAACTTGTGGAACAACAAAGAAATATTGGGGTTGTCCCGAGTGACTTGAGCGTAATTATTTAATGATGAAGCCAAAGCGCAATGGCAGTACCCGATCTGACAAGGACAAACTGATTGAATTGGAAGAGTCAAGCAGCGACGATGAACACGATTCGTTCACGAAGCCAGTTGCAACAAGTGAGGGTTCTACATCTGTGAACGCCGATGGTATACAACGCCAGCTAACAGGTGTATATAATACCGACCCAACGGATGATATTCCACCGTTGTTGGGAAACGACGCTCCATTCGTAAGTTGCGGCCCCTTGCATATACAATGTAATGTACGTATATTAATTTTTAAAATTGTATTGTATGAATCATCAAATGCTACACAAAGGGTCAGACTGCAAATGCCGCTAGCGTTAGTGCCCAGCAGCTATCGGAACCGGAGCCTGTGTTTCATTTACGGTCCCGCACAGCGGCTGTTAACGCTGAAAGTGCACAGGCAGCAATTGAACAGGACACCTACGAGGTATCAAAACAATTCTGATGCTACATTGCATTTGTTATAAAATAATTCAATTTTTAGAGTTTGGATTATGAGGTCTGCGAGAACAAGCTGTTTCTGGAAGAGGAGCGTAGATGGCTGAGCGAACGTTTTTCGCTCCGAAAGGGTATAATGCGGTGGATTATTTTTATTCAAATTGGCATTATAACGGCGCTGATTGCGTGCGTTATAGATATTGTAATTGAAACATTATCGGAAGTAAAGTACAACATCTTAAAGAAATGTAAGTCCAGCAAAAGCCATACAACTAACACCTAATTCTTGATAACTGCCCCAGCTGTGGACGAGAACACGCCGATGCGTCAAGAATCTAGCGATCTGGTATGGCCATATCTCTACTGGATCGCATGGAGCATTGTTCCGGTGCTCATTGGCACCACCATGGTTACCTTTATTGAGCCCATAACCGCCGGAAGTGGGATGCCTCAGGTAAAAAGTTATCTAAATGGCGTCAAAATTCCACGGATCGTACGCATCAAAACGCTAGCTGTCAAAACTATAGGTGTGATCACGTCAGTTGTGGGTGGCCTGGCTGGCGGAAAGGAGGGTCCCATGATACATTCTGGAGCTGTTGTAGCGGCAGGATTGTCCCAGGGTAAGAGCACAACTTTCGTGAAGGATTTCCACATATTCAAGGCTTTTCGGGACGATCACGAGAAGCGCGATTTTGTGCTGGGCGGTGCAGCGGCAGGCGTTGCAGCTGCTTTTGGTGCTCCCATTGGTGGTATGCTGTTCTCATTGGAGGAGGCAGCTAGCTTCTGGAACCAGAATCTTATTTGGCGTACACTGGTCGCATCAATTATAAGTTCATTCACGTTGAACATTGTACTGTCTGCATATCATGGCCTTCAGAGTTTAACATTTACGGGTCTCTTCAATTTGGGAAAATTTGATCAACCTTTGACATTTAACTATTATGAGTTGCCCCTCTTTATGCTGCTGGGTATAACTGGTGGCCTCCTTGGCGCCGCTTGGAACTCGTTAAATACAAAAATTAATGGCTTTCGAAGACGTTACTTCCGCTGGAAATTAGCGAGAGTTTGCGAGGCAGTAATGGTGGCGATATTGGGTGTAACATTAGCGTGCATGATGATTTATCTTATTAATGACTGTCGCCCCCTTGGAAATGATCCAACTGCTTATCCAGTTCAGCTTTTCTGTGAAGATAATGAGTATAATGCGGTGGCTGCCCTTTGGTTTCAAACGCCCGAAGCAACGGTGCGAGCCCTCTTTCATGATCCCCCAGGTAAGTTGCCGTAAATCTACTGTTTTCTTTATTTCAATCTCTTTTTATTTCTTGACAGGATCCCACAAAATACTCTCACTGACCATATTCACGATTGTGTATTACATTTTGTCCTGCCTGACTTTTGGTCTCAACGTTTCACTCGGTGTTTTCATTCCCACTGCTCTGGTGGGCGCTGCTTGGGGACGACTTTTCGCCATGTTGCTGTTTTATACTTTTCCCGAGGCTGTAAGCTGTGGACCTATGGACCATTCGCTTTATTACTCATTACATTTTTTCTGCAGAGCTTTTTACATCCGGGAAAATACGCACTCATAGGGGCTGCAGCCAATTTGGGAGGCGTACTCCGCATGACAATCAGTCTGTCAGTCATACTTATGGAGACGACTTGTATTGAGCCGTCATTTTTTTTCCCGCTAATTATTACACTTATTAGTGCCAAGTGGGTAGGGGACTATTTTAATGAGGGCCTTTATGACATACAGATCGAAGTGAATCATGTGCCAGTGCTGCCTTGGGAACCACTACCTCAATACAAAGGTCTCACGGCTCGCGAGATTCTCAGCAAGCCGGTTATATGCATTAAGCTCCATGACAGCGCTCAATATATCTACGACGTCCTCTCGTCTAGCAATCATAATGGATTTCCCGTCGTCGACGATGTGAAGGATGTAAGAATGTCTATTTCATAGATACATCGAGTCTTTATATATGATTTGCAGGATCGGCGTGCCGAAGGCCGGGTACGAGGCATTATTTTACGTTCACAACTCATTGTGATATTGATGAAATCCTTATATGTGGAGAAAAAAAGATTCTGGCTCGATGAGACATCTATCGAAACATTCCGCTCAATGTATCCGAGATATCCATCGATAAAGGCATGTAGCTTAGGAACTTAGCAATAATATTTAGAAATAATACTTTTGTTTTCGTAGAGTGTGCGCAGACTCGATGAGAAAATGAACTATACGGTAGACTTAGAAATGTTCATGAATCCATCACCAGTCCGTGTAAATGCGGTATGTTCTCAAAATTACATGGTAGTTGATTTCCTTTAAAGAACTTAACTTCATTTTAGCATGATTCGGTGCCAAAGATCTTCAACATTTTCCGTGCGCTAGGCTTGCGTCATCTATTAGTCATCGACAATGAGAATCGCATAGCCGGCATAATAACGCGGAGAGACTTCCTCTACAAGTGATAAGCCTGTTATGCATAATAATATATATACATACATTCAGAGAAAACCCTCTTGGCCGGACCGTCGGCCAACTATTGTTCACGCAAAGGAAGTTTACTTAATTAGTACACCGGACAAATGTTCGAGAAAAAGTTTCCGGATCAAAGAGGTGCCCATCAAGAGAGTTTCCACTCCACTTATAAAGCTTAACCTTTATCTTCGTATCGAGACAATTAATATAAATGGAATAGATTAAAAAATATGCACTCGATACTATAGAAGATTATAAAAACAATGCTTACAATTAGCTTGTTATTCTATGAATTTTATAAGTTAAAGTGACTTGATTTATGTATACTTCATTAATAATAAAAAACAATTTTTATTTTAATAAATTTCTTTCTGTATTTTCTTTATTTGTGTGGGTTTTTTTTAATGTTTATAGATCTGTATCTTAAGAATATGTATTTAATATTAGTATTCACAAGGAATTGTACAAGGTTAATTTGTATCAAAAAATACTCTACTTCGAATTGTTGAGTTTCTTTTCTGTTTATATAAAACCACTAACTAACAAAACTATTTCATTCCAGTACTCAAAACATTTACAGAGGGCTAGATTAGACCTTCGTGACTTACATGTATATATAACTTATCATCAATAATAGTCTAAACACTAAATACACATTATTTATGTAATTCTAATATTTATAAAATTCTAATTAGGATCAAATGAATAATGAATAAATGACTTTTGTACAAAGTGAAAAGTGCCTTTGTAGTTTGTAACAGTTTTCGTTTATGGTTCTATTACTATGCTCTTAAAATTGTTAAATTATGTGCAAGCTGCTGTCAACTGACTTCCAATTTTAATAACATAAGCCTCCAAAAATATATATGTAGATAGATAAACCACCAATATATCAATAATACCGGCCGCTCCCCCTGGGAGCTATTAGAGTCTTGGACAGCATTATGTGTGCCATTCGAAATTAGGGCTGATCCGAAAATCTGTACACTGCTAGGTTGACTAATTGACGGCAGTTGCAACCGGTTAGCTTTCCATCGGCCGCACTTGCTGCAGTGGCTCGGCATTGCCACTGGATGCGGCTGCCGCACTATTACAATGCTGTTGTGGTGCATTCGGTGTGGTATTGGTTGTTGTTGCTGTAGTGCTATCAGCAGCCATTAAGTTGCTGGCTATCGAGTTCGATGCTGTCGATGAGACCGATGACGTTGCCGTTACTACAACAGCTGTCGTTGCCGGTATTGATGTGATGGCTGCTGCTCCACCACCGACTGCTGAAGCGGCGACGGCTGCATTGAGAGTTGTGGAATTCGACAGACCACTTGCTGTTACGCTACCAGGTGGTAAGACCTTGTAACGCGTATAGATGCGATATGGCGTCTTTGATGTGTCCTTTTGCTGCACTGATTTGGTCTTGAATGTTGCACCCCAACCACTGGCATTGATTTGTTCCGCCGTCTTTCCCAGCAACCAATCGTTACAATGCTGCTGCAGTTGCTCGCTGACGTGCTCCTGCAGCCACTTGTTTACATAGCCCTGAAAGCGCGCGTACTTGGACTGTGTGACTCGGCAATGGGTCTGAAAAAAAAAATTATTTTATTATCAAACTACCCGCAATTGAAGATGCCACTGCGCTACTCACCTTTCTGGCACGACGCACTGCATCGTATTTGAGTAGCTTGAGATTCTTGCTGGTCACAAAGCAGCGACCGTTGCTTACATTTGTGGTTATTTCGTCGCGATCATTAAACGCATATTGCTCGGCCAGGCCCACTTGTGGGGCACCAAAGCGTTCCGGTACACGTTTAGTCCAACTGTTGTTATTATTATTATTATTTATTGCTGAATTTCCACTGCCACTGGTGCTCGCGTTGGCTGCTGCAGCATCGGGTTGATTTGCCTCTGTTCCCAACGTTTTGTTTGCGCAAATTCGTTTCTGCTCAAATAGTTGACGCACTTGCTCCTCATGAAGCTGCGATTTGCGTTTGTTCCGCAACAGAAAACGCGCTTTTCGCACACTACCCCGTATCCGCTGCAATGATAAATAATCGAAAACCGTTAGTTTTTCTGACTACCTGCAATACAGTATTAGCTTAAAATTTAAAATGCAATATAAACATGCCTTTTACGAATGGAGTTACTTAAGCTGTACGTATGTGTGTGTAACTGTGGCTTTATGGTTGTCTGGTTTTGTTGTTGTCGTTTTTTTCTTAATGTAAGCATCTAATACAGAAATATGTTTATATAGAAAAATGTAACTAAAAATGTGTTACCAAAACATAAGCTGCAGATTGACACGCACACGAGATCAAAAAACAAAAATTACATTTAAAAAATGTTTAAAAGGCAAATAATTTACATACATAAATATAATAATTAACCTAAAATCTAAATAAGGACATTTAGCTACACATTTTAAAATTAATAATAAAAATATACAATATAATACAATCATATAGCAATGCAATATTACAAAAGGCTGCTAAAAGTGCAACCTCCGAGGAAATGTAGAGCATGCACCTTTAATTTAAATTCTCAGTACGAGTTACAGTATTTTATAATAATTGCTGGGCTTAATGAAAATATTTCAATAAATGGCATACATATTACTAAGACGAGTGAGTAAAAAACTTACCTTGCTCAAACTTAAAAGTGAGATACTTTTTTAATTTTCAGATTATGGTATGTGCGTTCCCCAACTCCACCCTTACCTAACATTCCCCCCCACTGCGCTGCACTAAAGATCAGATCAGACAACTGATTTCATTCTATATATAATGTATATATATATTTTCACTCAATGAATTTTCATATAAATATGCGTATAAGAAGGTGTGTTACTCTCTAGAATTTACAATTATTATCTTTAATTATTTAAAAAGGTTTTTCATACTCCTACCCATGTATATATAAAAGAAATCCAACACGCCTCCATTCAGTAATATATACTATAGCTGCCCATTTACAAAATGAACTATGGCAATGCTTATACTATACACAGGATATACACAGAGGAATGTATACAATAATAAAAACGACAAATTTTATTTACACAATACATATGCATGTAGGTAGTAAGTATATATTGATGGAAGTGCCCCCAACATATGCACCCAACCACACCACGATTGCCCAAGAGAATACGCACTCCCAATTCTTTATATTTGTCTGCTTTTTTGGCGAGTTAATTCGTATTTGTTCTTTAAAAACAAATCAAAAAATAACGAAACTAGAAAAGAAATGCAAGCAAGCGCGTGCTTACGTACTTATATATTGTTATTATAATACTACTAGTTTACAAACTATTTTAGATAATAATTATTATAATTAGTTGGTGTCTTTCTCTTGTTACTGTTACTGGGTGTTACTTAATGATGGACAAATGCTTTTGTGTTTTTTGGGCGTGGGCGTGGGTGAGTGAGCACGTGGGGGCGTGTGTGTGAGTTTTGTGACTTATTTGGTGGCAGGTGGAAGTTGTTCTTTTATTTAATTCTTTTTCATATCTTTGTTTTGTTGTATCAAAAAACAAATTTATTTATTATTACTATTTTTTCATTTTGCAATATGACTTTTTTTTCTTCTTGTTCAGTGAAATTATCAAAACTATTTTGTTATTTCAAGCCTTGGAATTGACCTGGTACGAAAAAAATAAATCGGAAAAAATGAGAGAAAATATGCAAAAAAGCATTAATTAGTGATTTCTTGTTTTGTTTCTTTTGATTTTTTTTTTGTCGTATGCACAGAAACTTGATACTAGTATTATTGGAAACGAAATGTGGCGATTGGTGGGCAACATGTTGGCGTGTGGGAAAATAAAAAAAAAAAAACGAAAATTAAAAGGAACATTAAGGAAAGCAAAAATATAATCGTAATTAAGAAATTTCTTCAGAGACAAAAGCAAAATTAGAAGTAAATATTAGTGGTATATTTCGCAGGTCATTTAGATTTGATTTAGATAATTACGAATACACAATTTATAAATTTGAAAATTGATTTAAATTGTAATATTAGAGGATGGCCGAACCTTCAAAGTATTGAATATTTTTAGACCCATTTTGATTTATAAAACAAATCTAAATTAACATGTGGGAATACAATATTGTTGATTTACTTAAAAAAATAAAATAATCGGTTTGGTCATGTCAGGTCAAGCTCTAAGGATCAAGCTTTCTTTATGTACAAGGCGACACAAATAATACAGATAATAAAATTTCGCCCAGCACCGTCGTCGGGTCGCGTTAAACTATGCCAGTTGTAATAACAAACGAACAAAAATGTTGGTATATAAACAATGGATTATAGATACATATTATATATAAAACTAATTACAATAACCTAAAAATTAAACACAAAAACATAAATTAAAACTAAATTATAAACACAACATGATTTACCACGCATCAGACACACACACACACACATACACGCACACACAAAGGCACACAAAGCAAGTGCATATTACACACACAGACACTTACCTCAGCATTTTCATCTTCCTCCTCCGTTTTTATGTCGGACGTTTCCACAATATGATCACTGCCTGATGCAGCCAAATTTGAGGATTGATTTGCACTGTTGTTGTTATTATTGTTATTGTTGCCACCACTGCACGCCGGATTCACAAGATGATCAACGTACTTGCTATACTTTTGAGCCTTAAGTACCGGTTTTTCCACCTCTTCTGGCTCAGAATCAAGCAACTCAATGGTAACTCGACAATCGATTTTATACTAAAAATAAAATATAATAATTATTAATCAACATGTTTATAAAAGGGCTCTATTAATATCTAATTATTAAAATCAATTCATACGTTGATCGAATTTCTCTTTTTAAAGTTATACAAAAATTCCAGCAGAAAGGGGAATAGAAATCGCATAAGTATTTATTTTATCAATATCTATTTGGACTTTTAGCTTAAGTCGTATCCTTGCCTTGTTTAGGAGCAATATAAGTTTGTAAATGCTTATGTATAATTGCGTTCTTTGCTTTGAAAAGTTATGATTTGATTCGATGGGATTTGGAAGGACTTTTGATTTTTATTGTTGTTTTAATTAGAAAAGTTTTTGATTATTGAATGTGCCCCGATCATCAACTTACAATGTACACTTTGAAGCAATTCTCCTCATTGAGTATGTTCTCTGCCTTACGCTGATAGGACATCTCACGATCGTATGACTTGTGGGCATCGCGACAATAGCCGCCGGTGCTGCCCCGTCTCTGTTCATTGGCGAACAACTCCATGCAATCTAGGGCAGCGCGTTCCGTCACACAATACTGTAGCTGACGTACAGCGTTCGAGACAACCTGGATGGGCAAATTTGTAGAGGTATTTATAATTGTTATTTAATTCAATTAATCATTTTATTTTCGTGACTCACCTTGTCGAGCGTAAATGATATGTAAGCGTGAATCCCAAACATTTCGCGCATGGTATCTTCAAATGTATTCGAGTCCATGTTGCCATCGAGCACATTCTTCAGCATATCCAAAAAGGTGGGATAATAGTCTTCCACTTGCACTTCAGGCTTCGGTTTCAGTCTCAAAGCTGTGGCCGTGCTCTCACGTCGATTAACACGACTCTTCTCCTCCTCGATGGCCAGTAGGCGCGCACGTTCGTACATTAAATGCAGACGCTCGCAAAGGATGGCATGTAGTCGCAGAAATAGATACCAATTGTTGGTGGCAAAGAACAGTGAATATGATTCATCCTGAAATCGTATTATAAGTTTTAGTCATTAATTATTTAAATAGTTCATTCATTATCAACTCACCTCATGCTGGCCCTGAGCATGCGGCGGCAACAGGGAAGGATTAGTGTATTCTCCGTGCTCCTGCTTAATCTCGACATCGCTACTTGTAGCTACAGCCGCTTCCTCTGCAGGTCTTGACGGACTTAATGCAGCAGCTGTCGTTGCCGTTGTACCCGATAATGTTGCAGCTGTTGGGGCATCTGCAACAGCACCAGGCGCAGGCTCATCTTTTGTCTTAACTTCGGCTGCTGCTGCGGCCGCTGCTGCAGCTGATGTTGAAGGCGCGGCATCTGCTGCAGTTGTTCCGGATGTTGTTGTTGGTGTTGCTAATGTTGAATTCACTTCGTCAGTTTCCTTTTTGATTGTTGTTGCTGTACCTGCACCGCCGCTGCTGGTGCTACTAACATTGCTGCGCGCTGGCGAAGCACCCTCATTGCTGGTCGGGATCTTGGCATTTCTGGGCGAGTCAACGTCCATTTTTGAATTGTCATCTATCGAAAATTGAAATGCTATAGAGTATATTGCATGTACAACAGAATATGGGTAGTTGTTGTTGGGTCGGTGGTCGTGTATTGCGTGCGTTGGCCCATTATATATATTTATTTTGTTATTAAATAATCAATCCAAATGTAAAAATCATTTTGTATTTATAAAATGATAGGTTAATATTTTTTTTTTACAAAATGCCGTTTTTTTTTTGCCGTTGTTGGTTGATGTTGCAGAGCACACGGATAAGGCAGGTTGATTGGTAATTTTGCAATTTTGTAGCATGTGTGTGCCATGGTGTTGTTGATTATGCAAATTTCAATCGTTGTTCGAATTTCGTATTATGGGCGTTTATATTTATATATAGAAGATATAATTTGTTGCATATGTTGTAAAAAGAAGAAAAAGAAAAACGAAAAAACATTCACTAAGTTAAATGCTATCGAGCAAAAAAATACAATTATCATTGTTATTTAAATTTGTTGGTTGGTGGTTAGTTACATAAAAATTGTTCTTGGGTTAGCTACACATAATACCAAATTAAAATAATAATAATTAAACAAAAGGATAATATTCATGTACATATAGTATATAGAAACTATTAACAATGAATGGCCCAATTAAAAGGGGATAGGCTTACCGTCATCGCGTTCATCGTCGCTTAGCGGCTGTCGTGGCGCATAAAAAAGATCAGGCACAAATTGACGAATTATCTGTTTGATTTTCTGCTTCTCCTGTTTCTGTATGCCAGTCTGTCGTTTGACATGATGTATCAGCAAGTTTGCCGCATCGTCCAGTATGGTTTTGTCTTTATAGGGCAGCACTAGATGTGGACCACTGGGCTCCATGCTGTCATCTTCCTGATCGTGTCGCTCATCGTACAGCGCTTCAATCTCGTTGAAGAGACTCTTGGAGCGCAGCGCCTTCATGTCGTTGGGCTTAAAGTTAATGGCCTGATGATCTAACGACTTGAGATAATATTTCTCATTCTGTTCGCGCCATTGCTTGTTGAACGTCTGTAAAGTATTCATATAATCATGATGTAAGTAAATCATCGTCAAGAATTGAAATATCTAGGTCATACCTTCTGCGCGTCCCTCCACTCTTCCTCTTTGACTTTCAGCCGCTTAAGCACTATGGGCACAGCCACCGAAGGATTCCTTTTCATGCCCTGTATTATCTCGCCGGACTTATCGCCGTATATTCGATGAATGGCACGCTGGTGTATTGTCTGCGATGTACCACCCAGATGGTCATCCAAATGGAATTTGGCCAGCTCCTCTGGTGACATACGTGACATTTTCTTCTGCACATTCTCCAGCACTCGTATCGTCGCACTGTTTACTTCAATCACAAGGTCCAGTTCGAAGCGTTCATCCTCGGTTCTGTGAATATTCCTTTTGTTTAGAACGTGTGTTGTAATTAATTAAAATAAACGAAAGGCAAGAACAAAAGAAGGCAACAGAAAGTTCACACACAAGAAATGTTCACGCAAATTCGCTTACCTATAGATTGTCTCTTCGAATTGCGTTTTTCGCGACGTCACAAATGTAGAATCCTCGCTGGCCCATGTCGGAAAAGAGACCCACTTATCGTTAAGCACTTCGCGACAGAGAGCAGTGCGTCCGCTGCACTTCTTCGGAACCGTAGACTGCGGCAATGCGCAGTAAGAGGCGCCCAGTCGTTTGCACAGCGACAAATCCACATCCTGAACGTACTCGGCACTTTGATGGCTGCTGGCACGATCGTGCGAGCTGTTGCTGCCTTGACGTTGCGTCGCCGCCAGCGGCATGCCGTCGATGAGCGGTCCGCTGGCCATTTGTGACACAGGTGGACCCAGAAAATCGGTGAACCAGCGTAGTAGATCGGGAAACTTCGTAAGGAAGGGGGACACCAGACCTAGCAGTTCTGTTTTGGACACAATTTCTTGATTAAAGAGCGTTAGGCAGCGCAAGAAATTGTCGTAAACGTCGGGGTTTCGTAACGCCTTGCGCACTTTATCAAAGAATGCTGCGTCCGATATTGTGCACTTGCGCGATGCCTCTGAGAAACTAACATCGCGACAATATGGCTTCGGTCGTTTGGCAGGCGGGGGTCCAGTACCTAAGCCGGCACCTCCTCCAATAACGCCGCCATCATCTACTTGTCGTCTGGAACCAGAGTTGTGCGGATGATGATGATGCGCACCACTGGGCAACGGTTGCGTTGCATAACTGATGCCTGGAGAACTGCGATCCATAGAATTGTCGCTAATATGCGGCATGGATCCAATCACAGAGATGTTGCTACCATAGCTGGGCGATTTCTTGAGGCTATGGTGAGCACCAGCCATTTGTTGTGTGTGTCCAATGTACTTTTGGACATGATGATTATTCCGATGATCTTTCTCAAAGCCGCCTAGGGCGCCGCCACTGCTGCGCATGTTGGCTGGTGGTGCGCCTGGCAAATGGTGTGCAGCAGCGCCTCCTAAGTTTGCTCCAGCGCCTGGTACTCTATGTTGCACATTTGCCACACTATGATAATCCTTTTCATAGATCACATCGTTGCGTGTACTTGCATTGAGACCGCCGGATGCATTTAAAACATGATTTTGTTGTGTATTATTGTTGTACGACTTGATGCTGACACTAGTATTTACAGCCGATAAATTTCCAATGGCTGCTGCATGCGGACTGCTCTCGATTTGCGACAAGGTTGCGCCACTATTTAAATGTAAAGGCGAACCACCAGGTGCCGGCGACATGCTAATATGCGCACCACCACTCAGGGTCGCTGTCGCCCGCTTATGATCATTGTGCACCGATTTGGCCATATACTGAGCCGACTGATGATTCGTGGCGTCCGGAAGAAATTGGCCAAATTCACGCAGCAGATCCTCATCCTGGCCGAATAGCTTGGCCACCTGCGTGTAAACTTCCTGCTCCGTTAACATTTTCCCCTGGTTCATACTACCCTCCTTTAGGACTTTCTGCTCCTTTTGATAGGCGTGCAGAATTTCGAGAAATTTCTTGTACTTTGCTGGCTGGTTTTGGAAACGGTTCTGCAAAGGCAACAATTGAGAAGCATGAGCCAATTAAATTATATTTAACAGCAATATGTTTATAAATTTCTATTTCATTGAATTTCATATAAAATGTTTTTTATTTCGGAAATTATTGACTACTTTTTTTGTCCAAATTGAAGAATATGAATATATAGTTGATCTGAAGAACTTTAAACTCCCATTAACTGTCAAATGGAGATGAATTATACATACTTTATATAGAAGTTTTTGGAAATAAATGAATGCATCTCGGGAATCTTTATAGGTCTGTCGTATTCATATTAAATAAGCATAATATTCGATAGTTATATAGCTTACCTTTATCTTATTGACATACGTAATGGCATGATTGAATTCCACCGGCTGGTTCTGTTGGCCAGTTGTTTCCCCAAGCAAAATAGATTGGTGTGCCTGTTGTATGTGATGTAGATTATGCTGCGCACCAGCCCCACCATGGGGACTTAGCTCACTCAGAGAATTGGGGGTAGGTGGTCCGCCAACAACAATGCTGGCTGCTTGTGCCTGCCCGCCAGTAGGTGTTATAGTGGCACGCTCACGATCTCGTGAATAATTCTGGGGAACATTGTGTGCAGAGACCGATATGCTTTGCTGTTGGGACTGTGGGACGCCTGCTGGCGATGGCGAATTTGTCACACTGACATGCACATGACTTGGAGATTGGGCCTGTGCCGGGGTTGGCTGCAACGCATGTATTGTAGTCTGAGTCAATGATGCTCCACCATGCGTCATCAGATTAACAGCGCCGCCGGTTTGAATTTGAGCTAGACTAGCACCAGCGGCGGTGGGCGGTGCAATTGAGGCGCTAGCGCCAGGTCCTCCTTGTGTTTTCAGTGTATGTGTGGCGCTCGCCAAAGGACTGCCGGCGATCATGTGCACTGTACCCGTGCTGGACGGCGCACCCGGTGGTGAGGGCATCGATACCACCGGTACCGAGCAGCCAAGTGCGTCGGAATGGATTTCGATTTTGTACCCAGGTGGTAGGAACATGTTAAAGCCATATATTAGCTCTGTGTGTCCCTTGAAAAGCGTCGAAACTCGTTCAATAACGCCGGGCGTGTCAATACAATGCGATTTAAACTCCTTCATAATGTCCAGAAAGTTGTTATAGATCTGCGGCTGATCCGCATACTGGTATTTTACTTGATCCAAGTAGCTGAGCGCATCCTCGACCTTGAGTCGGGGAGTGGCATTACCAGACTGACCCTGCGGTGGAGTGCTGCCACCGCCGCCACTGCCCGGTCCATTGGGCGGTTGTGCGGGCGGTGTTTGGGACGCTAGCGGTGGCTGTGTTTGCTGTGCCGTCGTTGTAAGACTGCTGGCTGTGCTGACGGTTTGTGTGCCACTAATCGTACGCTGACGTATGTTGCCGGTTTGTGAACTACTCGAGACGGTTTGTGTGTTCCCACCACCACCAGCACCAGCGGCACCGCCAGTGACGTGGATTTGTACGGTATTTCCATCTAATGTGTTGGCCTTCAGGGTGCCACCTGCTTGTATGGAGGCCACGCTGTAAGCTGCGAGAATATCAAATAAAACTAAAGATTAGTATGATTCCAAGAAGAATCTGTTGGCGAAACACTTACATGTAGTGGTATACTGCAATGTTTGTGTGGCGGCACTGCCGGTGGACACTACTACGCTATTGCCCACACCGCCGCCGACAGTGGTTTGCGCGCCCGTGCTGGCACTATCGACAATGGTGCTCGTTGTTTTCAAATTCGTCGCCGTCGGCGTTGTAGACGGCAAATAAGCAATGGTCTGTGCACCACCATGCTGTGGTGTCAAAATCCGATGATGTGGAATAGAGCCAGCAATGCCAATTCCACTTATGGTGGCACTATGAGCATTTGGCAGCACCGTGCCTATCGTAACTCCGGCCGTATTGACGCCCACACTGGAAGTGCCAGCGGACGCGGCGCTGCCAACACCTGCGCCACCACCACCACTTCCGCCAACGCCACCAGGACCGGGCCTTGAGCCAAACTGCACCTCATCGACACGAGTGCGTTTCATCATTTTATAAAGAATTGAGTGTGAGACGCTGCGCCTTTGGCTTTGTCTATGCCTTAAATAGCTAAACTTCACTCTATTTTCTTAAATTGAAGATAGGTCTCTTCTCTATAATGCGATTAGACTGCCTTTACGAACGTATGTAGTAGGAAACAAACGGTCGTAACTGATTGTGATGCAGCTGTTGAACTCGTAGGTGCCTCATATGTTGTCTATACATTTGGTTGCCACTACCTCCAAATGTGAGGCGATAATTCTATTTGCAAATTATACTTCTTCAACTTTGCCACGTTCACGTCGTTCTTACAGCTGCTGTTGTTGTTGTCTTTACTGCAAACAAATGAAGAAAACAAGAGCGTGAAATTAGTTGCTGTATTCATATAGCACTTACATGATTTAGCATTATATAAAAAATGCGGCTCCATTGAAAATATATAGTTATAAAACAGAGTTGGGCCGAAACGACTATTAAATACCCTCCATACACATTGCTATCACTACTCTATTAGTGAGAATAAGAAAAACTACCTACATTTTACTGCGTTATAGGATTTTAATAACACTAATGTCTGCTACCATCTTAGGGATTATTTCTTTTCAACATATTTTTTGATTTGTAAGAATGTCTGCGAAATATTTATTATCACATTGTGCAAGCTATAGAATAAATTGATAAATGTAAGTTCATCAAACAAAAATAAAGCCAAAAATTAAGATTTCACAATTTATAAAGCCTTTGCGTTCATTGACAGGCTTTAGTAAATGGGCAGAGTAAAGGTATTCTCGGAAATACTATATCAGACCAATCAAGAATGTACTTCTTTCCATAAATTTCCAATAATATTTTGTCCATTGGTATGCGATTAAAAATACACTTAAAATAATGGTTCAAATCAGTGTCCACCTATGTTAACCACACACAAGGCTGCATTCATACGAATAGACACATACAGAATCTAAAGCTTGGCAGTTATATTTTTAGTGCCACCAGCTGTCTTCCTAGGGAACAGAGTTTCTTGATTAGGTAGCAATAATTTAGAAAATGAATTAATTAATTAAAATTAAAATATTTTCCGTTGTATGAGTAAGAACCCAATAGCCCAGCCAGCAGCATAAACAACAACTACTGCTTAGGGTGTGCGCGTTTTGTTTGTAATTCTTTGATACATGTATGGCAACCGGATTGGGCGCGTGAGCTTTGTTTTTGTTGAGTACAGTAAATACTGTCTCAATGCGACAAACTAGTTGATGTATATTTCAAGATCAATGGACGTATGTAAATATGATGTCTTGCAAAAGATGGAAGGGAAGGACCGCCTTTTTACACACCCTGCGAGCAGAACAGGGTGTTTAATGGCATGCCACAAACAAAGGGAAGCTTTTATTGCGGCTGCTCCTGCTGGTGGTGGCTGCTTTCTTTCAGCATGCAACACGCAACATATTCAAAAGAGCGAAGCGCGAATTTTGTTTTGTTGCAATTAATGATTTTTGTATATATGTATGTACCCTTTCCAAAAAGGTATAGGAATACTCTGTGTTCGTAATACCCAGAAGGAAGAATTAATATTGGTTTGTAAATACATATCGAAACTGACTATTCCACAATTACAATACTGTTGTTAATCATGGCTCATCCATGCAATGCATCGTCAATGCAAAATGAGTAAAATAAAATGGTCTACTATAAATTATATATAAAGTTTTTGTGAAGGGTATGAAACTTCGGCGTAAGCTAAGATAGCTTCTTAGCTCGATTTTCCGTAAGTTATTTTACCCTTTGGCCAACACCATCAGACGCGAACATACACAAACAAACACGCTTGGCGCGAGCCTTGGAGAGCGGGAGAGTACATATTTTTATGGAATGCATGCTCTCTTGCGCATCTCTCCTTTTCTGTTGCGCCCCAATACTACGAAGAAGAAGTGTAAATATAACTTGAATGAAGTGGCAGTGGCATTAACTTTGGTTATGCCGCTGCAACAAGGAGACCAATGGATGAACTCAGATCTGCCTAACGTCTCTTTTTTGTTTGAAAATATACATATACGTATATTAACAAATTTAAGAAATTTCATGAAATCGTAATTGAAAACTGTACATAGGTTAGTTCATGAGAAGGCTCTCTCGTCAGTAAATTATCATCCTTTAAGACTTATGGCCAAATGTAAAAAAACAAGTTGAAAGTACATACTGTCGCGCGCTCTCTTTTTGTGTGTGCCCTCTTCTAATTGTTGTTTTTTCTGCTGTTATGCCGCCGCTGGTGTCTTTTGGAGCAAGCCGACATCATCAACGCCGTCTGCGCATACCAACAACACACACATACATGTGCATGTGGATTGTAATTGTATGTGTTGTTTGTGTTGCTCACACAAAATTGGGGCGTTCGTTCTCTAACTTTATATGTGTGTATTCATGTACATATGTATATATACATACAACGACTATACTAGCGTGCGGGGGAAGTCAAATGGGCAAATTTTCCCTCCATTTTATTTTTTCTCTTTGCATTCTACGTGAGTATATTACGTGCAGCAAGTATTATCTTATCTGTTTTGCTATGTGTTCAGGGCACAGCGCAAAGAAATAAAACAAGACATACTACGGAAAATATGAACGCAGTGGTATTCTAGCAACTGATTCGGATTTATAAACGTTTTTGTGGAACAGCTGTATGCAGATGCTACACACGAATTCTGCAGTATGTGCAAACAAACTTGAGATTATACGGTCACACTATAATAAAGAAATCAAGAAGAGTGCTCATTTCAATTTCCCAACAATTACATTTTGTCTGTTTTCTCTGCAGAAAATTATATTAAATATTTGTGATTCCATTTAAACCATTGGCTGCAGTGCATTTGTCCACATTTACAAATTTTCGTTCCGTTTCGTACCCACAGAGCAGCTCGAGTTCAGCGAATTTTCTGGCATTATCTGTTACTTGATGCCACGGCCAGCTAGTGTTAGTGAAAATTACAGGCGTTCGAAGGCAAAACTAGTTTTTATATGATATGTGATAAACACCCGTTACTCTTGTCTATTTAGTAATCAGTAGTACGCGTATTTAGTGTTTTGTTCTTTGACTTTAAGTTCACAGACACATGCACACACACACCCATATACACAAACAGATAGATGTACTCGCGAAAACACTGACAAGAGAGCACTATAACGCGATGCGGCGCTATTAATAAATTTTGCAAATAAAACATATGTGCAAACGTATAGACATAGAAATATGTACAAATAGATGGTGTGGTATATATAGTATATAAAACATTTAGTGTAAGGCAAAATACAAAAAGCAAGAACAACAAAAAGAAAACTGGCCGCCACAGCCACTATACAAATGAACTACTCATACACATGTAGATATATTCGTAATATACGTAAATAAATTGTTGTAGTGAGCAAGATGCTCTCATTGAAATACACACAAGCGTAGACATAGTCGCCGTTTGTCGTGACCAATCGAGGCACCAGCGGGTTATTCAGTATTGGAGCCATTTAAATGTACACACACACTCAGTCCCCCACTCGCGCACATATGCACAAATATTTATGTATGTACGGTATGCTATGTACGAACAAACGAATGGCGCATCAAAGCAAAAGGCGCGTTAAGCGCACGAACTGAGAACAACATACGAACGAACGAACGAAAATAAAACGACACTGCGTTGAAAAAATACAGTCAGTTCACTAGCAAGCCAAAAGCAAAGTTAAAAAACTTGTATGTATGTATATGATTACATGTGTGTGTGAACAGCAGCAACATGAACACACATACAACGTCACCATCACTGCGGACGACTTTTTGTGCGCCTATACTAACGTACATATGTATGTGTGTGCCGTCGTCGTATGTACATACATATGTATGTATTTAAACCAATTGAGATTGACCTAACCTAAAAAGTTGTATTTTTCACAAGTTTTTGTAATTTGTATGTCCCTTCAGATGGTAAACATTTTTAAATGCACAATTCAATTGCTGCCCTTAATAGAATGCTGCAATTTCATTTTAAACATTTCCTACCCCCCCGCCGTGCCATTGACTTACATCAGCGACGCTGATATTGGGTCAACATTTAAAATATTTTATAATAAACTTTAAAAGATTTGTAAGGAAACTTTCACGTTCACCGACAATTTACGCAGTATTTTGCACTTGCATCTATTTTACTGAGTGTATGTACAACTTTTTTCACCTTTTTCTTTTTTCAGTAGTTTATGTTTGCATGTATATATGAACATACATGCATATATATATGTATGTATATGCTCGGCGAGGCAGCACAAGTTTATTTTTCGCCTTTCCACAATAATTTTCTAGTGCGTTTTAACGCTTTTTCTTTCGTCGTATAATAAACTAATTTAGTTTTTAGCACTTTTAAACTACTGAATTCACTTTTCAACAATTTTCTTCTCAGTGAATTTCTACGGATATTCACGAAAATTTGGCGAGACGATTTCGTACATCTTAACGCCGCCGCAAACATTTTCGATTAAACGAAGACCAGACCAGGCAGTCAGTCTGGTGTCGAGCGAGACGGAGTCAGCAGCGCTACCTACCTACGTACTTATAAAACTTAGCTATTGTACGTGTGTGTGTGTGAAGAAACAAAAGAGCTCACAATATTGCAGAGAGCCAGAGAACAATACGAACGAGAGAGCTAGAGCGCGCGCGAGCGCAGTGTTGCTTTGGAATTCATTTTGGTGGCTGATGCTACACCAACAATAACACATATCAAATAGGGTGGCAACGCACAACAACCGCGAATGAATATGTGAAAACGTTGCAAGTATATAATGTGTGGATACGTATACACATATTTGGTGGAGATATATATATATATATATAGACATACATACATTGTATGTATTAGTAGAGAGTTGAAGTTGGTGTGTGTTTGGACTGCAATTTTTGTTAAAAGGAACATTTCGTAGAAATGAGCGGCTGTGGGTGTTGTGCGACGATACAAGCAATGGTATTGGCTTGTCGTTCAAGTTAACAAATCCATCTAACTTGTACTCAAATGTAATAGTTTGCTAGAAGCAGTGCGAATTTGTAAACAAATGTACGCACATGAGTACATAAGAAACGTATTTATCAGCGAAGCACGAGAGAGGATGTTAAGTCGGTGCTACATCTCGTCAGCTATCAAAGATGGCCGGAAAAAAGGTTAAGAACAGCAAATGTACATGGATTGCGCATGGATTGGCGTTTATAATTGAAAGGGAATAATCTACTCAAAAGTAAATATATGAAAATCGAACATAAGCCACAGCCAACAGACAGATAAAATTGAATAAAAGTACGCTTAGACAATTTTTGTTTGCTCAGCTTATGGAACGAACGGTAAGCTTACGTAAGTCCAAAATGCGCGGCAGTTATGGTGAGAGTCACTTACTACGTTCATGCTACCACAAAAGCACGAAAACATTACAAGATATGGTCGAAAAAGAGCAACATACAAAAGTGGACTACAACTAAAGGCTCGGACGCGTGATTTTATCTGCAAAATCCTTCGAAGTGCTTTTCTATTTTAGTTGGTTTGTCACCAAATTTAAGTCACAAAATCTACCGCAATTACTTTTTTTTACAAAAAACTTGAAACATGAAATGTTTATTTCCTTTAGGTTAATCTTCTCACAAATTCATGAATTATGGTAATTATGGTGCTCATCCACATTTAAACCTTTTTAATAAAATATTAATGCCCAAATTAGTTATAACAAATAAAGCAGTTAATTTTAAATTCTTATGTACTGGGTAACATAAACGTAATAACAGTCAGTACGAGAGTTTGCTAAACATGTCTATAGTGACCACAGGGTGTTTCGTGACATAGCAACTTAAACGTGCACAAACCGTGACGATGTCGGTATTGGTATCAGCACCGTGTGAGAGCAGGAAAGAGAGAGCTTACATTTGTATATGTGTGTGTACATACAAATACAGAGATAATGACTGAGACTGCCATGCTTTGCGCTGTATATAACGAAATCGACAAAACTGAACATCAGAAACAGCCCAGAAACCAAACAGACGAGTAGCAGGCTATAGCGCTGCCACGGTTACACTTTGCGGAGACGGCGCACACACATTTAAGCATACATACAGTGTTTTGTGGTGGTGGAAGTAGTACTAGTGTTGTGTGCCATGACTCTGACAAACGGAAATGAGAAGCACACAAAGACGATGGCAAATATACATAGAAAGCAAACCAAACAAATAGAAATAACTACTGCAACGGTTGAGAAGGTAAAAAATGCAGTAAAAACACAAACAACAAACCGCTGCATGACAAGGGCGGAAAATTGGCAAAACCGCTTTTAACAACTAAACCGTGATGAAAGATTGATTCAAGAAAGTAATTAAACAAAATTACAGAGGCAGAAGCAACAAAAAAGTCTGTATACGTGCAAAATCTTGAACTGATGGGTGAAAATTGAAACCTTGCAGTTATCGATTTCTTGCAGTCATTGCGCAATGCACCAGAGGAACAGAGAGAAAGAGAGTGCAAGAGAGCAAAACATTGAGAGAAAAGGCACCTGCCAGTAAAATGTTTATGTCGCTGCCATGTTTAGTTAGTGCAGGTAAAGTAGGGCTGTAAGTGATTTTCTGTTGTGATTTTATGACAGCAGCGTTAACAATGATACTCTTCAAAAGTTTAAAGTTCACGAGCGCGGCTAAGACATCTTGCAACTGCAGCGCATGTCCGGCCGCATCTGCGTCAGATGCACATATTGAAAAAGTGCCAGGAGCATCGCCCATGCCACCCACACGCCGTGATATCGCGAAACCTTGGACTGACCCCTTAATCAAAGCAAGTGCAAAAGGGACGGTCTGATGTGCGGTGGAAGAGCTTGAAATAAACGCAATGCTGCAATGTTTCCATTCGGCGTTGCCTAGCCCAGAAGCTTTACCTTTCAACCGAAAATGCAGCTATATGTGAACCAAAACTGTCCTATTCCTGGAAATATTGGTGTTCTTGCATGCAGCCATGCGAGAATATGTCAGGTGGTTGTATGTATGTATATATCTATATTGTCTATGTTCCTGTGTGTGTTCTAATTTGCGTGCACTAATTTCAGAATTTTTGTGATACGCCCACGACGTTTGACAGAATACGACGTTCATCGTGAATTGCGCAATAATTAACAAGCAATAATAAATTATATCCCACCGTTATGAATACGTATCACATTGTTAAGAAATTGCTTACATAAGACAGCAGATGCAGGGGTCATAATAATAATACCAACCGACAACATTTACAAACATCAACCAATCATACACTGCACAATATTTGTAAACACAAAGAAAAACAACACCAATCGCAACAAAATAATTGTACAATAACGCTGATTCTGTTCATTTTTAGCCATCGTTTATATAACCAGTTTCGTCGACCACATAAATATGTATGAAAATATGAGTATAAATGTATTTGTCGAGAATTTTACAAATCATCAGCAATAATATACTTGTAGATATAAACAAGCTATATTTTCCAGAAGCTTGTATGTGATATAAAATGATGTTATAAAATCGACCAAAAACGAGAGCAAAATTATTATTCAACCATTTTTGACGAACAAGACATGAATAATGTTTGTTATGATTTTATGAACAAGTTTTTCAAAGTTGTGTATAAATAAATGTGAGCATAAATGGGCACGAATTAAATTTAACATAAAATAATAATAATTTATAAAAGACATGTATTTTTTTTAGTTAATTGATTAGTTGATTTTAGGGAAAACAGGCTATTATTTACATACAAAATAAAAACATTATATGAATTGGTGTGTACGTATTTCATTGATAAGACATTATTAAAATATGAATAATGCAATTATTACAATTAAGGTCTTTTTATATTAATTATTATTATAGTAAAAATGTGTGCAAAATCAAACAAAAGAAAAAACACAAATTTTATTTATAAGACTTTTAAGTTTGGCTCCAAGCATTAAGAAAGAAAGGTATCTAAAAGTCCAACCCCTAACAAAACCGAGCTATTTATCATAGTAAAGATGCACATGGATTTTATTTGCTACCATTTTCGACCCATTTGGTTTAGGTGTAACTTTGTTCAATTCCAACATTGTATGTATACTTCATACAAGTTCTGAACGTATGATAATATTAATAATATTATTGATAATATTAATAAATTTGGTCAAGAACCTGGAGAATTTTCTCCTTCGCATATTCAATAACGTGAAAATGATAAGTATATATGAATAAGAATAAATATTTATTTTTACACGAAAATCATAGTATTTGTTTAATATTATTTATAGAACTTGACGTAGTAAACCCTCACTTGAATGTATGTATATACATACATATATACATTTCTTTATTGCGGCGCGTGCTGCTTCGTGATAAATATTTCTTTGCCGGGCACACAAAATCCAGCCCGCACCCACCTCTAGTTTAAATACAAATTACGAACAGAACTCGTTTTTCAAGTTTTACATCTTTTGGCAAATGAAAAAGTATAACCAGAGCCCAAAACCAGCCGCTGCTGAGTGTATGACTCCGAGGAGGCTACAACTTGACACTTCTTAAGGAAAATGGTCTGTGTATGTGTGTGGGTTGGGGAGGAGGAGGGTAAATGATTGTTGATGACGATGCAAGCATTCGAAGGAAATTTTGAGCAATGTATATACATATATATGTAAGCGACCTTTAGAAAGTTTGTGCAATGAATTTTATACAAGTTGATCATATGATCCATTAGACTATAAATATACTATATAGTATGTGTGGAAATACGTATGTAAAAAGGTTCAATTGCAGCTAATTTGTTCTTGTCGTTGAATTGCCTTGATAGTTTATTAAATAAAACAACAAAGCTATAAATGCCAGTTCAATACACAGATATATTTGTATACTTTCAAAAACGCAGTTTGTTTGCCAACTTAAAATTTTCCATAATCAAACTCAAACTGTAATACAAATGGGTTGGCAGCACTGGCCAATGCAATAACAATACAGTGAATGAGCCAATAATAAACACGCTCTCTCGCGATTCTCCAAACGCACACGGAGAAAATTTTATACGTGTTTTGATTGCAGTTTCAATAGTGTGTGTATATGTATAAATGATATGCGTCATTGTTGTTGCTATTTTTCAATGCTCTTTACAGATATTTTATATGTGCCCTGTTCTACTTTATCAAAATGGCAAATGAAAAATGTCGACGTCCACATTTAATCCAAAATATGCACAGATCAAACATATTGCGGAACTTCTTTTATATATTTATCTATGTACATATGTATATACATACATACATATTTCTATACATACATACATATGTATGTTTGCATGCATGAACACAAAATGTAGCCACCTTTTGAGGCGATAAGAATTTCAACAATAAACACCGAACAATAGCCGATGCAAAGCACAAAATGTAAGTAAATCGCTTCAACGTAGACAGAGGTCAACAATAAATTATTAAAGCAGAAAAAGTTTGGATAACTTCACTTTAATACATTTTGTTCTAACCTCAAAAAAAGCTCCGCTTTCGAAGAAAACAATGACTGCAAAAATAACAAAGTAAGACAAACCTCATGTGCTTCATAATATTAAATATTTTATCAGAAAAATGCAAACAACGTGTGCATGTTGACAGTTTATTTGTCGAACGTTATCGCGGAGCGTAATCAATTGAGAAATTGAGGTTAGGTACAATTTGATACACACACACAGACAACGCAGCAATGGGCGCGCATTTTTAGATATGTATGTACATATGTATGTATTGTCAACATATGCATATATAATTGTATTTTTACAGTTCGTAGTCGGATATTTGAATGTATGAATATTTCATTTAAATCACCTACCTCTGTATAGATGTTGTACCCAGGGACAAATCGACTGCATATGACCATAAAAAATAGTCTACAATTGATTGTAAATTTGTATGTACTTCTATATGTATTTATTTCTGCACACCATATGTGACTAGAGCACAAGTTGTTTTATTAGATTTATTATGCGTCAGTTACTGTGAGTAGTTTGGTAAAAAGCGCGTGAGGCTCTGCTTCTTACATTTGCAACAACACACACAAACACGCGCGCACACATGCACTTGGAATCGATTTTATGCTGCTGCTGATTTAGCCCCCAACGCCTACGATTTTTGGTATGCTCTGCACGTAAAGTGCGCCTCCACAAAACTATACTCGTGTGTTAGTTGGTAATTGCTTCGCCTAAAACTTCACATATATCTACATACATACACATGTTATATGTATGCATGTGTGTTGGAGCGTTTTGTTGTATATGGCGTTAGTTACCCAAAATATTTCTGAACTGTATTTTTAGAGATTTATGATTCGCGTAAGAATAGTGTACTCTACGTCTTGCACTTATAAATATTGCCGTTTATTAAATTTAATTAAACGCACAACCACAACCGAGAGATTGCCCAGGTTCAGAACAACGTTGAACGTTTACAATGAAGGCGTGCTATCGATAACGATGTCAAAACGAAAAGTGTGTACAGCCGCTTTTCAGAGAGAAAAAATAATGCTTGTGTTATTTATTTTGTCATTGCGTTCAAATGAATTGTTTAAATATTTTAGGTGTTTAGATAAATTTGGGCGAAGAATCATTCGTGAAGGCGTCACCTAGCCCTCTACAACACACTCACATGTTTAGGGAAGAGCCGGAAATGATATACGAAATTAGCAGAGTTTGATTCTGCGACACAACAAATCGCCACTATTAGTTTAAACGCATTTCAAAATCGAGCGTTGTGGTGACGTGGTTTACTTTTCACTACCGGTGTTTTCTTTCATTTAAATAGCTGTAAATTGTTGTTTTGTAGTTTTAAATTATGTTGGGAAAGTATTTGTTGCTGTTCAGCATTGCACTGCTCGCTACACTTCCTGCGCATGGTTATAGTTTCACTTCCAAAGAGGTCAAGTGCCATGGTAAGCAACAGGCGCATAGAATTTTCATATAAATTGTTCATGTGTTTAATAATTGAATACTTTATTCCGTGTCATGTAGTGTGTAAGGCAACAGTGCAGGAATTGGAGGATGCTATTGCAAAAGAGGACGCGCATAAGATGGTCGATGTGAGTGGCTTCCGCTTGGACGCACATGGTAATTCAATTAGCAAACGTGTTCGCTTCGTTAAGTCCGAAATGTTTTTGACTGAGCTAATGGAGAAGATCTGTGAGTTACTTATGATAGATCCAGCCTTAGCAATTGGCTATTTCAATCTGCCTCTTTACAGGTGAAAAAATGGAGGATTATCTGAAGGCCACCTACAAAAGCAATGGAAAGTTTACGCTTCTAAAAATGATAGTGAACGGTAAAATGAATCCAGAGTCTTCGCTAGTCGACTTCGTACAGGATGGTGACCTAAACAAGAGTTTGGGCCACTTTTGTCTGGAGGTACTCGAAGACAACGAGGACGCTTTCCTAAAAGAATTCCAAGCTGAGGATGTCGGTAATGATTTGGATATAAAAATCTGCTCGGAGCAGGCCAAGTACTGTGAGGATGGGCCTGTACAGGAAGAATACGAGTTCGACGAGAAAGACGAACTGTGATTTCATAGCCAAATCTACCCAACGAATTCCTATAACCATCATTGTTATAATAGCGTCAAGAATTGCCTATAATGGCTTAGACCTATTTTGTACTGCAGTTTTATTTAAAATCTATATTTTAGTGACCGTCAACTGACAATAAAAGTAAACTCTAAATGCTTTCCAGTTGAAGAAACTAAAGAACCAATTTGTTTATTATTTCATTGAGTACGTATGTATGTTTGGGCGAAAAATCAATTATGTTGTGGAAGTACTTGGGGCACAATAGGGCAGCATACAAATTTACTTCTTTTTCTTCTCATCCTTGGGAGGTTCTGGCTCCTCTTCCGGTGGTGGACTAAAATAGAAACAAGATCACCACCACTCTTAATCAGAACTACATTTCCACTTACGGCTCATCAACGACATTACGCAGCATCTGATGGCGTACTACCAACCACGGGGCACCAAAGCCAACAGTCCCAATTATAAGATAGAAAAGAGTGAAACGCATTGGGTTATCCATACCCTTACGCCACGGCAAGTTCTATGATTAAATGTTGCACCGGATTATCGGCGAATTGAAAAAGAAGCGTGTCTGCATTTTCTACTTACGTTGCCGGGAACACCACCGGCATAACCAAAAGAACGGGCTAGTGTAGAAGCAGCCCACATCTTACGCGCCGAAGCGCGCACTATTGACCACATTTTAACTTTACCAAAAAATTAAAACTATTTCTATTTTTTTGTAAATTTTCAACCAGATCAGTCAACAAGTTGATACAAAGTATTTAAATTGTCAGAATATTGTGATTTAATGTAAGCAAGATTATCATGGCCAACTGGGAAACAGAAAAATACTAACATAGTTGTCCGGTTAAGAGTTGGTAACTTTATTTAAGCGTACACTTTTGACTTAATCTTAACACATGGTGACACGATTAGCAATTTTGCAGCAATACTATGAGTGCAACAAACGGGGGCTGAAAAAATGAAAAAGATCATTAAAAAATAATACCAGAACAATGAAAAAATGTTAACCTTACAATTTGTGTAATTGTTGTTGTTATCTTTTTGGTGCTGCATTCGCTAACTTTTTACTTCTTCAAAAGCTGGTGCCTTACGACCAGAAAGGGCGCACCAAATCCCAACATACAGAAAACAGTGAACAATGCAGTTATTCTGTATTTGTTCTGCAGACTGAATGGCAAGTTCTGAAAGTTGATTACAAATTGATTAATTTTAGTTTAATATGTACATGTGAATTATGTGCAAAATATAAATTATGTAATCACATGCGCAGACTTTGTATTCTTACCTCGCCGGGGACACCACCATGGCCACTGTATCTAACCATGGATTGCGAGAAGTTGCGTGCAATAACGCTGCTGCGGCCCAACATTTTTTTTTAATTAATTGGAACAAATTTATTACCAAATGTAAAAATCGAATCCACTCGTAGGTTTGCTGATATTAATGCAAGAACAAGTGTGTACATAACTGAAGAAGTATGGCTGAGGAAAAATATTTCGTGTCATAGCAGGCAGCTTGCATGTACCGAACATCTACATTACCATATATTTCTAGACAAAATTTCGGCTTTCAATCTCAGCAAGCGGGCACTCACAGTTAGAAACAATTCATTTTTCGTAAATCACAAATTTAAAAACAAATAGAAAGGTTTGATTTAACCATTTTGAATATACCAACAGGTTGGCAGTTTTACCGCGCGCAATTACTCGATTAATAATGATGTAAGTTTAGCCTATATATCGACTGGAAGAGCGATATCGAAAACATCGATGCGGCATTAAAATTAAGTTGTTTAATATTTATAAATAAATAATTATTAATTATGATAAAAGGTAGTGCTTTATATAAGAAATTGTGAGCACATTATATCTAAAATGGGTTTTTTCTGTTGTTTTGGCGAATGAACATATTTTCAAAATCAAATCCAAATTAAAATTTAAGAATTTAAATATAAATTTTAACAAATGTACTAATCAAAAACCGCAGTTTCGAATACTTTTTGTGCGTTTGGCGCGAAAAGTGGTAAGAGACCTTAAACATTTATCGAGAGCTCAACTACATAAATCGATATAAAATAATCTGCATCGATGTTCTTTATGTATATCATCGAAATTGCGTACTACAGAGGTTTCGATGTTTTTCTTACTCAGATTTTGTCAGTGAAAAGAGAACGACGCAACTTCCACACGCACCCATAAGGTGCAATTACAAAACAATTATTGAAACTCATTTAGTGCACAAAATTTACGGTAAACTTTAATATAACGCACAAAACGCAGCCTCATATTTTGTGGCTTGCGACAAATGAAATACTTGTACTGTTCTCCACAACTACAAATTAAATCTCATAAAGTGCTCGTGAATAATTTGCAAGAATTTTCCATTGGTGTGTGCGCGGCGGCGGTAGCGTTCACGGTTTTCTTTGTGTCGTAGCGAATAGCTGACAGGCCACGCGCTTGTCTTTGCAAAGACAAAAGTCTATCTCAAATGAAGCAGTAAAGGATTATTATAATAAACAAAAACTAATCCAAAATGCTGGAATCGCCTAAGTTTATTGTAAATGACCAGTATGACGGAAGTCGCATCTTCACCTGGTTGGCCGACATGTGCGGACTGTCTGTTGATTTGGTAAGTTGTCTGCAAACAAGCCAATACATATGAACGTATATATATCCTTATAACTATCCTGCGGGCGTGTGTTTATCAGTATTATATGTATGACTCAAGTTAGAAGGGTATATTAGTTTCGAGCAAGAACATGTAACACAGATCCCCTAAAGTATGTACATGGTATGACGAGATGAGTCGATATAGCCATGTTGTCTGGCCGTCCATCTGTATAAAAAGTAAGGTGGCATGTGGTTTTTAACAAAGGTTAATTGCTTCTTTGACCATAGTGCTACCGAAAAGGGTCAGATATTTTTTGCATAATTTTATGCAAATATATACACAGATCCTTCAACAGATTATTTAAAAAAAATTTTCATATTATGGGAATACTCAGATAATAAACAATTTTTGCCATTATTAGGGTTTTCAAGTTTTATAGCAAACTTTGGCTCATACGCCTTTCCAATGTTCCGAAATGAACTTGCAATGTTAACTGATAATATTCCAATGGTACTGTACTTTAATCATACTACAGAGTATGTAGTGTACTGTCTATTTGGTTCGGCCTTTCAATTGTTTAATCTTGTATTTTACGCAGTTTTTTTTCCTGTGTGTGCTCTACTTGCGTCTTATCAAGCTGTCATTAACCTCTGTTAAACCTCTTTGTTGTTGTTTTTGTTCTTTAAATATGATTCTGATTGCGTCTATTAAATTCGCCATTTTAACAGGCTTGTAGGCACAGCATGCGAAAATAATGGATATTATTTAATACACATATCTACATTCGTATATCTATTAAATATTATATTTAGTATATGTATCAGATCAAGTTACGGTAAATTAGGTTCGGTCACCTACTCGCTCTACCTGTTAAGCGGGTGCATGGGTGAATTAAGCACTTTGCGGTTGTATTTCAACAAACACTGAAAACAGTCATTCAGGCACGTTTCTTTCCCCCCATACACACACACAATTATAAACACGCGCACCCACACAATCGCATTCTAAACGTCATTTAGTATTTGCATAAATGAGCAACTGCAGCTTAAAAAAAGTGGAACAAAAAGGAAGGAACACATGATGCATGCCACTTCATACTTAAGCTTGGCTTATTGGCAAAGTAGTTCTTAGATGAGGCATAACTTAATTCTTGTAATTGCCATCCTTTTAAATAAATTTGTATTCGGGGTAGGTGGAAATGGCGCAGGAAGATGACGAGTGTTTGCTGGCATAGTAACGCTTAACCATAAACTCTTCATCCCAGCCACATCACTCGCAGACACATTCACTTACACACATAGCTAAATTTGCTAAGTAATGACTGTTGGACTATCAGCTGTCCATTAAGGCCGCCTCGGTGTCGACATTATGTCGGTTGTGGTTTTGTCAGTTGAATACGATGATCTAATCACTGTATTGTCGACCAGGCCGACAAGTGAGAATATGACGTGTTTAATACCAAATTTGTATGTTTTATTGAACTGTTGTTGGCTGCTTTATCACACTATTCTGAATTGTAAATCTGTTGCTTTGCTTTTGGCTCTCATAACTAATTTAACTCGACCCGCTGCTAAGTTTTGGCGCGGTTCTTATTCTTGCACTGACGCTAATATTATGCATAATTGAATTTTAAACGCTGCTTTTGTTTGCAAACAAAATTTAACAATGCAGTAGTGTGAGTGTTTTGTTTGTTTTCATTTCACAGCTGTGAGGCGAGAAGTGAGTGAGTCAGAGTTGCACCGGGTGTCTCATGTATACAATTTACAATCGAATGAGGCGGCTTTTTATTACGTTTTATACTCGCACATTTCAAAATGTAAGAAGGCCGTCATTTGGCACATGTGCGTAAATACATACGAATGTATGTATGTAAACCTATGACTTCGTTTGCTAATACAAGCAAATACATACATACATGTGTATGCATTTGTAAGTAGTTTCATTATTTAAATTATTTGGAGGCCAAGCACTCGCTAATGCGCAAATATTTTCGCTAAATGGCAAATTCGGCAATACGTTTGTACATACTCGTACATACATACATACATACATACATTTAGTTATGTATGTACCTATGTAAATGTATATGCATGTATTGTACCCACGATATTATACAACACTAATGAGCGTTGATATTGAATTGATATGATTTGTACATATGTATATACATACGTACTATATGTACCTACATATGTACATACGTACATACATATGTATGTATTTATGCATATTTCGCACCCAATAAATTGTTTATTTTGTGATGTGCTCGGGTTCATTAACTCTCATAACTCTCTCTTTCATTCTCTACATCTCTTTCTCTCTATTTGGCACACCCACGCTTTGTTCTTTTATTTCAAGCTATTTATTTTTTGATTTCATATTTACAAAATTCTTCTATTTTGTTTTTATGTATAAGTATTCACGTATGCATTCATGCATACATATTTAGTATGTATGTATGTAATTGTTATTTACTGCAACCGCTCTTGATGCTACAGTTGTTGCACACTGCGAGACAAGTCATTAGACCGGTTTGGAGTCCAAACATTTCCAGTACCGGTTAAACAGGGCAAAAGGGTATTATGAAATCGTTAAGCTTTGGCAACAACTAAAACGAGGCGTGAAAGAACTCACAAAATAATATTATTGACTATCACAACAAACCGAATCTTTCTAGACATGTATAAGCTGAAAGTTTAAGTAGTAGAGTTACCAATTTTCGAAAGGGTAATTGTTTTTTTTTTGTTATGCGGCGTTATTGTAACTCCTGAAATGTAATCTCTCCCCATCAACTGGTGTGTACATTATTATCTGCTTTTTGACTTTTACATTATTGTTTTATTTTAAAATTTAATTTGAAAGAAAAAATTAATTAAGTTTTGAATTAATTACTTAGCTAAGTAAAGGGTATACATAAGTCGTGCGTGCGAGTTCTGTTTGAGAATTGTTTTTTTTTACAGAAAGTTCCCAACCAGTTGCGCCTAAGCTTTGAGATTTGGTTTGTTTCCACATTTCTGCCTATGTATTCCATTCCGCATGGCATAAATATGAAGATTTGAACCACAAAAATCGTCGTGCCGTCTTGTCATACAGACGACCTTGAGTTAAGCTGTTGGCTGAACTTGTGGCGGGAGCGTCTGTTTGTATTTGTCTAGTTTTTATCTGCTCTTTTTGTTGTTGTTTACGCTCTCTTTTATTCTCTTTATGTTAGTTCAACGTTTATTTAGTACGTGGATTTTATAATTGTATAATTTTGTTCAACGGCTCATAGTATGTAAGTATTTTAGAATTATGAAGCCTTTTGTAGGCTTTTATCGCGTTTACATGAAAATATATATGAACATACCCTACCCATACAATCATTTGAGTATATCGGGTGAGATATGTACGTGTTTGTTTTCTTTTTGTTATTGTTGCTGTAGTATTTTATTTATTTATAGTCATCACGCCACTTTTTCGTACAGCGCTTCGTTTAGATATTGCAAAATCACCGGGAAGCTCTCCACACCACCACCCCCACCACTCTACTATTCGTTGAAATGTTTCGATGTTCCGCAGGGGCGGTAAAATTAATTAAATGATTTATGGCCTACTTTAATAATTATTGGGTCTATATACATATGTATGTATGTATGTAGGTGCACAGGTACATTATTATATACATACATATATATGTATGAATACACAATGTACATACATATGTGAATATGCACATGTCATTTCATTTCGCTCAATAATGTACAAATGTAAGTTAGGTGATTGATAGCATTTTATGTTATTTGATATGAGATGATAACTGTACGTTAAATGTGGTAAGTAATATATTTAATAAAAATCATGTATGTATATAACATATTTAAATTATTTTAATTGAATAAGATGTTTCGAGTTTAAAACATTATTCTTCCCGTTTCCAGTTCCCCTTTTAAGTTTACTTATTATATCCTAGCACATACATAAACATATTTGAGATACACTAACCAACACAATACTTTTGTGTTACATTTGACACTACAATTTATACATGAAGGAAGTTTTTCAAATTTTATTTATCATATGTGCATATTTTTCTTGGCCAAAATAATAAGTACTTTGGTATATATTTTTTTCCTAATTATCAGAGATTAGTTCACTATTTTGTGAAAGATTTGTTTGTATTTGTTGAATTCTTGTTTATTTAACTAAACCAGATTAGGAAAATTTGAAGAATGTTAAGATTCCAAAATCACAATTACTTCAGTCGAAGTCCACCCAAGAAGCCGTTTGAAACTACTGACCGTCAGTATAGCTAAAATGCTATGGCAATGGGATTTCAATATGTAAATTTGCAATGGCGCATCGCCAAAATAGTTTTACTGTTTTGGGAAAAACCTTTTGAAGATAAGGCTACTATTTGCCAAAAATGAGATGGGAATAAAAAGTGAAACAATATTTTGTACAGTTACGTAAAATACGATTCTATATACTAATAACTCCAGATAAAGGGGGAATTACACATCCCATTTATAAATAATGGTTCTGGGCTGTATCTCTTCTGAAGAACTGATACTATACACTATATATGACCAAATTTCAGTACGGAGATATTTTGATTACCATAATACAATGCTGAGGAAAATATGCCTCTAAAATGGGCTTCTAAGCAAGATACTGACCAGAAACATACTTCTAAGTTAATGTGATAGCAAGTATGCTGACTTAAACCCGATTTAAAATATTTTGGGGGAGTTAATGCGTCGAAGTGGTACAAAAACGTTTCGAAATACCTCTCAGCTAGTGTATTTACAAAATACGCGGTTGAGATGTACAACAAACTTTTTTCTAGTATGGCAAGAACGATAAATAAAAGTCATGCAAACAAGGGTGGTTATTATACCGATTTCTAGGTAAATATTATCTTTAATAAGAAATAAGTGAATAGATAATTTATGACATATGTATGTATAACTGTAATTATTATTTTGACGAGCGATTTGCTACGATTTTTTGTTTTATGGTTCACAAACATATTACCTTTAGATAATTCATGAGCGTGTACATTCTATTTTTTCCATGTGCGTAGTATATGGTGTGTGCTTCTTTAACACTGAAAATTTAACTTAATGTATTAAAATTCATGTTTTTACTAAAGTCTTGTACTGTACTATGTCGTGTACTATTTACCATATTCGTCTTAAGCGCAAAGAACTTCAACCAAAATTCTTTACAAATTCGTTTATTAAATAAATATTTGCATAGATGGATTTGTCATTTCCAATCATATTGGCCAACTGCAATATTTTAGTAAAGTAAATCAAAAATAAACTTGGAGTGACAGCGCGATTTGTGACTAGAAAAATTCGGCAAATAAAATATTTATTGATATGAAATATTCGTTGCTTAAAGCGCCGTAGCTGATTCCTTGTCCAGCATTCTTCAGTTGTTCAAAAGCGCTCGTGTGTGTGTGCTGAATGCCTTGATAAGCTCAATAATGTCAAACGGCCCAGCAGGTCACTGACAACAATGCAACTTGATGCATGCAGCAATTTTCTATGACATTGTCCGACGTTTTGTGTAAAGCTGCCATATTATAGTTGCTTAACCCCTCCGGTACTACTGGGACACTACGTACCTCAAACAGTTATGCTCTAAGACTCTTCTTGAAAAATTGTGCAGAAACATCGATGCATGCATCCTGTTTGTCTAAATGTCATCCGAATTTTCGGAGCATTTTCACACGCAAATTTAGATGTCGACCTTTGATTTAAAATGAACTATAGGACAGTATATTCCAATATAATTGCGTATGGGGATTACATGTCCCAGTATAGAAACAGGACACTTTTAGTATATAAACATTTTTGGCGTAGATAGTTTTAAAAAAAAAAAAAAATACAGTTCCGAAAGTGTTAAATTACTTGAAATATGCTGTTGCTGTCGTTTTTATTGATTTTATCCAAATTGGTATCGCAACCAAATTTATGAATATAAATGGTGAAAAATTACAAAATGTGTTTTGTCAAAATTACATTTTCTTGATAAGCGGAAACTAGAGATGATGAATTAAAACAGACATAAGAAATATTAATAATTTGCAACCATATGGGCGTTCTGCAGTTCCAGAATAGCATTATAGAATGGCATTGTAAACAACTGCTGGTACTGACTGTTTATTTTAGTTGTCTTGGCAACTTATGACCTTGATTTTATATTTAATACACACCCAGAATTTAAATTTCAATACCAAACACAATTTTGTGCACACGTACTACTTATTGTATTTCTGTACTTATGTATGCCATTTGGCTATTTTATTTTTCAATTTGTAGAATCAGCTTACAACCATGCACGCACACACATGTCGATTTACTCGAGAATGGCGGCTTTTGGTGCCTGTACATACATACATATGTATGTATGCTCAATTACATTTTTGTACCTTGAAAGCATAGAAGACTTGTTTCGAACCCGCGTCGGCGTGGCTGAAATGCTTCTTCTTTCATGTTCCTGCCTCCCATTACAAAAACAAAGACTACAGAAATCACGCCTGAATCTTTTATGTCTGTAGTTTTTGCTTTTGTTGTTGCTACCGTGCCATAACATTCTTGGCACAGACAGTTTCCTTCCGCGAACATGGCTTATAATTTTAATACATGCAGCTCGCAAGTGGTTCTGTCTTTCATACTCTGGAAACAAATGTTTATAAATGATTGTGAAAATGTTCTCTTGCTCAGACATGTTAAAGTTTGCTTTCTATAGAAGCATTATGGGATATTTATAAAAATCTGGATATTCATTTTTGAGGATTTCTTGCTTCCTTTTGTTTTCTTTGAAAATTCCAGTTTCGCAGTTTAATTATTCTAGTTCCTATTTTTCCGACAAATATTTTTGTTGCAAAAAGAGCTAGCAAATTATTTATATGAAATTTGACAAATTTTTCTTTGATTTTAAAAATCCTGTACCCAAGCTAACGTGTATGCTAAAAAGTCGAAACTGAAGGATTAGCGTGGCACAAGCCAGCTTATTAGCTTATTACAAAGCATATACTTTATTATTTTATATAGCTGTCATAGGACCGATCGGTGACAAATGAAGTCTTAGTATGATAAATTATTGTTTGGGAAGATATAAAAATCGGTGTACTATTTCAGATTGCTGCAAACAAACGATATATACAAGTACTAATTATTATCAATTTTTTACAATAATGGATATGTATATTTTTATTTAATTCGGTTTATTGTCGGTACATTTTCTATTGATGGGCAGCCTGACAAAAGACTAATCGACTACAATTTGTTTCATAGTAGCACCCATATCTGAAAAGTAATAATTAATTACCAATTAATTCTTTATATAGGTATCTATAAAGAAAAGAAATACATTTAGTATTACAATTTCTCAATATGATTTTCGGTCATAAGGTAAAAAAAAAATTGTACAAGTACATTGTTCATTAATGTTGTGCAGTTTATGATTTCTTTTATTAATTTGCATTCTTCTGAATCTATTCTACTTTCTTATCGCAATTTTAATATTTCCGGAGGAAAGGTATATTATAACCTCGAGTTTTTTGTTTGAATGGAGCTTTTATTTGGCAGCCATTTTGCCACTTCTGCAAAATTGTTTTTACTTCATATTTCAATAATTATTCGCATTACCCCATCTCGGAACAATCTGACATTTGTCATAGTATATAACGAGCTTACATGATGGCAGGTGTTTTTGGGTCTAATTAAAATTGCATTTCTTTGTCGCTCGTCACATTTTGCGATTCAAAACATCTGCGGCATTATTTGTTCCTGGAACATGGACCTCATTAAAAAGTTGTTAGTTTCAGGCATAAGCTGCTGATGCTGATGCTTCTGCTGCCGTATGTCCAACATGTTGGCATTGATGCCACTTGTTGGAGCGTGGATAACGAGGGCTCTTATGCTGGCAGCTGCTGATTTGCTTTTGTGCAATACTTCACATAGCCCAGGTAGAGTCATGGCATTCATGTATAGATTTCTGTCTAACAAGGACGTTGCCTGGCAACCTACTATGTACTATATAAATGAACAATTGCATATCAACTGGCAGTGTGGGTTGTTGGCTGCATCCATGAGATTAATTTCAAATGTTCAGTGTAGCAAAATAATACATTTGTTTTCCCCCATTCGCTGTTGTTTTTCTTCATATTGCCGCAGCTTGCTCGCTTTGTGTTCATCGTTACATATTGATGAAAACTGGTTCGATTGGCCAACATTTGATCATTGCCACTGACAGTTTTTGCATCCGACAAATTACAAAAGCAATAAGCTGTCATTTTACATGCATTACAAAACACGTGTATGGGGAATATGACGAGAGTAGCAGTGCTTATATGTGAGAATTGGTCTCTTGGAATAATTGCATTTAATGTTCATTGCCACATCAATTGGCAGGGTAATTGGTAATCATTTTCTCTAGTGTTTGCCAAGTTTGTCATGGAAGTTTATTTTATGCAAGTTAAAAAATCCTTCAAGTCACTAACTATAAGTAACTTGTATTTTATGTTGAATAAGACACTCCATAAAAACTGCAGTGAAAGGAAATGGCTCAATTACTATTTTAAAGATTTTTGAAAAATCCAAAAGGATTCTCTGATTCTTTACACACTCTAAACCTCTGTCAAAATAAGTCATCATAGAGTGATTTTTACTCTTTTTCAATGACAAAAAATAATTCCAATAAACCGAATGGTTTCCACTCTTATTGTTAATATACTTTACTTTCTATGTTTATTTATCTGCCACATTTTTTTAAAAATAACTTCAGTTCATGCCACTAGTATTCTGGAACGTAGCCAGATCATTTTTTTTTAAATCAAAAATAAAGATGTGAAAGAGCGAAAGAAAAATCTTCAATATGTTGAAATGAAATAGAAAAGAAATAATCGTTATATAAAATAGTTTTAAGTTCGATTAAATCCTTATATACTAGCACTAATATAAAAAATAATAAATGCAGAATAGTTCGATTTCCTACTATGTACAATTATTTTCTTTTTAAATAGTTGCCCTTAACTCAGTACAAAGTACAATTGTCTTTATTTGTACACACCATATCAGTGTTTCCTACACAATTGACTAAAAATTATCTTAACTAATTTGTGGCACTTGAATTAGAAAGCCACTCAGAGCACACGGCCCATTGTTTGTGACCCTATCGCTTATCGAGTGCGGCTTTGTGACCGTTATTGTCAATGTGCCGTTGTTGCCCTCGCCTTTGTTACTATTTTTATGTATACATATCCATTAGACTGTAGAGTACTATAGACAGCATTCGTGTAGACACTTGAAAAAGTATACATAATAATGATCTCTACTTGTGAAGTATTTGGGAAGAAATGCCTTGCTTTCCTATTTTAAAAGTTCAACAATTTTCTTGAGCACAAACAATTGCTTTACTATTGACTAGCATTTGGTTCACAAGAAATTATTTTTTTCAATTAGCGAAATTGTATGTAAATATTTGTAAAAACTACTGCATTGTTCCTTCTTCTTTGTAACTTGTTTCAAGAACCCTTGTCGATACATGAAAATTTGTTTAAATTTTAAAAGATAAAGTGATGGCCGGTTGGTATAAAAGCCAACTCGAGTAGTCTAACTCAGACACATTGAGAAGAAAGTATTAAAGTAACAGACTGTTAGTTATACTTTCGAAACTGCGATATAAAAGTTTCTAAATGAAATTCCGTAAGTCGTGCCAGATGCTTTACAGTGCACAGTCCTTAACCCAAGTGTTCTTTCAGTTGGATTGGCATTTGTGGCCCTTATTGTGGTCGTCACCACACCATCATACGCAAAAAAAATTCGTCGCCGACCAAGTTGCGACAATGTAGCAGATGGTACTGTTATGATAGATATAATGAAATGTGCGGGATACTACGTGTGTAGGAGTGGTCGCGCGATACATAGAAACTGCCCCCTTGGACAATTTTTGGATGTGCAGACAAATGCCTGCAAGTTGGCCAACCTGGTTGACTGCGTTAATGTTAATGGACTTGCGATGCGAGCAATTACATCTTCTAACGTGAACAAGCAGGATGGCGAAATCGAAGGAAATGCTGTGCAGACAGCAGCTCCTCCGTGTGAAACCACAACTCCACCGTGTGCAACGACAACTCCACCGTGTGAAACGACAACTCCACCGTGTGAAACTACAACTCCTCCGTGCGAAACCACAACACCGAAGAAACCATGCAACAAAGTAACTCGTCCTCCCCCTAAAACACCCCCTCCCAGTGAAGCTACACCCACAACACCACCCTGTGATATTTCAACTCCTTCAACACCTAAAAGCTCTCCAACCACAACACCACCCCGTGAAACTCCAACTCCTTCAACGCCGAAAAGCTCTCCACCCACAACACCACCCTGCGAAACTATAACACCACCCCGTGAAACTCCAACTCCTTCAACACCGAAAAGCTCTCCAACAACAACACCACCCTGCGAAACTATATCACCACCCCGTGAAACTCCAACTCCTTCAACACCGAAAAGCTCTCCAACCACAACACCACCCTGCGAAACTATAACACCACCCCGTGAAACTCCAACTCCTTCAACACCGAACAGCTCTCCAACCGCAACACCACCCTGCGAAACTATAACACCACCCCGTGAAACTCCAACTCCTTCAACGCCGAAAAGCTCTCCAACCACAACACCACCCTGCGAAACTATAACACCACCCCGTGAAACTCCAACTCCTTCAACACCGAAAAGCTCTCCACCCACAACACCACCCTGCGAAACTATAACACCACCCCGTGAAACTCCAGCTCCTTCAACGCCGAAAAGCTCTCCACCCACAACACCACCCTGCGAAACTATAACACCACCCCATGAAACTCCAACTCCTTCAACACCGAAAAGCTCTCCAACCACAACACCACCCTGCGAAACTATAACACCACCCCGTGAAACACCAGCTCCTTCAACACCGAAAAGCTCTCCACCCACAACACCACCCTGCGAAACTATAACACCACCCCGTGAAACTCCAGCTCCTTCAACGCCGAAAAGCTCTCCACCCACAACACCACCCTGCGAAACTATAACACCACCCCGTGAAACACCAGCTCCTTCAACACCGAAAAGCTCTCCACCCACAACACCACCCTGCGAAACTATAACACCACCCCGTGAAACTCCAACTCCTTCAACACCGAAAAGCTCTCCAACCACAACCCCACCCTGCGAAACTATAACACCACCCCGTGAAACTCCAACTCCTTCAACACCGAAAAGCTCTCCACCAACAACACCACCCTGCGAAACTATAACACCACCCCGTGAAACTCCAGCTCCTTCAACGCCGAAAAGCTCTCCACCCACAACACCACCCTGCGAAACTATAACACCACCCCGTGAAACTCCAACTCCTTCAACACCGAAAAGCTCTCCAACCACAACACCACCCTGCGAAACTATAACACCACCCCGTGAAACACCAGCTCCTTCAACACCGAAAAGCTCTCCACCCACAACACCACCCTGCGAAACTATAACACCACCCCGTGAAACTCCAGCTCCTTCAACGCCGAAAAGCTCTCCACCCACAACACCACCCTGCGAAACTATAACACCACCCCGTGAAACACCAGCTCCTTCAACACCGAAAAGCTCTCCACCCACAACACCACCCTGCGAAACTATAACACCACCCCGTGAAACTCCAACTCCTTCAACACCGAAAAGCTCTCCACCCACAACACCACCCTGCGAAACTATAACACCACCCCGTGAAACTCCAGCTCCTTCAACGCCGAAAAGCTCTCCACCCACAACACCACCCTGCGAAACTATAACACCACCCCGTGAAACTCCAACTCCTTCAACACCGAAAAGCTCTCCACCCACAACACCACCCTGCGAAACTATAACACCACCCCGTGAAACTCCAACTCCTTCAACACCGAAAAGCTCTCCACCCACAACACCACCCTGCGAAACTATAACACCACCCCGTGAAACTCCAACTCCTTCAACGCCGAAAAGCTCTCCACCCACAACACCACCCTGCGAAACTATAACACCACCCCGTGAAACTCCAGCTCCTTCAACACCGAAAAGCTCTCCAACCACAACACCACCCTGCGAAACTATAACACCACCCCGTGAAACTCCAGCTCCTTCAACGCCGAAAAGCTCTCCAACCACAGCACCACCCTGCGAAACTACAACACCACCTTGCGTTTCCACAACTCCTTGTGGAGCACCTACAACCACACCATGTGCAGAAACAACAACTACACCCTGCGATTCAAAGACTCCTACTCCTAGCAGCATAATTGAAAAATTAGTTTTGAAACCTCTGCGCAACATTCTAAGTAGTGCTTCTGCATGTAATGACAAGTCTGATGGTACCTTCATGCTGGATGAGAACCACTGCCGTCGTTTCTACGAATGTCGCTCTGGCCGTCGCATAATGCGCAGATGCCAGAAGGGCCAGTGGTTCGATCGCGAGGCCAGTTCCTGTCGTAGCCGCGAGTTGGTTCTAAATTGTCCAGCCCAGCGCAATTAACCCAATTAGGAAATCGATAGATTTCTCTATATAACCTACTGTATTATAATGCAATATCATCAATAAAATGCGTTACATCATGCAAAAGGCTGTTCTTGTATGTTGCCATCATTGTTTGAATTTTTGATGTGATGGTAGGCAGGAGCACACATTTTATTTGCTTCCTAACAATGTTACGGTTGAAATGCCATTAACTGACCCTCCAGATATCTAAAGTAATTTCTGTTCTGACTATATTATCCCTTCCAGTTGCCATAGCATTCAAAGGTTTGCATATATGCATGGTTATCTCTACGCATATTGGCTGTGTACGACAATAATATAATTAATTGTTGACTGCAATGAGGCTGCTTCATGGCATTGCAGTCAAGTAGAGGAGGATGTGGTATTGGTATTGGTGCTAGAGATAATGATAATGATGGACAGGTAGTGCATTCCGTTATTTTATTAAATATACTGCGTTTATGCAAGCCAGCACACGCAAATTCAAAGTCAATGCATGTCATTTGCCCTTCTTTCTGCAAACCAACTTCTTAAATTTCCTCTTATCTGCACTTTTCTGTACTATGCTTGTATACAGAGAAAATTCCAGAAGGTGGTAGAGCTAGCTGGTTTAGTTTTCATTATTATTGTTTTTATAACCTGTACCTAAAAGGTACAATGGGTGTACATACAGATTAGGTTGTGCAAAGTGAAAAAAATTAAACAGACAAAAGGAAGCATTTCCGACGCCCATAAACCTAGTCCACTATACCTGTTTGTATGTCCGTCCGTATGATCACCTAGATCTCACAGATTTTAAGAGCTGGGGACCCCAAAGTGCACACGGATGTGTATTCAGTATAGGTGTATTTCAAAATTGTTCTTGAGTTTCTAAAAGTTTCTAACAGTACATTGAGATCAACTTTTCTGCTGGCCTCTTTCGGCCCATATCTTGAAATGATTCTCCGCTGTCGTGCTAGCATAAATGTATGTACATAGATATATATATATATGTTTTAATTGACTGTCAATATAGTTCCTGAACATATGTATGCTATATATAAAGTGACACGCACTCGTAAATGATTGATACCGTTCCACCATTATAAACCCATTAAAGAAATTTTTCTATCAGTACATTTTGTGGGCACAGCGCGTTTAATAAAGTTCGGAGTTATCAACGTTGTTGGTTGATTAAGCCAATAAATATTTTTTCTAAGTAAAATCATTATACAAGTAGTGCGTTTCAAAGACAAAACAAAAGTTGTGCCCATTCACCTTTTATCAACTAAAAACTTTCGCAATGATAACACTGCGACACCAATGGGCTTTATCAACAAATGCCGTTCCAATGTCGACTGTTGAATAATTTCAAATTTTCAACAATATAGAGGAACCCTATGAGCAAAGCATTTGGATGTGCCATTCCGATTGCTTGATGGTGTGTGTGTGTGTGAGCTGTAAAAATATATATAGTATATACCTCTGATAATGAAAATTGATAAAAAACCGATCACCAACTCATCCTTACTTTTGCAAATTGACAAAATTATTATCTTTGCGCTGTGCTTTATATTAAAGCTTTATATATATTTTTTCGGTTTGACTTAAGTCCATTGAAAAATGGACTGGTATCAGGGATGTAACCCCCTTAGGAACATGCCACTGTGTCAAGGTAGAATAGGTTTAAACAAAATCAAAAAAAAAAAAAAAAACACTGTTTTGTTGTGATTTGCTTGATTTCTCATTCAAATGGGTCAATAATTAAAGTACATTTTTATTTAGGCAAACAAATAAAAATTCAAGCGTCGTTGCTTCTTGAAATTTGCATGTACGAGTACTATATATCCGAATTGACATTCAAAATAGCGTAAAAAATAAAAATTAGCAATTGGTTGTCCACTTAATGACCTCAACGTTTGTTGATAAGTGGCCAAAGGGCGTCCTGCCTCTTTGCACAACAAATAAAAATAAATCTTGCAATTGATCGACATTTTCATTTGCAAACGTGCAGAAAATAAAATCAAATAAAATTAAATGTAATTAAAATAAAGTGGCACATGTGTTGAGCTCAATGACATAAATTATCGAGTGTGTAGCCAGCGGAAGAAAATGCTGCTGTACATTGATCACAACGCGTGATCATGATCAAGAGCAATGAGTTAAAACAAAAAGCAACAACATACATCCACGAGAACGACGCCAACCTGAGCGACTACGACAATTGCAAAGTTGATGTAAAATAGCATCGACGTGGTTGTTGTTGTTGTTGTAGCTATTGTATTGTTGTTATTGTGCTTGGGCGGCTGTTTGTGGTGGGCCAGACTTGGCGACTGACCGTGTGTTCTCATTTGATGCCCCCAATATGAATAAATATTTATAATAAAACAGCTCACGTTGCTCCAGCATGTGCCTAACTGTAGGCTTTACAAACAAGTTCTCATCAAAATAGAAATAGAAAATAACTCTCCGAAGGCTTGCAAAATTGTAACTGCAACACGTGCATGTCCAAATTACACTCTACATATGTAAATATTTATTTATTGGCTAAGTAGAGCAATCAGATATAGGCGTCTGTTGTTATGCACACTAGTCTTACAGTCTATAGTCTTTTCTCTAGACAAAGAAGATCGTCAAATTTCCTTTCCTTAGCTCTTACCGCCAACATTTCTTATGTTGTGTTACACTCTTTTGTTACAACATATATTGTTTTTCAATTATATTATAAATAATGGGTTGAATTAATAAACACCAGTATTAGGAATGAGAGCAGCTATCTCACAACTAACCGCTTATTTTATTTAATATTTATTTCAAGACAGACAAGCGAGCAACAGATTTCTTTAAATATTTTTATACACTGAATAGTTTGTATATTAAACAAGAAAGGAATGCTAAAGTCGAGCAGGCTCAACTCTTAAATACCCTGTACCACCCCACAAAAAAGTAATTAAATTAATTAATTAATTTAATTTAATTAATTAACTAAATTAATTTAATTAATTAACTAAATATTAACTAATTAAATATAAAATATTCCATGCATGCATACATACATTTACATCAGAATCATGCCTTATGCGTGTTTGTGTACTTGTACATATGTATGTGTGCATTGGGCCTGGTTATATGGCTATAACTTTCTTTCCGATCGTTCTATCATAATGAAACTTGGTATACGGATATATAATTACTAACCTAATGTGACTACCAAATTTTAGTTCAAAATTCCAAGAATATGGGAGTTATAGGAAATCTGTAATAGGGGGGGGGGGGGGGGGGGAGGGGAGTGGGGGGTGGATCAGAAAAAATGAACAAACTCGTCCTTTCTCGGTCTCAGGAGAATCTGTATACCAAGTTTGGTTATTCTAGCTCTTATACTTTCGGAGATCCTTGCGTTCATACAGACAGACGGACAGACAGACAGACGGACAGACAGACAGACAGACGGACAGACGGACATGGCTATATCGACTCGGCTTGTCATGCTGATCAAGAATATATATACTTTGTGGGGTCTACCAAGCCTCCTTCTGTGTGTTCCATGTGCACTCGCACAAAACTAATATACCCTTGTACCCTTTGGGTACAGGGTATAATAAAAGTGTCAAATTTTGATTACGATTTAACGCCAGTTAGGGGTTTATTTTACGCAGACTACTCATCATTTTTTGTTTAAATATATTTTATGTATATAGATAGTAAGTTTTTTTATTCTGTTCTTTCATTGCAGGTCAACTTTCTAATCTGCCAGATATCAGCGCTCTTCCTGGCCTCGCTATTTCGGTCGCTATTGCATCCTTCCAAAGTGTCTTCCAAAGTGCGACACATATTTGCGCTATCTATTGGCCTGACCTTTGGCTATTTCTGTTTTGGACAACAGGCCATACACATTGCAGGATTGCCGGCAATATGTTATATTGTTATAAGGACTCAGGATCCGCGCATTGTGCAGAGGTGAGGTATTTTAACGTAGCTAATAAGATTGTTCTGTTGTGGTTCCGTGCCTATGTCTGTATGTACTTTTATGTATGTATGTACAAAGTATTAAAAAGAGTACATCGTAATTAAGATCAAATAAGAAACATGTTGCAACCAAAATAATAATGCATTGAGAAACAGATAACAGCTTATCCACGAAGTGTGAAAACTTTATAATAGAAAACATCCAAGAGATTTGTAACTTTACAAATTTAGACAATTTAATATTAAATACAAATGTAATACTTTAATAATATATTAATATACGACGTATTATTGATGCCTCTAATGTACAATACTTTCACGAAATATCCTTTCTCAATAATAGTAAAAGCACCGATCATTCTATGCATGAAACTTGGCATACGGACATATAATCACTAACTAGAGATATTTTCCTGAATTTCAATGAAAAAATCCAAGAAATGCGGGAGTTATGGAAAATCAGTAATTGCGTGGGAGAGGGGTGAGGGAGGGAAATTCCTAAATACACATTTTCTGCGTATTCACATAAGGCATCTGGGACTAAAATTTTGTGGCCCGATTATACGAATGGAAAATCGGAAAATCACAAAGGCAACAAAAGGCATCTCTGTGCAAAATTTTGTGTCTACATCTCTTATAGTCTCTGAGATCCAGGTGCTCATACGGACGGACAGACAGGGCCAGATCGCCTCGTCTTGTTATGCTGATCAAGAATATAAGTATATACTTTGTGGGTTCTGCCTGTTACTTTTTTCACCTCCCGCAATCCTAACATACTCTTGTACATTTCATGTACAAAGTAAAATTAATTTCTTCAATGGTCAGAAGAGTAATAATTTACAAGAATTTTTACTTTGCAGAACCGTCCTGTTGGTGGCCATGAGCTATTTGCTGTGCGTTCACTTGATGCGCCAAATCTATGACTATGGCTCGTACGCTCTCGACATTACAGGACCGTTAATGATCATCACACAGAAGGTAACGAGTCTGGCGTTCAGCATACATGATGGCTTTGTGCGTCAGGACGAGGTAGGTGAGGCAGCAGAGGCTGCTAATTTGCAAAATATTCAATGTTCAATTTCACATTTTTTTTAATTTTGTGTGTGTGTGTGTGTCCACAGGATTTGACAAGGGCACAGCAATATCATGCCATTAGAAAAATGCCATCTGCCCTGGAGTACTTCTCATATGTGTGGCATTTTCAAGGCTTGATGGCCGGTCCTCTTGTGTTTTACAAAGACTACATCGAGTTTGTTGAGGGCTATAATCTCCTGAAGCGACCATCATCGAATGTACGTATGAATACTGAATACCTGTCTATCGGGGGCCAGTGGGAAGGTGTCGGAGTGTAGTTTTTATGTGGTGGTCAGCGGTGGTCAGCTCAACAAGCCTTTACGTTTATGTGCTGCTGCATAATGGAACTGCAGTGATTTCATTATCTATGCCGCATGCTTTCGCTTTCCTCTCGCCGCAGCCTCTCTGCCAATCTGATGGACACTGACGCGAGCTGAGAGTTGAATATGTTGGCTGCATACGTTTGTGTTTCGATGTGGAAACCACATAGTAATCTAGAGTGTATTTATAGTGATTTGAGAAACACTCAATTCTATTAGATATTTCAAAAACTGAAAATGCGGTTCCTTGTAATTTCAATGCTTTATCCAAAAAGTGAAAGCATTGGAGTCAGTGATGATGCTCTATTAGGGCACATTTATTCTAGCATCTATTTCTATATAATTCAAATAATGCGGACCTAACCCGATTTGTGGGGCGTAAGTCGATACAGTCGTAAGAAATCGCAGGCAGCGAATTATATTAAACACTAATTTGATCCAAATACGTTCAACATCCTTGAAGCAAAATTTACAGAAACTGCAGCACACGCACACAAACCCACCTGTTCAAATAGTGCGGCCACATTCCATATCCGCTCGCCTGCTGCCCATTCCATTTATCAATTTCAATTTCCACCTCTTATTACACTTTCGGTTTAACTCATTCGTTGGCACACCCCACGACCTCAATCTATCTCTCACCTTTGTCGTTTGGAACAATTTTGCAGGGCAACTTGGACAATGGGAAATCGGAATTGGTTCTCGAGCCGTCGCCTACAAAAACAGTGATACGTAAGGTTATCGGCAGTTGCGTGTGTGCGTTCATATTCATGAAATTTGTGAAAATGTATCCGGTGAAGAATATGAAAGATGATGACTTCTTAAACAATACAAACATTGGCTATAAGTTCTGGTACGCCATGTTGGCGACCTCGTGCATTCGTTTTAAATATTATCATGCGTGGCTCCTCGCCGATGCTATATGCAATAATTCAGGTTTAGGTTTCACCGGTTACGATAAGGATGGCAATGCCAAATGGGATCTAATATCAAATATCAATGTGCTGTCGTTTGAGGTAAGTTGTAACTCACAAAAATGTGTTTAACAGTAGCTCGAAAAAATTGTAATTTTACGAATAATATAATATGCATTGCAGTTCGCTTCAAACTTCCGAGATGCCATCAACAACTGGAATTGTGGCACCAATCGCTGGCTGCGTACACTTGTCTATGAACGGGTGCCCAAGAAATATGGTACTCTATTAACATTTGCCTTGAGCGCGGTCTGGCATGGTTTCTATCCTGGTTACTATTTAACCTTTGCCACAGGCGCTTTGGTGGTCACAGCAGCTCGTACGGTGAGTTAGTAATAGAATAATAATTAAAAATCTACAAAATTAAAAACAGTTTACTTTGTCATGATGAGATTTATAGAAGAATTAATAGAGTCAAGAAAGAATTGTTAAAAGAATAAAAGCGAAATAAAAATAGTAATAAAATCAACACGAATCTAGGTTTAAATTTTTAAACCTAGAAAACTAATGCTATTTTTTTCGTTAAGGCCAATTTTAAATAGGTTATAACTATTGAAAAAAAGTTATGCAATCATTTGAACAACTTCCTCAATTTTTCACACTTCTGTGAAATCACTCCGAATAAGAAACTTAATTTTTCACAAAACATAAAGTAATAAAAACTAATCTGGCTTCAAAGTTCACAATATGATTGACTTTAAAATGTGAATACATGAAATGTTTATTTTACCTCTGTCGAAAAATAAATTTTGATAATACATAAAATGTGCTATTCCACAAATTTTCCACAAAAGAAACAAAACGTATACACAGAAACGAATGTTTTATTTATTTAATAAACATTTCTGGAAAAGTAATTTTTTGAGAATACTGGTGTATGAGAATTGGTAATAATATTGATTAATTATTTCCCTATACATTTTAAATATCAAAAATTTCACTAATTTAATGCGTTTCTTTTACAGGCACGCCGCATGTTCAGGCATCGTTTCCAAAGTACACAGTTCACGCGCATGTTCTACGACATTCTTACCTGTTTAACCACACGTATAGTGATGGGTTACGCTACATTCCCATTTGTTCTGCTTGAATTTATGGTAAGTAAATTGTGATTATTTAAACGAATTGTGCCTCATTTGTCTTGTCATTCTTTTAATTACAGGGCAGCATTCAATTGTACCTGAGATTTTATTTGTGCCTTCACATCATTTCACTAGTGACCATATTTATTCTACCTATATTTATACGCGGTGAGAAACGCGTCAAGCCGTCCAGTAGCAGCACCAGTGTTGAAACAACCAATCAGACCACGAGGACGAACAAGGACGCCAAAGTGGACAAAGGACCGACGGGAAAGCAGGCGACGGCTGCTATTCCTGCAACAGATGATCTCAATGATGAGCACGAGGAAAGTGACGCAGAGAACAGAGTCACTAAACGTAAAGTACACATTAGTGACAATATGCCACAGCATCAATTGCAAGAAAAACAGCAACAACACAACAATATAATACTCCACAACACACAGCAGCAAGACCTACAGCAGCAGCAGCAGCAACAACAACAGCGAGTAGCGTGCGCTCGAGACGCGGTTAGCGTGCCGCATGATCAATGCGAAATGGATCAGCTATCCAGCAAGCTGAAGGAGAAGATTGAAGCTGAAACCAAAAATATTGAGGAATTTATAGATAAGACTGTAACCGAAACTGTTAGTGGCATTGTTGAGTTGAAGAACGACTTAATGCGCGATATCGAGTTCCCCAAACTAAAGCTAGGTAGCGTCACTAATGCTATTGGAGGTGGAGGAAGTTCTGGTGGCAATCTGGACAAGGATTCCTTAGTAGCTGCATCAACGGCTCTGCGCAAGCGTAACATATCACATGAGAATGGCATGGACGCTAATTGTGTCATCGAGGACAACAACATGGAGGACAATAGCGCTACCTTTCTAAAGAAGGAAATCGAGGTTATCAATTCTGTGGTGCAGCAAGCCAACGTCTTGCCAGCAATGCTCAGTAATGGTCATGCCAAATAGTAGTTGGACAACATAACCAGCTGCCGTAGGAGGAGGCAAAAACGAATTTGGATGAGGCAGCATCATCAACAGCAACAACAACAGCTGCAGCACCAACACCAAGACGAACAGCCATGTCATCATAGCATTGGTAGAAATGGGTAGCAGAAAAAGTGATGCATGATTAATTCTTGAGATTTATGCGCACAGCAAGCAGACACACAGTATATAATATATATATCACATACATATATACAACGCATAGAAAATTAACACACACACACACTCACCCTATTAGATACAAACATACTCGTATTTGCGTCTTGCTGACATTTTTAAGTTTTTTGTTTCATTTGGCAAATATTTCGGTTTACAAAAATTATGATATCACGATAATATGAGGACAAATTTATATACATAAATTCTATATACATCTAGATAAGGGAATATTTGTAACATTGTCTAAAGAATAAATAGCCAAATATTATGATAAGCGAATACCGATTCAAGTGTTTTTGCTCAATATACATACAAACATATATCAATTAATGTTCATTAGCCATGGCTGTCATTATCGCACACTCGGATAAATCTGACATGTTATCAACAAAAAAAAAAAAAAAAACAAAACCGTAAAACAAAAAATTTCATTTACATATAATTGTGTACGCTGTCTAATTGTTGTTAAACGTAGTAAATGTTTGTTATGCGCGCGTAATGTAATATGCTATGAATTCTTCCGGTATGTACTTGTACTATTAAATGTTTACCATATAGTCTATGATATGAGAAGTAACACAAACTTTAACAAACTTATTTGAAATATATGTTTTTAATGACAATTCAAAATATTCCCGCCTGCCTGCGTACACAAATAAAAGCAACAACACTATACAAAAATAAAAATACAAATATCAAATATGTATACATATGTGCGTATGTATTTAGAATCAACTAAATTACAAGTTTAAATACAAAATCGAACTAAACCAAAACTTGAAATTAGACTGAAGCTAATGAAAACCAATCCATGTGAAGCAAATTTCAAAGGGCGCAAATAAATCTACATAGTTAGTTGATAAGGAAATTAATTTGTTTTAAAACATTTGCATGCGTGTGTGTATGTGTGTGCGTCTGCGCCTAAAACCCACTTCCACTGCTGAGCAGCGTTATGGAAAGAATCTACTTTCCTACTCTTCCTCAGATATTAATCTAACTGTGCTTGCGTACGAGGAATACAATTTTCTTTCTTCCAATAATGTCACCTACGTATAACTTACTCCTTAGCCTAAGCACATTTTACGTTGTTTTAAAACTTTTTTGTTAATTTTAAAAAATATAGTGATTTCACACAGACACACATAGAGATAGAGAATACCTATGTTTTTATATTTATTGTAATAAAAGTGACACAACACGCAGAGCATATTTGTTTTTGTTTGATTAACATTCATGCGCATTCAAGAATAATGCCATAAAGCCGTGAAACAAGCACAAGCAAGGGCCAGCAAGCCCATACATAGATAATAGAAGTTGCTGTTCTGGATTTCGCTACTTTAAAAGGAAATTCGAATGAAAGCGAAACGCAGAACACGCTCGAGTGGCCGGAGTTGCACAGCATTTAGGAAGGCCGAAAAAACAGGAAAATTGAAAGTAAAACATAACTCTTACATATTAAAAACTAATTGCATGAATATTCAAAAAATAAAACATGTGTGTATAATAAAATGCCTTTTTATTTGATCGACTTAAAATTTCAAACTGCCGGTTATCTTATAAAAATCCTCCACTTCCTGCGACGATTTCAGCACACATAAGTGCACTTCATTGCAGTGTACAATTCCGAAGTCGTAATCACCAAACTTTTTCAATATCTCACGCGCGTCGAAGCTGTTGGGGCTTTTAGCGTTCAGTTCCTTACGTTTACGATTGTTCATGATCGTCATGTGCAGCTTGATGCTGTCGCGTTCAATGTTATCCGTTGCACAAAGTCCGCTTGGCTTGAAATGCTGAAGGCACCTATCAGCGAAGTGCTGCAGGTCTGGCGCCTCCACGCGTGCGTAGAGCACACGGGTCGAGCTGGGGTCATCGTTCATGATTTCCAAGCCGCTCACTTTCAGCTGCAATGGTGTGCTCAATTCCGTCAAATATTGGCGACACAGTTGTAACTGTTCCAAGGCCTTTTGTCGTTCTTCATCGTCCAGCAACACGTAGACGCCTAGTGTCAGGTGAATGCAGCGCTCCGAAATAAACAGATCTGAGTCAATGCCGGGGAATTCCGCCTCCAAAATGCTTTGCTGTAAAACGAGCGATGTTTTTTATTAGATGGAACTTTTATTGAATTGGATTTACTTTGAGTGCCAAAAACTTCTCCTGCACGATGCCACTGTTAAGCGAAACCGCCAAAAAGTGAGTGGGCCGCATTTTTTTGCGTAACGATTCAACAATTAGTCGAATCTTGCGGAGAGCTGCGCATAAGCTACTTCGTTCTTTTCCCCTAATAAGAAGCTCGCTCGATTTGTCGTTGGGACGGGGCACAGAAATTTCCGTCTGCGTCTCATTCTCAATGCGCCGTTTGGTGTTTCCCTTCATCCCAATTAAGCCGCCGTAGAAGGCTTTTGGAATATGTAATGGTAGTTTATAGCCTTCGTTATTTGGCAGCTCCACAATTTTGCAAGTCGCTTCATCATCAAAGTCGTCTTCGGCATATAAATCTACGTAAAGAAACTGAGAGCTTAACAAAAGTTTTTAAATAATATTATCATACCCACCTGTCTCTAAATATTCCTTTGCCTGTGACCCCCTTTTGCCAGCGTTCGTTTTATCGCCTCCGAAATCCTCGTGCGTAATATTTACGCGGTACATGCGGTTGTGGCTCATACGTTGCAACGGCGGTGCTAGGATATCGCGGCTCATTTTGCTGAAATTCGTTGAACACCGAAAACGCAATCCGAAATAAGTAATTTAGCAAGAGATGTGCAGATTAGTAAATTAGAATTACGAAAACCGGCTGTCATCGCTAAGTGGAACTGGTTTAATGCACATAGTTACCCCGTTGATGTTTAAAAACAACACCACTCATATAATCCAAGATTTTAAATTAAGTCTGAAGTCCTAGTAATTTCTACTAAATAATCTTTTCTCATTAAGAAATATAATTTACTGTTTGTATATTTTCCATTAGTTTATTTACTTAAAACGAATTAATCGTTTAGTTCCATTAGTTGTAGTTCATTTATTCGTTTCGTTCACTCATATTTATTTTTTGTTCTTTATTATGGAAGTTCTGTTTCTATGTTTTAGCAATTTGAAAGTGTTGATGGGCCGGTAAACGAAATTAAATTACAATAAAGAATTAAAGAGTGTAAACCACACTTTACATACATACACAGCTGGACTGAATAATAGGCGTGAGACATTTTTTTTCAAAAAAAACTTTATATTTGTATATTCAAATTTTTCTCAAAAAATCAATCATTTTTCAAAATAAACATACTTCAGCTACAAAACAAATAATAAACGGCTTTACTAGCTATTAAAATTAACTTAGCGTTTAGTTAATTCAAAAAATACAAATATTTCGGTCAGAATAATAGATGTGTCAAAACAAAACTTAATCGTATATATAAATGTTTAAAAATATTATAGCAATACATACATATATACTCGTATTATAGTTATAAGTGATTTTTAGTTTTTTTTTATATTCATATAAACAATAATAGTTCATACCGCCCGTATCGCTATTATCCATAGCGTTATTTTGGGAGTATAGCAGTCTCTATTTAGAAGTACATATGTATGTATCATAAAAATCATCCTTTGTTGGTGAGAAGGGAAAATACCTTCGCAGAGAGGTATTTGGGCCTCGCACCCACTAAACCCCTCCTCCTAGGACTGTTAAATTAATCATAATTTATCTTGACTTTAGATTTGGCTTGTGGTTTGGCCTTCATTTTCAATTCAGTCAATGACGATCTGCCTATTCCCCTTTATTTCGACCAATGCATTTAGGTTTTAGTTTGGGACCCGACTGAGCTTTTAAAATAAAAGCCCTAACACAAATGTTCAGATGAAATTTGAATACAAGTTTATTATTAGTTGTTGTTTGTGTTTATTGTGTCTTCAAACTTTAAAGTCCCGGTGATCTTATAAAAGTAATTTACTTTTCCCGAGGACCCAAGCTCACACAAATGTACTTCGTCGCACTGCGCGACGCCGAGGTCGTAGTCACCGAATCGTTTTATAATCTCACGCGCATCAAAACTGTTGGAGCTTTGTTTGTTTAATTTCTTACGATAACGATTGTTCAAGATTGTCATGTGCAATTTTACGTTGTCGCGTTTACTTTCGGCGGACGCACAAAGCCCGGTTTGTTTGAAATGTTTCAAACACTTGTCCGCAAATTCTTGGAGTTCTGGCGCCTCCACGCGTGCATAGACCACTCGAGTCGAGCTCGGATTATCATTCATGATTTCCAAGCCCCTTATATTAAGATGAAATGATTTATATGATTCCGTAAAATATTGGCGACACATTTGCAATTCTTTCATGGCATTTTCGCGTTCTCTACCGTCCAGTAGAACGTAGACGCCTAGGGTCAAGTGAAGGCAGCGTTCCGAAATAAACAGATCTGTGTCAATGCCTGGGAGTTGAGCTTCCAAAATGCATTTCTGGAAATGAAGCGCTGCGTTATTGGATAGGACTCTAATTTGTTATATTTTTGGATTTACTTTCAATGCCAAAAACTGCTTCTGCATGGCCCCAGTGTTAAGTGGAACCGCCAAAAAGTGGGTGGGCCGCATTTTCTTGCGCAATGTATCAACTAGCAGTCGAATCTTGTGGAGAGCTGTGCACAAATTACCTCGTTCTTTTCCCTTAATGATAAGACTGCTAGATTTTTCAGATCGACGTGGCACATAAATTTCAGTTTCTGTCGCAGCCTCTATGTGTCGTTTGGTATGTCCCTTCATAAAGCCGCCATAGAAGGCTTTTGGAATTTGTAATGCTAATTTGTAGCCACAATTATCTGGTAACTCTTCTATTTTACACGCGGCTGCATCTTCTTTAAGATGGAATGTAATGAAAACAAAAGCATTTGATGTTATAATACCTACCTGGCTCTGGCTGTTCCGCATTCTGGTCGGCGTTTAACATATCGCCTTTAGAATCCTTGAGTCCTACATTTGTGTTCATTTTTTAGCTGGGCGCGTGGGATTGTGGAGTTTTCAAAAATAAGGGGAAACACAGAAACCACACTCAATAATGAAATGAGATTTGTGTAGAAGATGAGACTACAATGCGAGAGGGGCTCTCATCGCTAAAGAGAACTGGTTCAATGTAAATTGGTTCACTTAATAATCGCTTAAAACAACAAGTTCACACGTGCATATTTCTTAAATACAAATCGAGTTGTTAAAAGATTAATATATCAATATTAGATGTTCACAAATCATCATGCCCGCTATAGCAGCTGCCGACACTACACATAAGAAAGATAAAACTCTGGAATCCAAAAAATCGTGGAAAGCTATCAATGCGGAGCGAAAAGTGATTAAACAACAGCGCAAGCAAGAAAAACTATTAAAGGAGCTGCAGAAGGCAGAAGAAGCCAAGAAGTCAGAAGATCTGAATGTCGCGAAAAAGTCCAAAACTATACCTAATCCATCTACGGTGAGCATAGCAGTTCCTGGATCCATACTCGAGAATGCACAGTCTCCTGAGCTGCGCTCATATGTGGCCGGACAAATTGCTCGAGCAGCCTGCATTTTTCGTGTCAACGAGGTAATCGTTTTTGACGATGTGGGTGTGGCAACGGCACGGGAGACAAAACGCAGCTACGACGAGGATAATGTCAACGGTACAGTACGGAGAAGCTCGCTTCAATTGGCGCGTATATTGCAGTATCTTGAGTGTCCGCAGTATCTGCGTAAGTTTTTCTTTCCGCTACACAACGATCTGAAGTTCTCGGGCCTCTTGAATCCTCTGGACACACCACACCACCTCCGGCAGCAAAGCAAATTTCAATATCGCGAGGGTGTTATTAGTGAAAAACAGGCAAAGGAGGGCCACAGCTATGTAAATGTAGGCTTGTTAAATGATGTGCTTGTGGATAAGGCCATCGAAGCGGGCGTGCGAGTTACTGTCAAAATGAGTGCTCCTAGTGGTACGTACGTGTAATTCCGAATAATATCAATAAGAAGTTGAGCGATAATTTTGCATATCCTGCAGAGCAAACAAAGAAACTTCGTGGCACTTTGGTCAGTCCGGACGAGCCACGACGCGAGACTGGTGTCTACTGGGGCTATCAGGTACGAATAGCACACTCCCTTTCGGAAATATTTACCAAATCACCATATGAAGGCGGTTACGATTTGACACTGGGAACATCCGATCGGGGTGCTAACGTGCACCAGATTCCTAGCAAATCCCTTCAGTACAACCACATGCTCATTGTATTTGGCGGTCTGCAGGGTCTTGAAGCAGCTCTTATTGCTGATGAGAAATTGAAAGTTGACGATCCTGAATTATTATTCGATCATTATGTAAATGTTTTGCCCAAGCAAGGGTCACGCACCATTCGTACAGAGGAGGCGTTGCTCATAGCCTTAGCGGCGCTGCAAGATAAACTCCAGCCCGAGAACGCCGATCTGGAAACTGATTTAATAGATTTGCTGCCACGCAGTGAAGACACGGGTATTGCGATGACACGCGATAATTTAGTAAGCCACAAGAAAAAGAATCGAAGAATAGTGGAAACCATCGAGGCCGTCGATGCCGTTGAAAAAACGGAACGTCGACCAAATCCGTTTGCGCAGAAGACAGCTGAAGATGTAACCGATAAGGATATAACTGAAGATGATTTCGAAATAGTTTCTACTGCTCACGATGTGACCCATAAGAAGGCCAACAGTATTGGCGGGGACCTTAGTCGATTTGAATAAAAAACTTGCAATTTATTTAGAGTTTTTTGCATTTTATTGGTTTGCATTTATCATCTACACATTGTAGCCACAATTATCTGGTATGTCCTCTACACATTGTATGTATGTACTATATGACGTGCAATGGCTTGTTTCTCACAACTAATTTGTTATAAATGCTATGTATTTTGTATTTATGTATTCTTCCCTTTTCTCTTGCGAATGGTACGTTTATATACTGATTCTATTTTTATACATATTCTTGTTTTAGGATAGACAGAGCAAAACTATTAAACAGAAAGGATTACAACAAATATATTGAAAAACAATGCAATTTTGAAAAGGTTAATTTTCTGTTCCTTTAAAATTGGAGTTTTTCTCTCTATCCGAAAGCAGGGATATGTATAAATGTACAAGCGCATTATATTGAATACACATGTTGTTCCACAGAAATTTGTTCAAAACGCTTTTATATACTGCTCGGCTTAATTCTAAACAAAGTGGTACATGAATTTTGAATTTAAAATCTTTTCTACTATACGTTCACGTAATTTCATTATTTTGTACACCTTTGGAAATGTTTGATACTTGCAGCTGAGAAGCAACAATAATTATAATACTCAGTCACTTGCACTGTTCAACATAAGACACCAACTTTTTTTATAACAATAGGTACTCTTATTGTACAATCAATGTATAAATTACATATTGGAAACAATTAGTAACTAGTACAAAATATATATATATTCATTTTATGCCACTTTGGTTGCCTTTATCTCTCTTATTTTATTTACATAGAAGAAGTTGAGAATAATGCCGTTTCCCGCCTACTAATCAACCAACAGCCTTCTCTAAAATGAGCAAATAATGCAAATGAACTAAACTTAATTAAAATTAAATATAATATGTTGCCACATTATCACTAGTCATTATTAGCTATGGAATGATGGTATCGTGAAAGCGTGTTTCGGGAAAGAAATCCTCTTCCATTTCGATGCGCGTATCGCTCTGATATCCCAGCAACGTTTCGGTATCCTCCTCAAGATGTCGTATGGGATAGCTAATGCCATCGCCGAAGCTATAGGATTTGCCATAACACAGTGACAAATAATTTCAATAAAATGCAGTTCTAAATCAATTTATGTATCTATGTAGTTACGAGATATTGGGTGTGATATATGTATGTATGTGGAGTGTGTGTATGGGTGCATTGTGATATGAATGTGTGTTGCTGTTTGTGGTGATGTACGAGCAGTGATTTTGGTGTAAGAAGCAAAGCATTTGAATGATGTACTTAGAGCGTAACAATTGAGATTGAGCTTAAGTTTTGTTTGGCAAATTAAAAACAACAAACTTTTGCATTTTGTATGCACATCAACACATATATTTTAATTATGTGTTTATTTATATATTTTTTCGTTCTTCAACTTATGTGGTATTAACAATGAATGAAAAATCACTTACATAATGATTGAATGCTTTTTAATAATAATTCAGTATAAAAAATGGCATATAAAAATAAAATATTTGCTATGCTAGACAGAACAGAAAGAATTGCAGAAAAGTAAACAACTAACTACACGATTTAATTTAATAAAAGCCAAATTATTTCAATACATATAATTGAAACATTCATCTTCATAATTCTCCCAAATGATGTGGCAATGAGTATCTTTCCATCTTGCCTTGTCAGTGTTTTACTTAAAATTAGCATTAATCACACAAAATACCGCATTTTTCGCTTCTTTTGCCTAAAATTTTCTAGTAAATGTAAATGTTAAACAAAATAACAAACAGTTCTAATGTACTACTCTAATATTGCCAAAATTTCAATTTCACATCCGATTTCTTTTGATTAATTTCCGATCGCTATTCTTACATAACAAACATCGATTTAGAGTTTACTTTTAATACGTATTATGCGCATTACATAAATGTTTTTGTTTCAATGGGTGTCTGAGTGTAAATATACAAAACTTAATCATTCCATATATGTAGGTATGTATGAAGCTATTATTATTATTATTACACTTAATATAAAATACGTTAATAGTCTCAGTAGAAAAATTTATGGGTGTAGCTCTTAGGGTTTCAGGGCAGACTGGGCAAGCGGCTACAGTATTTCATACTCAAATGCATCTTAATAACTAGAAAACTATGACAGACTGGCTCTGGCCTTGTTTTTTTTTCTTCTTTTTTTTTTGCTGTTTGTTAAAAAGAAACCAAAGTTACATTAATTTTTATTTAGTTAGTTTGGTTTGTAAGTTCTTTGTTGCAAACTGGCTCAAATTGATGTCCTTATTTATATGGCTTTGTTGGCGACTAAATGTGGCCCACCATTTAGTTCGCAAACTCCTTTGTCAGCAGTAGCAGCAGTCGTTATTGAACCATGGTCACCAATTATATTGATGACTACAGGAGTGTTTGAATTATTGGTGTCTGGAAAGGCAGCTGCAGCGGGAACTGGAGGGGGCAGCGATATTGGCCCTGGCTGTGCCTCAACATTGACAATGACTTGACTAGGCGGGGTGATTTCTAAATGGTTGCGTTGTTGTTGCGGCACTATTTGCTGTTCGATGGCTTGATTGTTGTCTCGTACTTGATGAGTTTGATGATTATTTAAGTGTGTATTTAAGGATGTTTCATCAATCAACTTATCTGTTGGTTGGCCATCTAACCTGTTGGTTGTTGTATCGCCCATAGCATCGTAGCGATAGCCGCCGCGGTTGTTGCCAAGTTGTTCAGTAGCCGTGGGAAATTCCAGGCCATCGCCTCGACTATTATTGATTCATGGTGAATATATTTTGTGAATAAGCAAAATTGTTGAATTCTTGTTAACGGGCATTGTTTGTTGTTGTTTGTTTTTTAAAATCCAGGGCCATTTCCTTTTCCGATCCGATCAATTTTGTCGAAATAGATTTCGCTTTTCACTGCTTAATTTTAGTACAATTGTTTTGCAGGAATTTTTCATTACACATAGGAATTTTTGCAGATCTTTTTCGGCATATTTGATCGGGTTTAGAAAAGGTAAGAGGCCTAATAGTATTGTTGATTGATATGTTGTTTTTGTGGTAGTAGCAAGTAGTTAGTTTGTTTGGTACTTTTTACAATATAGCTGTTAGTTATTATAAATCGAAATAGTCCATTTTTTAATTTTGCATGTATGTGTTAATGTAGATCGAATTGCGGTTTAGTGTAGGCATGTGTTTGTTAAATATGCATTTTTTGGTGTTAACATAGAAGCGGTGGGAGAACGCTTTGAAAATCTTGTAACTTTTATTGCTATTTTACAATGGTTTTTGACTTGACCTAAAAGTTTTACTGGCAAAAACGTAAAATTAAAATATAATTAGTGTACTAAGCTATTAGGGCGTTTTTAGTAACGGCTTTGTTTTATGTTTCTTAGGGCTAGATTAGGTTTACATTAAAGACAAATTAAATAACAGTTACATTTGTTGGAACTTCAGCACTTGGTAACACATTTATAATTACATGTTATTAGACTTATGTATTTATGTAACTAAAGGAAAATGAACAACCTTGTGCCTCATCTAATGTCGCACAAATGGACCTGATTGCAATTTATGGACTACAAAATGCTTTCGAAACAGTTGTAAGAACATTTGGTTGCAAAAAGTGAATAATTTAATCTGTATAAGTGCGAAAACAGCTTTAGAACATGCCCTTAATTTGCCAAATAGATTAAACACAAAGAATTTTGAAAGTGATTTAAATTGACGAGAAAATAAAAAAAAAGCGTTCAACACAAAAACAACAACTAAATGCACAGCCATTTTTTGTTTGTTCATCAGTGCAGGACATTTAGTATAAATGCGGTGGGTATGATCAGGTACAACAATATGGTAAATCATATTTCAGAAAAACGCCTACATACCTGGTGAAAATGGGTAAGAACCAGTACTGCCAATTATCGCCGAACACTTCGCAGAAATTGGCATATCGACCCAGATTATAGCCATTCTTGTCTGGTCCACCAACACGGAAGATGGGCGCTCGGAAGGCCTCTATATTAAGGAATCTCCAACATGAATACACAAACAAATAATTAAATTGAAAATACTCACCTAAAGTGGTGCGATTCATGAACACCAAATAGATGTGATAGCCAAACAAACTGACAAGACTGATCGCAAACATAATTCCAATAAAAAACAGGAACAATATGTGAAAGCGTCCCATGCCAGTCCCGTTCAGCTGTCCCTGTTCCGATAATTGATTTTCGTTCTTTATAATTAAGTACAAACAAATGTACCAGAATTTGATATAAAGGTTAGTAATAAATAGAACAATCTATTCTACATACAAAAATATGGATATACTTGTCTATCATCAAGCATATAGAATGGTGAAATGAAAACAGGCAGTAAGGAGGACACTCATGCATACACGAGTAGAAGATCGAGTATAGCGACAAGCTAACAAACTTACCTTCCAGAACTGAATAAAATCGTTGAGTGTGGTAAATGCAACGTACAGGCAATAGATCAGTGCATAGCCCAAGAACAGTACAAAGTATTTGTAATTGTAAAAGTTAACGCAATTGTTCACCCAAGGGCAATGATGATCCATTTTGAGTACACAACAATTACACACGCTGCAATGATGCGATCGGTCTGGCTTTATGATTTTGCATTTCTCACAGAATCGCACGGCGCCATTCATTGTGCTATGCGGGAAACGGATAAGAAAGTTTTAATAAAAAGTGCAAACCAATAAAAGTATATATATTTATTGTCTTACCGATTTGTGACAGGCAAGTTGCGTGCAAAGTTGTTTAGAATACGTTTCTGAGCCTCTTGATTTTCCGCACGAAACAGTCGCTCTACCTCGGATTCAGGAAGCCGCCACTACAGATATTTCAATAAAATGAAATGACTATATTTTATGAGTTTTATTCGTCAAAAATGTGCAAATATGGTAAAACAATTAGGCGCGTGTTTTATTAATGACATATTAATAACCTGTTTATGCATAATACTTGTATATGATGTGTGCAACAATTTGAATATTTTTATAAGGGATATACAAGCGCCTTTTCTATCTTAGTGTTTATATCGCTCTACCATGTGAATGTGAATCATCATCAACGATTTGATCTTCTCGATACTTACATGGTCCGGCACCCGACCCACCGACGTGAAAATGGTTTGCCAGTAGGACCATAGGAATAGCACAAGAGTCAGATGATAAAAGAGCAGAAAAACGGCCATGGTTACTCGGTTTTCCATGCCCACTGAAATTATACGAATATAAAGGGGTATCACATCACATTACTGTCCAGCTGACTATTTTACTCACAGATGCAAAGCTGCACCACGTAGGCATAGTAGGACCAGCCGATGACGGCGGTAATGAAGAGCACAGGTATCCACTTAAATACACTCATACAACAGCTGCAAGGTGTCTTCCTTCTTCCGTGATCGTCGTTTCCCATGCTACAACACTTGACGGCAGCCCCACAAATGTACTGAACGAGTGCGTTTATGATTTGTTGGGAGTTTGTGGGTGCAATTAACGGAGGGGGGTGGTAGCTAGAAGAGGTGCTGGTGGCAGCTACTGCTGGAGTGGCCGTTGCTGCTGCTTATCAAAGTCGCGTGTGATCGCACACAGCTATAGGTTCATGAATCACGATTGCTTATGATGAGAACATTCATTTGTATTTGTGGTATATACACTTTTGCTTTTCTTTTCCGCGGCCAAGAGTGAAAGTTATTGGCCTAGCTAAATGCCATGTTTGAGTATTAATAATTGAAACAGCACCGCTTGCTAGTCACTTTTCATAAGCTTTTTACAAAGTTGAAAATCTAGGTTGCACGACTTTTCTTTATCAGCTATTTTAATACTGCTATCCTGCTGCCCTAATCGCAACACAAGCAATGGCGATGTGAGTACAAAACAATGATATCGATATTATGAAAGTAGCTTATTGGCGATGTCTGTGCTTATCGATATATCTTTTTTAATGCTGCAAATAGCTTGGTATTTTTGTGTGTTTATTTTCACTTTGTAGTATATTTTTGGAGCAGGAAATTCAGATATCAAATTAATAGCTACATACATACATACATATACGTACGTAAATTGGAATATTTTATATTGAATAGTTCTTTAAAAATATAATCTTAAACAAAAAACACAATTCTTCATATCCTTTTCTTCTTACTTTTTGATCTACTTTAGACAACTGATTGATATACTTCAGCAACAGGTAATTTAAATTAATGAATATTTTTCTAAAATACCAGACCAAAGTTATGTATTGCTTTTTTGTGTTTCTCCATATTATTAATTTAAAGTCCCGCGTTTTGTTAGCGGTGACATATGTTACTGCGTCATGGTATCGAATAAATCTAGTGAAATCTACCTAGGATATATCAATGTTTCATCGATACATCGCTGTTTTTTACATCCCTATTAGAAATTGTTGAAGCTTTAGTATTATAGTAACGTGTGTCGTCGTCAGAGGTAGTTATATTCCGTCGCGTATTAAATAATACGTCTTCGTTCGTTTCAAAATTAAGAAGTATTACTGAAAACTTTTCAATAGAGGAGTCAACATCTTAAAAGAAAGGCTGCACTGCCTGTGCAACTTTAGATTTTATATAAATTCCAACTAGAGATTCTTTAAATATCTCCTGATTGTGCAAGAGTAGTACGAAATGTGATAAAACAAAAAAAAGTTACACTACGTGCGCGTAATAAAAAACGAGGCCGATTTGCACGAGGAGTAGACGGAAAGCAGGCAGGCAGCAGTCAGGCGGCAGGCTCCCCCAAAAAATATACATACATACAAAAATCTACCTATCACTTGGTTGATTGTTGTTGTTGCTGACGGTGCAGCTACAGTGGTGCTGGCGAGGTTTTTGGGGGGCGCCTGTGGGTTCGCTTGCTGGCTGCCTTAGTTTGGGGGGGACAATCAATAAACACGCTTAGCCGTGTGCCGTGTACCGTGTGTTGGTGTTGTGTTGTCGATGATGATGATGGTGACGACGACGACGACGACATCGTCGTGTCGTGTCTTAGGGGGATGGGGTGGTCGGTGGACTGTGTATGCGCATGTGATTCAAATGCCGGTTTTGAATGTGCCGTCGGCTTTTGAAATGTTGAATGAACAAGTGCTTAAAATATATACTTGTATAAATTGCTTTAATACCAATCTTTATGAAAGCTCTATCAATCCGATTGTAAAGATATGCCTCGGTTTTTATATTAATTAATTAAAGGCAGATAAATCGCTCCAATGGGCTTAATAAAATGTGTCTCATTGTGCCCGGGAGGAGTACGCGCGGCTCAAACAGCTTTTTCTCGTTTAATTAGAATTTAAAGTAATTAGCCGCGCGGACCTTCTAATTGCACTGATTGTGTGTATTTGCCTGCTTGTGTTTGGCTCTACATATTTGATTGGCGACTATAGCTTATCGATGGGTATCGAAATGCAATATGGAATTGGGTCATGGTCGCCAAAGTTAACAGCAGGCGGGCATTTCTAAATTGTATTTGTGTGTATTGCCATTTGGAGTCATCAATAAAACAAGTGCCCAGCACAGCGGGCGTCACTTTGCGGCACTCAAGTTTGGTGGGCCTGTGTAGGAGGTTTTTTATTTTAACTTTTGTTCAAAATAAGCCGACAAAAAATATCTAGCATAGCTTACATATAGCAACTTGCTGTTGCCATGGTTAGACAAAGCAGTTGCAAAGAGGCAATACAAATAGAGGCGTGTATGTATGTATGTACTATAAGTATATATACTTACTTATGTACATAAATGGTCATACATAATGTACAATCTTAACGAACTACAAACATACCCATATAATGCTGCTAGAGACTTTAGAAAAAGTACAAACATACATACATACGAGTACATGCATACATGTCTGTTTACTTAAGCAAAATCATTCTCGCACACAATTTAATTAAACAATTATATTGCCAGAAATGTGTAGAGAACAATTGTATATGTGTACATACATATGTGTGCATGTATGGCTATATAAATGATTGTCTGCGTGGGCATACTTGTGTGTGAGTGTGTGTGCTCTTTCATTTCGCACCCAACTTATACGAATTGAATTCGACGCAAAAGTTTCATAAGTTTTGACGCCTTCAGTTTCCACCACCCTCTGAAACGTATAAAAAAGCACGAAAAAAGTAGAATTTAATGCACAATTTAAAAAAAATATCCATACGCATAATGAAAAATCAACCATAAACCCAATGCAGCAATTTCCAACTTTTTTTCTATATCAGCACTGCAAAGTAATTAATTAAAACCATTTTGCTATTTTTTGATTTGCAACAAGTACAATCGGAGCTAATCAAAAAAGTAGAGAAGAAAATAAAACAAGTGCATAAAAAAAGAATAAAAAAATAAAACAACAACAGCAAAAACGAACGCAAGTGACATTTGTGTGTGTGTGTGTGTGATATATTTGTTGAACCCCAGTAAGTTCTCCTTCTTAATCAAATCTAATAATGAAATTTTGTTCAAACATCAAAGTCGTTGTCGTCGCACGCACACATCGTATATAAAACGTATACCCAAAACAGAGAGTTGGCCGACAGACGTTGCTACCGAAAGCAAACGGAAAATATCCAACCACCACAACAGCAATAAGAAAATCCATCTGCAACAACATTGGCGCAGCTTTGCCAAAAACAAAAGAAGAAGAAAACAACAACCAGTCGAGTAACAGTAATAAATTCAATTTTGTTAAAGACTCAAAGAGCAAACAACAGCGATTGAAAGAACCAGAAGGAACCGCAGCAGCAACGTCAGCCAGTCAGCAAAATATTCGTTCGTTTTTTGGAACTAACCACAGTTATCGCATAAATAACATATATAGATATACAAGTATATATATATACATACATACTCGTATATAGATATAGACCAGGTAAGTCGCTTTTCAGTATTGTTTTGTTTATATTTATTTTGTTTTGTGATTAAGTATTTAACGGGCTTATCAGTAGAACTCAAGGGTTGGCTGATAAGCAGTCCATAAAACGTTCGATTTTCATTAGCATTGTATAGTCAGTGGTGGCATGTGGCGATTCCAGTTGGGTTAGGCTGGCATAACACAAAGTCTATTGATGTTGGCTTAGGCTAGGTTGTGGAAAATTTTATTCAAGTTCTATAACTAATCAACTAGTTAGCCTTTTATTCATACACACCTACATATAAGTAGTATACTCTTTCACAGTCACGCACAAAAAACTCAAACATTTCAAAGGCACAGGCACGCAAAATTCGTTTCGACTACTGACGTTTGAGCGGTACGAGAAACCAACTTCGATTTCATGCTCCTGATGCTGACGCTGACACTGACAGCGAAGCGAGTCGCTGGGGACTCAACAAGGGAGCCTTGTTGAAGGGCCTTTTTCATTTCTGCCGCAGATTCTTTGCATCTACAAGCACAGAGCTCTCGCCGTCTACTTGTGTATGTATGAGTGTGTGGCAGATTCGGTCACGCTTATAGCTACTGTTTAACGCGATGGCAGTGCACCATTTTCATCAAATTTCCTTTGAATGTACACACATACATACATAGTGTATATATATACTTACTTTAGTCTGTAAGTGCTTATATCGTTTTGGGCTTTACGACTTGAGGCTTACACGTATTATATATGTATGTATGTATAACTGTACATATACAGCTTCGTTCACCTTTATATGCCCACCGTGCTTGTACTTGCTTTTTAGTTCCTGATAGATAAACGTAAATTAAAATATAGGTTTTGAGGATATGTGATAGTGATTTTCGTTCATGAATAAAACTATGCATATGAAAGAAGCTTAGTTCTGATTTCAAAGATAAGATGAGATTTTGATAATACGACGCCTGCTAAGTTATGAATCAGCCGGTGTTCGGCCACTATTCTGATAAGCTGCTTTCTTAGTTGATTGACTTTCCTGAATAAGTATTGTGTGGTTCCAGGCAGTCTTTGGATTATCTAATTGTATTTTACTATCTGTTTGTCAGAGTCGGTCCTCTAAAACCGACTTACCTCCAAGAAACAAAGCATTCTTAACAATTTTTGTTGTTCAATTGTTAAATATTCAGTATTTCTAATTTTAATAAGGTTGTTTTGTTGAATGAATTGTTGTGGATAGCTCCGCTAAGGTGTGTGGCCACGTCTTGTCACTGTTTGCCCAACAGATAGAGAGTCGATTCGTTATGTTTCATTGTGTTTTTTTTTGCTCCTGACATGTCATCTGATTCAATCATTTTCACGATGTTGCTGCAATTTATATTTACTTGTGTAAATTGTGAATCTTTTTCGTCAAAATATGCAGAATGGTTGAGACATTAACATTTTGAATATCTACCTTATGGTATCATAAAATGTTTGTTAACAAATGTTGCATTGACATTATTAAAATTTCCAGAACAATAATAAAAAGTATTCCAATGAACAGGATCTTAAACACTTAATGTCTTTCCAACTTTGATAAAAACTTCAGCCCATTAGGGTAATTGGTGTAAAAAATCGGTAATAAATAACAGTTAAGGTTTGTTCGGTCGTTTTGGATTTATTCATTTGCTAAGAATAATGATATAAAAAGGAATGTGGGAAATAAAAATATACTTTTGAGTACTAAGAAATTATTTCTAAATTGAACCCATTTTTATTTCAATTAAAGTTGTCATTATTTAATCCTAGCATGGCACAAAAACATGGTTTATTGACTCTATCAATTGCATTAATTAAGGCAGGCGCAATATAGGATTTCCCCATCATAATAACCTATACTGTGGCATACATTTTGCCTCGCGCCTCGTACATTGTGCGATGCGGACCGTCAGTCGCTTTTCATCTGTAGGTTTTCCACGCTGGGCCTTTTATTGATTGAGTTTCGCTGGAGGAAGATGAACACGTCTTGAGATAAATGTAATACAATATTGGAAATTAAAAGGCGGAGAGAAAGTGGTGGCTGTGGGTATGAATGACTTCCTTTATTCATGCTCTTTGTTGACTATATACACTCCTAATTGAAGTATAGGGATTTAAATTGAGGAGCTTCCCTTTCAAAGTTCAATTAATATTGATTCATAGATAGATAAAAGAGCAGGCGCGCATTAAACGCACACATAGATGCACACATACATACAATTTAGGACATCGACCAAGACCATTTAATGCCGCATACACAAATAATAAGAACTGTTGCACAATTTCTTCATTTCCAGACTACAATGCAGATCACATTTCCATGCGCCTTTTTGTATGCAATGGAAATTTTATAAGCATTGTTCTTCATTTCTATTTAAATCATAGTTCACTGTTTCGTCTAAATTTGAAAGCAATTCAATGTTTTGCCACAGCCTGTAATTATCTGTGGTCAGGTGTGCTTGAAATACATCAGACTAGGCGACTTTACAAGCGATTAGTTGTAAGAGGTGAGGGCGTGTGGCATAGTGTGTTCAAAAGCTCTTTTATCGACAGGCAGTCTTCTTTTTGTATGTCATTGACAAGGGTTTTGGGTTGCGCCTACAGGCGTTGTTCCTTTATCTTTCATATGTCCGTGCCTCTCATTGCTTTGTGAGTGAGCGCAGCACAAACACACATACATACATACATACATACCTATCCACCCTCATACACAGATAGGACGCGCGCACGTGAAAAGCTCATCATAAGCACAAGTTTGTTATTTTCTTTTTTTATTACTTTTTTATATTTCTTTTGGCCATCAATTTTTATTCTTGTTTGTGTGCGTGTGCACATCCATTCCATTGTGCATGTACATGTATGTATATGGTGGTTATGTGGTTGTTTCACTTTATTTCGTTTTGTTCTGGTCGCCGCACAGGTGCATTTTTGTGCGAGTGCCTGACCTGTGCTCGCGTTGTGAAAAAAGTTTCACTCTATGGCAATGCCATGATAAATGAGAAAGAAATGCAAGGCCTTTGTTTCCGACCTCTCAATTATCAATGGCTGAAATTCCATATCTGGCCGAGGAAAATTAGTTCTGGCTTTTGTTGAACAGAAAACAAAGAAAGCCTGCACTCAGCATACATTTAAATGGAAACGCAGTGCAACAAATGTATGTAGTAATTAAAACTTTAAATGTAATTTCAAGATAATAATGATTTAAGGAAATTGAAAAGTATATTTAAAAATTACAATAATATCGGTTCGTCCCATAAGTTATATTCACAAAGGGAATAGAGAAGTCTATTAGCAAGTCCATTAACCAATGTGGGTTCAGCTTTTTCTGAAATCCTGCCTAGACATTTTAAAACACAAAAATGTTAATATAGGAAATCCCCATTAGTTAAAATAATAAAACAGAAATGGAATGGAAAAAAAATGTTTTATTTAAAGTGGTGATAACAGAAAACGTCGTTATACTTTATAAATAAGTTTAGCCCTCTTGGCTCTTTATTGTTTTGTAATGAATAAAGAATTTTTTGTTATTGTCTTCTGATTTTCTAATTGAAAAGATGTACATTGAACATCAATTAAGCTTATATTTATTTTTAAAATAAATTTTTTTGCGTGGTAGAGGGGCATTGCTTTTAGCTGCTTTATGAAGCTGCCCATCGTGTGCTTAATTTAATTTGAAACTAACACAAAGAATTTTGCTTTTAAAACATTCACTCGGCTGTCGACTTAAGTTGCCTATGTAACAGCTTAACAACTTAATGTTATTAATTAGTTTGCGCTGCCGGTACCTCGCCAATTAACCCTCCCCCGAATAAAAGCCTGTCATGCATAAACCTTTGCAAATACGCATAAATTTAAGACTAATTTATATTTTCTGCATTTGAGCGACTTAAATGTAAATCAGTACAAAACACTAATGACGTCACGAGAGGAAGAACACGTAGTATTTGTTTGATAAATGGTTTGTAAATAAAATGTTGCGCGAAATGTGAAAATTATGATTCACTGAGTACGCCGCAGATATATGCGTTTCAATAAAGTGGCGCAGTTAGCGTGGGCCGTGCAAAATGCTGGAGAAATAATAATTTTCCCCCAAAACAACCGCAAACACACAAAAATACATAAAAACTGAAAGAGCGAGCAAGTGAAAAACTGCTGCGCACACAAAAAAAAAATCAGAATGGTAGCAAAAAAAAACAACAATAAAAAGTGGGAAAAATCTATTTAATTGTGTGTGCGCCACAAAAAAGGCAGCCAATAAATGCGACGGCCTTCGGTAGACGCCAACGCATGAACAGACTAATGGAGGAGACTCATTTCTATCCCCATAGTCACGACAAATAAGCTGGCTCATCAATATTACTAACTTTTTTTTGGCTTGAATCTCGAGCAAACATTTCATGCTTCCATGCACTTTCTACTCAGTATTCGCCATTTACTAATTAGCGGTGGCTTTGTTCTGACAGTTTAGTTGTCGGTATAGACAAGTGCGAATTCAGGCTATAGGAAATGGAAAAGAGTACAAGCATAAAGTATTAAAGGGAAGAAAACTTTCTTATAATTAGAAAGACTTACAATTACATAACTATGTACGTTGATAATGTATGTTATATAATTATTTTGTAATTGGCGATGTAAATGTATTTTGAAACAAGAGGCTTGTTAAAGTTGCACCTGTCCGTTTGTTTTATTGCTTTTTGTCTTCCTTTTCCTGTTACATACATTCTGACTATTTAGTATACCCCTTCAAAATAGGGTATAAACATAAAAATTCGATCACTGCAATAAAGCAATTGCTAAGTATATTTTCATGTACAAACATGTCTTGTTTCTTTTTACTTAGATACCAAAAATCATCAGCACCTGCTACGTTACAAAACGAATTAAATTGCCGTTTATGTATATGTGCCTTATCTAGAATCCGAAAATGAATGCATTGCAAACAAATTGATTTAGAAACATTGCGATATTTTGTTCTAAACACGCTTTATTGTCGTCGTAA